GCCCGAGCGTGAATTTGCATTCCAAGCGACTCTCTGTCATATTTCGTGCTATTTCGCGCTTGGTTTATTGGTCCAAAGCTCCAAAGTTAGCCTATTTGCACCTCCGGTAATGCGGGAACAATGCCGGATTTTCGTCGATGCTTACATACCCATCACGCAAGAGCCGCGGGAGGACGATATAGTACCATAGAATACACTAATGCGGCCTTCGCTCGTTCGTTCGCGTGCATTCAGCTTTGCTCGAATAACGAATTAGAGGATACGGCCAATAAATATTCGTGCCATCGCACACACGACAAAAATGGGTTATTCCGAAAAAATTACTTTCCAGCTGGAAAAGTTTAACGTACACGAGCGTACCTGATTGAACCAATCAGTTTTTTTATCCTCCTATTTAAACAAGGATAATCCTAATACTTAATAAACAAATTCTAAACAATCAATTTCAAATCACTCAAGAAATTAGACAAGACAAAATGCAATTAATGTCTGATATGCTTGGCATAAAATTATTTTTCCGTTCTATAAAGTGAAATGGGTTATATAATTTGAGTCGATGAATGTTTTATGCGAACAAATTTTCCAGTTCTTTCATATCGCGACGCTTAGAGTTACGGCGAAGCACTTCAGAATAAAGGGGTTCTTTGAAGTCACGTTTGCTCAGCTAAAATCGTCGCGGAGGAAGCAGGAAAGCTGCGGGAATGATAACGCCGCCGAGGAATTTGCCTGCATCCTCGAACTTACGGCAGACGTACATTGTTCCGCGTTCACTACACATTCCCGGATCTTGCTGTCGAATTTTCCTCGTGCATTAACGACGAGACGTACTGTCTCCCTTGTTAATATTAAATTTTACACGATAAAAATTCAACAGCAATCGGAACTGACGCAAATAACACGTGAATTTATACATTCGAGAAATTCCATAACATGATGGTAATAATTAATGTGACATAATTTTCTTAATAAAAGAAACGTAATAGAAAGCATTGGTTGCAAAAAATCCAGTGATAAACGTGGTCTATCGTATTTCGCGAATATTTACGAGCTCTCGGGTCAGAAGTGAAGAAAGTCGCTGCTCGACGTCTCAACGAAAGGCAAAATGGTTGGAGACTTAATATATTAAACATTAGATTGTAATATTTCGCACTGTACACAACCTTCTCCGAAACTGGTGACTTCCCACAAGAGAAAATGGAGCCGTAGATTAAAATGAGAAGGTAGGGAGGACGGAAGGAAGGAAATTGAAGTGTTTGATCGTTGCGGTCGGAGGCGGTATAAATCGGGACCTTATTAGCGCGTCGCGATGGTCGTGGAAAAACTAATTTTAAATCTAACACAGGGCTGTGTAAGTAAACACATCGACGTGTCGCAAATATCCCGGGAGGGTGCGTTCGTCGCACGGCAGGATGGATAATCGATTAAGTCGAGGTATATCCACTTATCCGCTTGCTCTCACACCCCGCAGAGCGCAAATTCCAGAATCTCAAAGAGGCGGTGCACACTGCACGAGGTACCTTAAGACGGGGTGGATATGGCGCTCAATTTGCACGGATCCTTGGCTAAGCCTCCAAAGTGATAACCGATCTACTAGATGCAGCCGGGGCGGATCACCAAGTTCCATAACGCGTCCCGTTACCTGCAACCTACCCTCGTATCCCTAGTAAGACCACGCTCCGACGAATAATTACCACTCACTTACAACGGCGAAGCCATAACTTTTCCATGTCAAAGCTCGCGCTTGTATTGCGTCGCGATATGAAAAAACGTAAAAATTAATAATGAAGAACTGCGTTTTTAAAAATATCCTTAAAAGATTACATTAAATTATGCAATCCAATCAAATGTATTATTATTATTATTATTATTACAGATTTAAATGCTAATATATGCAGCATTACTGCTGATGCCTCACTTTTTGAGATACAATTCTCTACTTTATTTCTGGTTTTTATGCATAGTAATTTATGCTTTTATTATTACACTTTAATTTATTATTATTATTATTATTAAATTATGTTGAAATGATAGAAATGGTTGCACGTGAAATAATTTGTTGGGAAGATTTAATGCGTGGAAAAAGCACGTCCGAAATACTGGTACATCAAAGATTGGTTAGTCGTATTCAGTGGACTTGACGTTGGGTGAGATGCATCACCGTATTACATTCCCGTACGAAACCATCAAGCCACCTCGAGGATGGTACGCGTGCACGAAGCGGGGCGTGCCGCCGTAATCTCAATTCAATTTGAGAGCACGTCGTCGTGCAACGAGGAGTCCCTTTCGTGATAATCTCCGCCGGAAATACTAGACGGCCGAAACTTCGCGACTAACGCGATTTTCAAGTAAATTTCACTGCCATTAGGATGACACGCCATGGCTCTTAGTCGGAGTATCAGCGGACTCACTTGCCATGCACGTGTAGGTACCTGTCTTTCGCTAAATGCGGACATTCGAGGAGGAGTTAATAGCCGCACGATATTATCATCAATATTTTATTTGGAAATTATTTAAATCCCCATTCCGATCAGTTATGATAATCATTAATCAATCTGATTATTGGACAAATCGGATCGAATGGAATAAAGTATAATTCGATAATAGTATTATAGTTGATATGTCGCGAATTATTGTTATATATAAGACCATCTCAACTCGATACATCGTTCCACTAGACTCGACAAAATTAAAATAATCAGATATGGTAACATGCCAAACGAATTAGCATCATGAATGTAAGTATACCGTGAAAAATGTAATCATTATATATCACTCTCGATTATTCCTTTTTTAAATAGAGACAAAAAAATAGAACATACGTTTTACGGTGTTCAGAGAGCTTGGTAACAAACCTCGTTGGAAAACAAATATAGTAGACCGACGGGAGACATCACGGAGCGGTACATCTTAAAAGTCCCGTAGCTGGGATCCTTTTAGCAAATTACGAAGTTATCGGAAAACTCTCCCGAAGGGGGACACGCCTCGCGGCATTATATTTAATAACGTCCAATAAACGTTACTCTCCGCCACTGCTTTTTCTTCTCCCATTTTTCTCCTCTGCCCTTCTTTTTTTCTCTCCTACTTCGCTCGCGCCCCTTCCGTGTTCGTTTTACCCCGCTTTCGTTTCTCTCCGCGCTGCACTTTCTCTCTCTTTTTCAGCGTGCCGCTAATGTTTTTAGTTTTTACTTGCGTCATATTAAAACGATTGATTTCGTTCGCGACGTGTACGTCCCGTCTCTTCGGAGATACTGTTCCGCACCGAAAACCGATATCGACCACTTTCAGTCTGGGCGCGAGTCGAATAAACGGCCGCCATTAGCCCCGAGAGTCCTGCGGCGTAACACAGGAATTTGTACATCCACTCGGTTTCGAAAGTGGTCCCAAAGCTTGTAGCTTTCGCGACGATTACATTAACACGTTGTCACACGCGAATTTTTTCACGGCGACCGTAAATGACCGTGAGTCACCCGTTGCAGATGCATCGTATCTCGTTTTTCAGACGATTACTTTATCATTCAATAATTTTATTCGCACTGCAAACATTGACTTTAATTATTTACTAAATGTTTCTTAAAAACTGACGATTCTCTCTTTGTTACACAAATTTTTACGAACGTAATTCTAAATACTTGTAACTGCAGAAAATAAATTATCTCGTTTGCTAATTATTTTTTTGTCTATTTTTTTCTGTACACACAGAAAAATATAAACTACCTGCAAGTTAATATTACTTGATTCAAGTATTTGATAAGTTCATATATGAGCAAATCTACCATAAAGTCGTCATAAGTATCACATTTACTCAAAACATATTCTAGATCTTAGCAAGTTTAGTACTTGAAACAAGAATATTAAATTAATACGAACATTTTGTTTACTTACAATATAGAGTCCACGGAAGAGAAGCATATACTTCAATAAAGATATTACATTTTCTTGAGAGAAGTTTATCCGTTATTTGAATCAAGTAAAAATTTTATTCATCTAGAATAATCGTTTACTTCAAAAAAGAATTTGTATTCTCGATGATTACAATTAATATTATTTTTATTTTTTTAATTTTCTTTAATTCTTTAGTTCCTAAGTGGAATGTAGGTTAGGAGGTTTTCGTGCGCGGTGCGGAGGGGTAGTACTTACAGTTTAGAATATAAAAATTCCTGTCTTCAGGTGGACTTGAACCCGGTTCCTCGTGGTTATGAGTCTGACACTTTATCACTAGGCCACATCTCTGATTATATTCTTAGTGTTGCAGTATCTAGTTTTCACAGAAGTAATTTATTGATTTCAAGTATTTCATAATCTTACCTAAAGAATCAGTAAATATTCAAATCAAGCTTATGTGGCTTTTCTTAGATAAAGTTTACAGAATATACTTGAAATTAATGAATCACTTTCTGTCAAAACTAGATACTGCAGCACTAAAAATATAATCAGAGATGTGGCCTAGTGATAAAGTATCAGACTCATAACCACGAGGAACCGGATTTCAAGTCCACCTGATGACAGGAATTTCAATATTCTAAACTGTACCCCTCCGGACCGCGCACGAAAACCTCCTAACCTAGAAGAATGTCGTTCTACAGCCAAGTATTTCATATTCTTACCTAAAAAATCAGTAATATTCAAGTCAAGCTTATGTTGCTTTTCTTAGATAAAGTTTCGGAATATACTTGAAAGAAGAATAAATTCTTCTTTTAAGCACATGATGATAAGCTTTTCTAATACTTATGATGAGTATATTAAGAAACTAATATTAAGAAAATATTCTTTGTTAAAGAAAACTGTTACTCAAACCAAATAAAATAAAATGAGTAATTGCTTTTCTTGGCTATAGAACGATATTTTTCTGTGTGTACTATCTTGAGTTCTTGAGTTCTATTATATCATATTTTGCCGATAACTTTCTGTACGTCAAAATGCATTTTTATTAAAAATCTATTCTGCTTTTGTTAAAATCTTTTTAGTTTGAACAAGTGACGAGTTATTTTCAACAGGCGAGATATTTTCCATCTGCGGAGCAGGGCGCTTGTATGAGTAAAACGTTTATCCAACGTGTTGAAGTCGTCAGGACGTTTTGGTCACGTTAAGGAAGCACGGAACGAAATCTCGCGTGCGCAAAGTTGCAGAAGGAGAGCAATCGTATACGGAACGGAACGAGCCGGTAAGATACGGTGCGCCAGGGTGGGACGGATGGGACAGTGATGTGCAGCTGTATTTATAGTATGGATTGTGTCTGCTTGGCAGCTCGCCATCAGATGAACGGCTCTCCTAAGAGCCCTACGCGAGGCACGGACCAAGCAGCGGTACGTACAAAGTGCTATTGATAACTATTGTCTCCACATTTATCCACGAATCGCTTATTCCCTCGCGCAATCTTTCGACCACCGTCTTAAAACCAAAAAAGAAAAACGCTTTTCTTTACGCGAGAGAGCGACGACTGATGGCAGCGGCGATGGAAGTCTTTTTTCCAGTCCGAAGCTACCAATAGCGGCGGGGATGAATCACAATCGGTTCCGATCGGTACTCGTTCGCAAGCACGACCTGGCTTTTATTAGACCGGCTGACACCGAGGATCACTGCCAAACTAGGATCGCGCGAACAATAGCTTCCACGTATCGTCTCGGCCGGGCAAAAATAACTACAGTTGCCTGCATTTCCTATCGCACTCTTTTTGCATCAAAGTTGAAGCAGAGAGAGAGAGAGAGAGAGAGAGAGAGAGAGAGAGAGAGAGAGAAGAAAAGAAAGAAAGAGAAAGCGAAAAGGAAAAAAAATTCCATCAATGTTGGTTTAATTTAGAGAGAAACTTGCTGTAGACAAAAAAATGTGAATATATGCGTTTTTATAGTAAGTTTATGTATGTAAATGATTTTGAAGCGATAAAAATAAAACAAAAAGTGAACAAAACAAGCACGGGAGTATCCTTATTGCGGAAAGCGAATTGGCGATAGCGCAGTTTTAGGATTTCGAGATAATGTTTCTGGAAATACTTTACTTCGCGCGGTCGCGTGCCCAGAATCCATTTCCGTCGTCCAAATACCTCATCCCCCAGCTTCTAAGATTCCCAGACGACTCCGGAACATGGCGGATCAATGATCTATTCGCTCCATCTTAATACGCGTACCATACGTCTCATACGATGCGTGACATGTCGAGGGAATTTTTATTATGTGCAATCTATTCAGAATTTAGATGCCAAAATGGATACCCAAGATCTGAAACCTTAATCTCATTTTAAAAGAAGATTTCGCTTCCAAAATATCGAAAAAAATTTTCTCTGCATCGCTCAGTTTTATAAATTGATCTTTCTTTATACGTAACAGAGAGAAATTTGTTACGTTACGAAAAACGATATAATTTCGCGACAATTCCGTCACTCCTACTTGACAATAGCAAAGAGAAAAAGAGAAAAAAATCCTTTTTGTAAATCTATATTAATGTTACAGCACATATTTCGCGCTTTCTGAAAAATAAGGATCATAATAATTTTTCTAAAGTGTTTTAAACCATACTTCTATCTCTTCTTGATCTATCTCTTCTCTATAAAAAATCCCAAGTCACCGTTCCGACCTTTACCTATACACCAAGTGCAGCCACCGCCATTGTTACCGTTTTAGCTTTTTTCATCGATTACCGTTACCCCAAAGAGGGTATCCCCGCGAAGCTTAACACCGACTCGAGAACGGCCGTACCGTCCTTGTCTCGCATATCCCCCTCGTATTCCTAGGATTAGAGCTGGCTTTAATGCCCCTGACGACAAGGGATTTCGAAGGGTAATTGAATACGGACACGCCGAAACGTCGCGGTTAAAAGTTCCAAGTGTCCTGCTATCGCTATTCGCGCGTGGTTTTGTCCATTTTCTATCCATTGAAGGGCGATCGACTTAATTGATAAAATTAGATCCCGAGGTTCAACTGGACTTCAAGTGTCCCTTTAATTATGTAAGATAGCAATAAAGCGCCTTTGGCGCGCGAACTAGCGCATGCATGTTAATTCTTTCTGAGTGACCCGGCGAACGGAACCGGAAGCAATGTCCCCTTTTTGTGCCAGTCGGTCCGTGCTTAGGCGCTCGCCGCTGATCGATTCGGCGGGATTCGGTTTTGATCTGTCACGTGGAAGGAACCGATCGCCCTCAACCGAGTATTCACTGTCAAGCCCCCGTAGCCGGGTGGATGAAGATTATTCGCTTGTAGCTCGTACTCGCCCGTAAAAATATCGTACAGCCACCATTTCGGGTGGCACACGTACGAAACGACAGCGCGAATATTAATATGTACGGCGGCGTTTCGAGATTCGATAAACACAGGGAAATCCCTACTACACTCAAGGAGAAATTTACATCATATTTTGGTCAATATATAATGTGAATTTACATGATTTTGACTTTTCTGTTTTCCTTGGGAACAATTACAAATTAACTGAATTGAACCGATGACGTAAACTGTGTTTATGCGCGTCCTACAGCGCCCTACAGGCTGATACATTATGCGCAGCATCCGTTACAGTGCAAAACTCGCTGGAGCGACTTCCGGGGATGATCGGTTGCATCCTGCAGAGAGCGAACGATATTTAACGTGGGCGAAAGATAGGTCAGGTCGTAAAAAGCCGCGGCGCGCACCAGTTTATGCATGCATGTGGAGACATATTGCGATTCACACAAGACTCTCTCCTTCTCTCTTTCTCTTTCCCTGGCATCGGCTGCTTCAAAAGGAGAAGCCAGGTGAAGTGTATACTGTATATCTCGCGTACTCGGCGCGCGCGGCGGAGGCCACCTTCGTGCATGCACGAGTAATTCAGGTGGTATCGATGGCGCCCGCAAAGCACGTTATTTTTAGTTCAATTTGAACGCTCGAACGGCACCATAAAGCGAGAACGCCACGTACGTTATAATATAATATAACCGGCGGGTGTGACGGGGGAAGAAAAATGGGCGACGAAGGGGGTCTACGAAGGAAGGGGAGGGAGTAGGCTTCGCGGACAAGCGTCGCCTAGTTGCCGCGCGGTGGAAACTTTCGCGCCTCGACACGGCGAGAGGGTATTTTATTTTATTTTTTTTTTCCAGTACGGACGCGCGTGCGCGCGCGTGCCCATGAATTACTTAATAATTCCATGAAACGCAAATTACCCCGTCGTCGTATCGGGCATAAAGATGGCCGCGTATCGCCCCGTCAGCGATCCCCCGTTCCCCTACGACTCCGTTCCCCCCGAGGACCGAACGTCGCGCGGATTAACTCTTAACTGCTGACGTTGATAAACTCCCTCGGTCGTGTAAAGCGTTAAAAGTTGGAAAAGCTGTTTCGCGCGAGCGCGTTACCGAGGAAAGGGAAGACGTCTATCAAAATACTTTACAAAGTCTAGGCTATATTCGACGGGAGGTCGTTGCATTTATCGCCGAACCGAAGATATTTCAACAGAATCGATTCTAGTCGCGTTTCGATGCGCATCATTGAACTTCGCTGACCTGTTTAATAATAAAATTGACAATAATGATGATAATTTTATCGAGTTTATTCATTAATGTTTCATAGCAAAGCACAAATAGAGCGATTTTTCTAAACAGGGATTTACATCTTTTCCGAGAGACTCGGTAGGGGTATAGTAGTCCGTGAGGACAAAAACGGAGTATTTCGATTGCGGGATGAGCTGAACGCCATGAAAGGGAATCCGTTTAGCATTGTTAATATTTGTCGAAACTGTATTCCACGGTAGTAAGTAAATGCACACGCTAATGGGAAGAGATTAAACCCGCGTATAATTATTTCGCAGTTGAAGAGATTTTGCTCGCATATTTTCTCATTTCTCGCTTTTATTACTCTTACGGAGCGGTTCGGATCTTATTGAATCGTACAATTAGAAAATCCGCGTTTATATATATGTATCTCATTGGCGGAAAGACTGCCTCTCCGTCGACGTTTTCCACTCGCGCGCGCGCGTGTGCGGGGCCTTCCGACGTTACGCGGGCACAAATCAAAATCAATAAGCCGATTATTGGCCGCGCCGAGCGGAGATTACGCCGCTTTGAATTGACACCCAGGACGAGGCGGAGTGAGCCACCGGCGCGCGCGATTCAATCCCGCGGGCTCTCCCGACAGGCGGACATCCGTCCCAGTTCCTTTTTCCACGCGCGCGACGCGAGAGAGTCGGCGACGGACAACGGGGCGAAATGGCGCACATGGATGCGGAGCGCCGACACCACCGCGAAATGCTATTCGAGCATTCGTTAGCGACGCGGAGCCTCGTCCTTATATACCCGCTGAACAAACGAGCGCCCTGACGGCGCGCATTCAGCCGTCTGTGAAAGACGCGAAAGACGGCTCGTTTTCCGCGTAATTTCATCCGCGCGGCGCGGCGGAAGAGAATTTATCAATAGCGCCTCGCGCGCGAACGTGGCGATGCCGCCGCCGCGCGGCGCCATCGTACGAGACGTTACGATAAAACGAGCCGTTGCAATAACGACGCGAGATGATTATTAAACAAAGAAAAGGAGAAAGAGAAACGCTCGAACGTTATTTGAAATTTAATGCGCGCGCGAAGTGATATCGTCCTGATTCTTGCAAATGTATAATTACGTAGGATTATAAATTTCACCTCTTTTTATACATTGTTACATACAACATTTTGTTTTTGTAGAAAATAATTGAGAGAAAGGTATATTTATTTCAACAAATATTATATTTATTTCAATAAATATCGCTGCCATGGTATTTTCAGGTTTAAATTTCGCTATAATACATATACAAAAAAAAACATACGAGCGAACAAAAGAGCGCGGTATTTGGCGCAACGGGGCGAACGTCAAACAGGTTTTTCTAATCACATTGAGATCGTTAATATTTCTGACTGTCAAAATTTTCAATTCAACGGTAAACAAAATATTCATAAAACCCTCCGATTACACGAGCCAAATGCTATTTCGGCCGCAAAAATCTTGTCAGAAAATTTAATAATAAATCCATTAAAAGACATATTTCAAATTTTCACAGAATTAAATAAAAGGTAATGTGACAGAAACGATAAAAAAATTCTCAGATTCTTCTTAAAACGGAAGTGTTAGATTGGCTTGATTATTTCTACAATTTCCTATAAAAAATTAATTGTGAATTAAGAATAATGAGACACGACAATCTAACTTTTTGTACATCAAAGCTTAAAGATATGGTTTTGTATTGAAATGTACGGGCACGTTTCACGATTTCCATTTTCTATTGCTATATAGCCTGGAAAAATGGGACAAACTATGGGCAGAATGCCTGAAACGTGGGAGGGTCTCCTGGAAGAGAGAGATCGCGTTCTACACTGGAGTTCCGAAGTCTTGGCAAGAGTGCAGGATAATGTTACGAATGAGGATACGTTTTTAATGGACTACGCTGACGAAAAGATCGATGCCAAAATCGATACGTGGATTAAAACCAATCGGACGCGGGTTGACGAGACCTTCAATAAATTTCCAAATGCGACAGAACAGCACAGAAATATAGTTAATGCTGGAATCGAAAAGGTGAGAGAGAGATTGACATGTCTTTTCTTTACCCAAAATATATACAATATATACATATACGTCAATTAGCACTGAAATTTTTTTCGTAAACTTTGTAAAAGGATTTACTGGAGATATATATATTGCAAAGATAGATTGTTTCTCGTGTAATGTCTAGCTTACTGAAGAGATACGAGCAAAAACAAGGAAGGATTATCAAAACGCATATAACGACATTAAAAAGTTCAACAAGAAGGTAGATCAGTTGGGTTCGGATGAAAGAAAGATTCACGCTGAAATACAAAATCTGGAGGCGGAATGCGCGGGTGACACGCAAAAATTTCAAAAAAAATTCGGCCCGTTGCGAGTTAAAGTTTTCGATAATTTGAGAACCGGCGAAAAAATGATATTCCAAGATAAAAGACTGAAAGGCGATTTTACTAAAAAAGTATGAGTTTTTTCTATATCCATAAAACCTGCGACCTCCATAATATCTCCTGATAATTCAATTGCGCTTACTCATCAGACTTACGATATTGATCACAAAAACTCTGCCGAGTGTGTGAAACGAATCGACAAATTGCTTAAAGACTTCGAGAAATGTGCGGCGAAAGAGGGAACGTAAATAAAGCGGAGGAAAATGTCTCATCGTCAACTCGCACCTTCGCACGTGCGATCGATAAAACACGTTTATAAAAAAAATTGTCAAAAAATACAATAAATTTTCTTCTTGAGATAGTACCTTGCTTTGTGATATCAGTTTTATTCGAAATTATTACGTAGAAAGGGGAAACTTTGGCCACCTATAAATTTACATTAATCAAGTAACAGAGATAGATTCGCTTTTGAATGCTCTTGTTTGATTTCCCGTTCTGTGAACAACCGGTTGCTTATCGTCTCGCACGAGATAGAGGATTCCTCGATAATCTTCCCATCGTAATTTGTGGCGTAAGTAAAGGGAAAAGCGAAGAAAAGGAAAGAATCGAAGGTCGTTTTTGCCTGATAAACGTGTTGCCTCTAGAACGAAAAAACTGGATTATACAGGGTGTTCCGAAATCGCCGGATGTCTCTTTCACCGCGCTATGATTCGCTTTAGAATCAATCTTTTTTCGGTAAAAATGTCAAAGTGTTATAAATGTACGTAGTCTTCAAAATTCATGATTCAAAAGAAGGGCTTCTAAGCTTTAAAAAGGATGAGATATAAGGGGGTCACATAAGTTCTCTTCAATAAATTTTATGCGGGATTAATAGAAATTTAATAGGGAGCTTATAAAGATTTACAATATTAAAAAATCTGAACAATATGACAAATAATGTTCTCGACATATTGGAGAAAAGTGTCCAGGAAAATTAACAAGAACGGTGATTCCAAGATCACTCTGTATAACGAGATATAACGAGATTAGAGCTTCTTCTCCGCTTCTCCCTGCAGGTTGCGTCACAGATTCGAATTCTCTTCAGCGATCGATGGATCCGGACTCGCAGAGTCATAGAATAACGCTAGTAACCTTCACGATTCCTTCGGGACTCGCTATTACAGATCCTTTTGCGTCGCGTACCCTCGAGTCTCTCCAATCGCGATCCTAGAATGCCACACTCCAGATGACGGGAGGCAACGGGATCGGAGAAGAGAGAGAGAGAGAGAGAGAGAGAGAGAGAGAGAGAGAGAGAGAGAGAGAGAGGTATGAATATAAGACGATGCCGGATTCTCCGCATCGGCTTGGTTGGGATAGGCTCTCCCGGAGACTCTCATGATCGGGAGAGCATGAGACAGCAAGTGGTTCACACTTCACAGCTCCGTGATGCCACGATACGACAAACCAGGAACGTAACCGCACGATGTACCATTAAGGCGACCATTTCTAGCGACGACACAGTCAATGCCAAAATAGTTGAACTATTTTTAGTGGTTTCCAAGAATTTATTCCCGTTTGAACCGAAAGTAGTATTTAATTATATCGACTGATTCAATATTACATCGATTAATGGTGTATCTATACTTGTTCCAATAAAATTCTTAAAATTGCACATTTTTAATGCGACTCATATTAGGATTATAGTGATTAAATTATATGCACAGGTAACGAGATTTTCAAACATAATAACTTTAAGCCGAATACGGATACACACTGCATAATGAAATCAATCTAGCTAAACGAAATTTTCAAAATTTAACACTTCCCATATAACTCGTGTTAGAGCAGTAGAACTCACGACATCCAAATTATTCATGCACTATGTAATTCTGATCCCATTTGAAAGCTGTAATATAATTTATATACTGATAACTAGATTTGTATATCGAATCCATTATATATACATATGTGTATATAAAAGTCGTCATAATTATAAAATAAAATAAAATATAGGATATAAAAGAGAACACAAGTTTTAGTAATTAAGGCAAAAAAAATTCAATATCCAGAATAGGACATTTTAGTTCTCACAGTAGGTTAAACTTATTCATAAAATATAAAAGTTACGAGTTATTACGGCTGTCGCAAAACGTTAATTATGTAAAAGTATGTGTAAAAGATTACTGAGAGCTCTTCTGTAAATACTATCTGCTTAACTAGATCAATACACGTCTGAATACGATACATTCGGCGACACAAATACAAAGTTGCATCAATTATGGACGATTATACTTTTAATATAGATAATAAAAAATAATTTATGCAATAAAGCATTTTAAATTGCAAAGCTCGAAGTTTAAATTTTGTCACCTTCTAACTTGTTCATATTTCTAATACTGTGTAAATTTTTTAAGTTTTTACCGCAGTTTTTAAGAGTTTCGATTTTTGCTGTTTTTTTTTAAATACCGACAATTAAAATTTTTTTATATCGGTAATTATAATGATAATATAATAAAAAGGCGGTGATTTCAACAGTCGATAAAATTACTAGTGAGTTTACCGATAATGGACAATTAAAAAATCAATCCTTTGAATTCTTCTGAAAAATCGATGCACTAATTAAAATTTCGACAGTCATAATTCTATAAGAATTCCTATGATTTTGCTATTCCAAAATTTATTTTTGAGAATACAAATCGCGTAAGTTTAGAGCCAGAAACTGATAAAGTTGTAATAAAATATATAAAATAGCACAAATCACACAAAGCCGCGAGTTCGTCTAACGTCTAACGCATTCGGATCACAAATTCTAGAACGATCGTCTCTTAAAATCGCATACAAAGAAAGCAGGATGCATTCGTGACACGATCTCTATGAGAGATAGAGAAAAATGCCAATCTTATTTAAAAATGTAGGGATGTGAGAAACAAATTCTTTCGATAAAACACTAATCGACGCGATTCGCGGATTATCGTGACGTGATAAATTATTGCGCGATCTTTTATTTCGCTTCGTAATTACAATTATAAAATTTCCGGAAAAAAAACTTACGCGAATAATGATTTTCGATAATTTCCTAACAAAATGTCCAATGGAATTTCAATAATAAAATTTCCGATACACCTTCTGCTACATGTGCGGTTTTAACGGTCTGACCTTATTATACTTGCGTCACCCGATTATCCGAAAAAGAGATGGACGTAATTCGTTTTACAATTACGTAACGTGTGCGTTTGCAAGTATAAGTATACTTATCGTGCCGCCTTTAACATTAAAAACACGACTCCTCTACACGACCTTCAGTAGCCGTGATCGTCTAGTGGTTAGGACCCTACGTTGTGGCCGTAGTAACCCAGGTTCGAATCCTGGTCACGGCAATGCGTGAAAACATTGTCACGGTGAAGGTTTTTTTTTCTTTTATCTCGCATTAAATATTAACTAAACAGTTATTTGACAGCACTATCACAGCAAATTCTTTTTTTTGCCCTTAATTTATTTTTTAAATAATTTATTAACCGTGCAAAATTGCGTGAAATTATTCTCATTACTAAAAATATTTTTCTTCCTATTTTTAATATTTTTATAAATATTTTTATTAAATAATTATTATAATTATTATATTGATTAAAATGTGTTTAAATCTTCCGACTCATGATTATCAATTTGCATATAATTCTATGAATTGTCCGCGTATATAAATTATATAGATTCATTCCTTGTAATAAGCTGAACGGTATTCAATAAAACCGCGATGAAAGGAAAACTTTGACGTACAGCAAAATCAAATGCAATAATTGTCGCAATCGTTCTTCGAATACCTTTGCCAAAAATACTAACAGATTGTGACATTTGATACGCCGATGTGGCGTTATGCAACTGGATGCATCCATGGTAAATTAATATGCAAAATTGCATTGTCAGGGAAACAATTTGAGGAATGATCAGCATACACTCGCGAATTGTGCAATTGTAAACTATTATAAATAAAAGTACAATTCGCCACCACATAGCAGTGCAGTGCGGGATCGAGCACGATTCGTATCAGACTTGAAATTTTTAATCGGACTTTCGTTAATCATCGGCCGACATGATTAGCCGACATCAATTTTTCCTATTAATTCATATTTTGTGCTGCGCTAGTTCGTATAAAAATCTTTTCAATTAATATTACTTCATAACATCTTAATAGCAATTTTGTCAGAACTATATCGAGAATTTATTATTTTTTTTTGTATTTTTGTATTTTTTGTACATAAATTGTTTTATGAAAATCAGTTTATTTAATTAGATAAACGTGAAATTTTCATTTAATTATCTGTACAAATCGAAGAATTTCTTATTTCTTTTTTTTTATATTGAAAACCTTGGATAATAAAAGAAAAATATTCTTGGAAGTAATTTCAAGTGTTTAAAATGTGGTTTAAATTGTTCTCTCTTAATGTTACACGCTCTAAAAGATTTGTAAACACGTATCTGTTATTACTGGTAATTTATACATTACTAATTTAATTTATACAATGTCGTAATGAACGTAACGTGTGCTTGCAGTGACAATTCATGGCATTTTATTGGACGCAAACGACGCCGAAACTTGCAATTTGCTATGTGTACAATGTAACGCGACCGCGGTATTTGCGAACGGCCACTGTGAATGCAATTTTGATGAAGGCAGTGACGAAGGTATTATCATACATTTACAAATATATCTTCCATGTAAAGTGCTAAGACAGTTGCCAAAAAAAAATATATATATAATCTCCCATAATCACGTTTTAACAATACCGTACAGTTTCAGGTTCGGAATGCCTACATCGCATACAGAAAGAAATTCAAGCCATCGAACTGAATATGCTTTCCGAGGATCTGACAGATGAGGAGCGAAATGTGCGTTCTATATTAAAATACAGGCGTCGTCTCAGACCAGGTAAGATAAAATTGTATATAGTTGTCCAAAGCACCTGAACTTTCAACACTAAAATGTTTCAAAAGTCTCTTTGGAAAGGCATGCCTTCAGAAAAAGTGCCACATATGCCTCACTTCGTATTTCAGTTTCAAAAATTCCATCGTCATGTGGAACGATGTTTGAAAACTTTTCCTCTAAAAGTAGTTTTACACAAAGTAGTTTTACAATTAACTATTGACGATAGAGGTTCAACTTTGCTCATAAAAAAAAAACTGATTGGTATCCAAATCCGATTCTAAAACTCCAAAGAGCGTTTAATAAATGCCTAAGAAATGCCACGGAGGCATTTTTTTAAATTTCTAAAGCCGGGGTATCTCGAATAAAAGCTGTCGAATTACCTTGTAGGAGATGCCGAGAAAGTGGCACAGTATTTTATCAATGGAGGACCAGCGGCTGGTCACTCCCATTTTGTCAGAGCGTTCAATGCGGCTTACGATAGCGCCGATTCTGCGACAAATTCGTTTTCGGGCGTAGTTGACAAAAGTAACCCCGAAGACGGATTTCACGGCGTATCGTTAACCAGTCCCGTTTCTTCGAATACATGCGACTCTCCGTTGTATATGGTATCAGAATCCGCTCCGTACGTGAGTTCGATCATGCATGGCGCAGAGATGTATCCTCCGATCTTAAGGGCGACGAATCCAGCTATCACCTATCCAACAACCGGATTGTACGATCCGTTTATTCAGTCACCATTGCCTATCCACCACGCTTTGGTCAGAGCGGTCACACTTCCCGCACACGTTTTGCACCATGTATTACATCCTCGTCTGTATCATCACCATCGCGGGATCGTCAGAAGCACTAATGTAAGTAACTAATGTGATACAACAGAATAATTTGCAGCCATTGATTCTATAATACGAATGTCTGTGCCTCTCATTTTTTAGATAAAATTGTAAAAGTCTAAGAAATTAATCGTACGTTCCTAATCAATAGATATATATATATATATATATATATATATATATATATATATATAATAACAAATTAAAATGAAAAAAACATTAACGCAGCAATTAAATCCTTTCCTATCAGTTGCCATCGGATACATCAGATACAGGCATTGTTGGTCAACCAATATGTGAAAATAATGGTGATTCTACTTCCAACCTTCCTACCGCCAGAAATAATGCAGTAAGTGTCGCAATAATATAGGTAGTGTTTCATAACTCGTAATTGTCATTCAATGGTAGATGGATTTAATGGTAGATTATTGCATAAATTTGTAACTTTTCCTTAGTAAATAATGAAGTATTATAATAAAGAATTGTGTCATTAAAACCAAGGAGAAATTGCAACATTTTGTTTGTTAACACACACACACACACACTCACACAAGTTGTGACATTGATACAAATGATTGTTTGATTGCTGAAGTTATTGAATGCAATTATAAATGACCGACTAAGCATTTAATTCACCTTTAGCAAGAGAACAATTATAAATCACAATTTATCTTTTCCAGAATAAACTTGCTGAGCAAAATGTCGGATTTAATGCTCCATCACAGTATCCATACATCACACACGCAGAACAACCAACGCTTTATCATCTCCCACACACTTCTTATTATAGTCCTTTGATGAACATGCTCCACCCTATATCTGGCTATGTTTTTCAACCTGTATCGCAATACACACCACCGGACCCGCTGACTTCTGCGTCTAATCCACAGTCTTCTTGCGGGAATTATGCAAATACTGAACAGAGAAGTGTTTTAACTACTGACAAAGCTGTATATTCTAATGATGAAACGGAAAAATCTGACGATGCAACTAGAAACATTTCTAAAGACGAGAAGAAAAATGGAACCGATAAATCATAAGATAAATTAAATATTGTATACCTAATCTATCCAAAATATAAACTTGTGTATTTTTTGTTTTTATTAGCACATCATATTCGTACAACAAGCAAATTATGATTATTAAATTTTCTTCTTAATAAACAGTATTAATTATACATTCTTAAAAATTTTGAACATTAATTTATTTATCGACCTATTTCAATCATTCTATTCCGAACCAACTAAAATATGTATACATGTAACATGCTTTTATCGTCCTGTATTATTTTGAGTTTTAATTAAAATTTGAAAATCTAATAATAGAACCCAGTGTAAGATTTTCTTTATTCAAATTTTGAGCCAGAGATATAAAAACTAGTAATTACTTTAATTCTCCGAACATGACGCATGGCTCTAAGTTCAATCCCGACTTTCATCGCATATCTCTCGATTTTATAAGAATTTGATTGGAGAATCGAGAGTTATGAGTAAAGAAGAATTTATGATAAAGTTTATCTGATAAATGACGACCCATTTCGGAAATCCATACTTCATTTACAATATTACTTTAATTCTCTGTCTTATATATTGTGTGAAACAGTATAGAATCTAAATATGAGCATATATATATATATATATACAAATGTTTTATATAAAATGTAAAACATACATGTATAAATAAAAATTCACTTTCCACAGTTCCAAATCTTCCTCTTTACCTCCTTCCCTTGCCTTTTCCTTTCTTCGAAGTCGACGTAGACGGCTGTGACGCCTGCTCGCCAGAGCTCTGCTTACCCTGACGAGTCTTCAGCTTCGTAATCGTGGTGCCGACGTACTCCAGCAGAGAATCTCTGGTGGGAAACTCCGGCCGTACCGGCTTACCGTCGTCGTTTTTCAGCTGCACGCGAATACGACCGCGGAACAGAGGCTCCTTGCTACGCTCTTTCGGATGTAGCTTGTTCTCGACGCCTACGTTGAGGCCTGCCGCCAGTAGAACATCCCGTATTTCCTGATGCGTTGGATTCTCCACGCACTTATCTTTAGCCAACTTTCGCCCGCCCGCCAAGCTTCTCTTGCTGTTCAAGTATATTGGATAGATGCATACCCACCTGTAAAAGAACAGCATGAGAAACAATGGCAGACTGTAAATTTACAACAGTAAAGGTTTAAATAAATAAAATATGTCAAATATTTTCTTTGAAAATAAAGTGCTCATTTCAGGTACTTTCCAAAACAAAACCTCTCACAATGAAAGGGTCTATTGTAGCTTTTTTAACCTGTTTTATCTATAAATTCAATTTTAACATTAGATATAAGGTCTGTTTGCTATTGCTGAACTAGCACAGCCAGTTCAGCAATAGAAAACAAACCCATAAATTCGTTCAAATCAATTTTATAGGTTAGGTAACGCACTAAAGCGTAATGTACTTTTACGAGCTAAAGAAACATTGTGTAACTTAATATTTAAAAGATATACCTTAATTTGAAGGTATCTTTCTAATTTATTGTCATTATCACTTTACCTCTCACGCTCACTGTGGTTCTTCGAAGGATTCCACGCAAGCGACATGTCGCTCAATGTTGCTATTGCTAGCAAGAGTAGCAAGAGTAGCACGTTACCAGCTGTAGTGTACCATATGTTGCACGCTCTTTTAGAATTTCCGGATTTATGTTCACTAAATATGGCTCAAAATACAAACGTAACGTGGATTTGTAATTTCTCTGTTGAAATTTAAACAAAGTATAGCATTTATTAATACACTATCAGAATCATTCGATGACACAAAACTAAAAGTTATGAAAAAACCGAGAAATATAAACTGTAGAGAATTAATTTATGCACTCTTCATTAAAGTGCAGCTAAATAAATGTGAAATATTCTTATTTATACACGAATTTTGTGCAATACGTGCGTTTAAATAATTATATATATTTGCTTTTAAATAAAGATATAAGAAAAAAAAAATAAGATTAATTAAGTATTGACGACGAAAAACAAAAAGTATGAAACCACGGGCTCGTCCGGGATTTGAACCCGGGACCTCTCGCACCCGAAGCGAGAATCATACCCCTAGACCAACGAGCCATATGACAGCTTGTGCCAAAGATTGACCTGAAGTCTTTGCGCGCTTTATATACAGCTGTATACATTATGTATATTTACCATCAGTGAGAATTAAATCTGATGAGCGGCCGTTTTGCTTGTATGTATATGTACCACTTACCGTTTTGCTGGGCTGTCACATCCATTTTCAACATTTGAACTATTTAGCATACACCTGTTTTGACACTGCCGATAAAATCTCCTTATACCTTATATATATACATATACTTGGTGCGATTCCATAATTATAATTTGGGGCTACGCCCATAATTTTCGTGTTGAGAAACAATACTTATACACAATATCCTTATATTGCATATAAATATATGTTGTTCAATTTAAAAATTAACTAAAATTCCGTTTGTTATAAAAAAATGGACCAATCATATTTGCAATATCTTGGAAAAAATATGTTTGCTGTAAATAGTGCTGCGCAAAAGTACAGTTTAAGAGTCAATAGTCGAATAAAATCTATCAATTTTGTGTAATCCAGTTTATACAAATTAAATTATACAATTCAATTATATTGTACATAACAATTTTATATCATTAATTATTTTTGCAACAGGATATATCGTTTTGTACATAATTCTTAGCATTATATTAATATATCTTTTCACAAATTTAAATTTTTTAAAATTGCAAAGAAAATTAATTTTTGCTCATTATTAAATCACACCCTCCCGCTTTATTCCTACCTACCCGTATTACTTATTCCTAATTCCTACCTAAGTTTCTTTCAATTATATAATATTAATGAAGTTTCCTTCTATTGACGAAAATCACACCCACCTTATAACTATACATATATCCTTGCTCATTCGTTTTCCTGTATACCTACCCAATTTTTATCTAATATTTTTACCCATATTATTCCTACCTATCCGAATCTCTATCTAGTATACCTATAGTTAGCAATTATCTGAAATCAAACAACCGTGCGGCGTACGCGAATTTGATTTTCGAGACCGTTTAGGAGTTTTATTGGGAATTTAAATTCAGATAAATGACGTAAGATCCGAAAGAGATAATAAATTTTTTATACAATTAGAAATCATAAAAAATATCTTTTTGTATTTTGTAAATTTTTAACATTATTTTTTTGTACAATATATTAATTTGAAATTATTTTTAAGTAATGTAAAATTGATTCTAAAATATAATTACCTAGATAATTAACTAAAAAAAAATCTTCTATTTTATAACAATATATAAATATATATATATACACGTGGATCTCACGTCATATTATCATTACTTTAACTGGTAAAATTCAGTTATCAATTACCTTAATATATATATGTTTATTCATCACTCACCGACCCTGATGCGCAACAACGGAATTATTTCTGCCACGTAGCTACGTTGATTCTGTAACATACAAATACAAAAGTCATGTTAAAATGATATTAAAAAAACCCAATGTTTTAAAACAAACGTCTTATGGCATCAAACTTTTTATTCATTATTCAACTAGATATTTATTTAAATAATTATACATTTTCCAAAAATAATATTTACAAGAATCAATTTTTATAAAATATTTAATTACTCCTTTTCTTCTAACTATTATTTCTAAATTGTGGTGAAACAAAAAACTCAAGAATAAACATTTACCCCAAAGTTGTTCCGCTGGCGCCTGATGCCTTTCCCAGGCCTCCTCCTTTTCCTCCTCCTCTCAGGCTGCATTCTCACGTTGTCGGCTCCCTCGATGATGTGACACTTTCCGCGTCATTATATTCTGAAGCATATAAATAAATAATTTGATATTAAATACTTTTTACGCGTCAAACTTCTTATTCATCATTCAATCAAACATTTACTTAAATAATTACACATTTTCCAAAAAAGATCTTTACAAAAATAAAATCTTATAAAATTTCAAAATACTTCTTTCTTTCTAATTATTATTTCAAAATCATGATAAAAAATAAAACGACTAAAGTATATATAACGCATATATTTTAACAAATTAACACGTTAGCAAAAACTTAAATTACTTTTACACAAAATAAAAAATAATATTTACCGTAATGTTTCGTCGGAGTCTGACACCACTCAATAGGCTTCCTCCTCTTCTTGGGTTTTTTTATCTGAACCCTTTTTCTTGCCTCATACAACAGAGGAGTTATATACAAGATTGATCTGTAACATACAAAAATATTCAAACAAAAATATCCTATATGATATCCTAATTCTGATATAATTTCAACTGTTATAAATTTTAATTATTTGGAAATATTTGATATATTAACAAGTAATATTTTATATATATTTATTAATATTAATTAAGTCATAAATAATTTATTAAATATTTAAAAAATCTTAAAAAATAAGCTACAATATTTTAAATGAATAAGTGGATGAATACGACCGTATATATGAGATATACAATCAAATTACGGAAAGGCAATTAAATATTGTATTTATTACAAAATGTATTAAACATTCAATACACATTACATTTCACAGTGATTTAAAAACACACACACACACACACACACACACAATACACTGCGCAAATAAACAATTATTTTCATCAGTATTAATTAATAAATAAAAATTATGAAATGCTCACCTTATCTGTCACACCTGATCGACCGTCTCCTCGGCTTCTCCCCTGCCTTCTCTTCTTTCTCCGTTGCTATTCTTCGTGGCACTTACATCTATTTCCTAAAACAAACAAAATATTGATTACAATTAAACGCGATTACAAGCTTATAGAATACAATGATCGCGGCTTTGTCATATACTTTCTACGATATTTAATAATAATGCGACGCGACGGCGGCGCGCGGCGTCACTATACGTACATACGCGTCCCGGCCGAGTAGGAAAATACTTGAAATACTACATGCCCGCCTATTACTACAATTATTATTTCGTATTCGAGCGAATAAACGTATTAATATTCTTATCCGCGAATATCCGCGATATCCGCAGATATCCGCGATATTCGCGACATTCGAAAATATGATCGTCACTTTCGCGACTGCCCGCGCGCGGCGACGCGACACACCGTCGCGTCGGCCGAACAAGTATATTATACGTACCGCGAAATACGTATTTTCATGACGTATCAATACCGGAGCGCGAAATGTGTAATACTATACGCGACAGATACTGCGGTATACATCATATAACAAATGGAAGTCCAATTTTTGATATTTTTACCAGTTATTAAAGCGAGCTGCGACGCCACTCAGTCCGGAGCCGATTCGTCCCGTGTCCGCCCGGTCCGCCGCGCCGCGTTCTGGAAGAAGAACGTATAATCAACATGGCGGAGTCCGCGGAGTTGCGCGGAGTGCGGAGGCGCTTCGTCTGTCGCGCGTCGCGCGTCGCGCGGGCAACTTCTCGCGCCATAAGAGCGCTGCGGCGGCGTCACTGTCACTTAATGCGTCCCGCTGTCCCGCTCTTAACTTCACGCTTATGAATATTTTCCGAGCTTCGAGTAGGAAATATTGTACCCGCTTTTTATTATGGTTATTTTACAGTTTAGCAAATAGGCGTATTAATATTCTTGACAGATATCCATGCATGACATTCGCGACATTTGAAAATACGATCGTCCCTTTCGCGATATTGCTCGCGCGACGCGCCTTCGCCCGAACTATACGTACTTTTTAAGAACAATTCCCGAACGTCAAATCTATACTATACATGATAGATAAATAATGAACGCAAGGTTAATATACGTTACTATTTAAAGTGAGTCGCGACGCCACTCAGTCCGGAGCCGATCCGGAGCTCAGTCCGTGATCCCCGTGATCCCGTGATCCGTCCCGTGTCCGCCGCGTTCTGGAAACGGAAGAAGAATGTAATCAAGATGGCGAGAGTGCGTCGCGCGTCGCGGCCGCGGCCGGCGTCGCGGCGTCGTCTTCCGCGCGGTTTAACTTCACGCGCCAAGAGCAACGCAACGCCACTATCATACATACACGTTCCCTTTTGACTTTCGCATTTTATTTTATGCATTTTTCTCATTTTAACAATAAATGCTACACGCTTGCCTCATATAGCAGTCATTTTTTCGCTTTACTTTAAATATTGCATGTACGGTATGCAGTAATTGAACTTATTAATATTGCCAAAATATATTATGTAAAAATACATTTTTAATAAATAATCATTATATCATGTATGCCTTTCGGGTATACATATTATTTGATCTCAGGTTTTTCTCTGCAGGTATTATTAAAGTTTACTATACATGACAGTATACGCATAGTTAGGTATAATACAACGTATAAAAAAAATATTGCTGCCTTCCGTCTGTCCATGTATTATAATATGAATAATTCATCTCATCGTGTATATATTGACGATATTTTACCGAGCTACAGAGATAATAATACTTGGTTAGTATGCTATCTACGAACGCGAGAGACAACTGAAATTCAAATGGGCTGTTAAAAAAAAAAATAAATCTTTAATCTAATAAAATATTAAAATTTAGCGGATAAACGGGACTACGGTCACTATAAATTTAATCCTTATGTGAGTGAGATATTGTTTACATATGTTGACAACATAAAAAATTAAAATTGTTTATGTTCTGGCCGCATTAGAGAGCTGCAACTTTGTGAGAAATGTCTTTTAAATATAATGAATATTATTTTAACACTATTTTTGGACAGATTGATCCAACAAGAAAGACAGGAGGAGGACCAAGGGTTGTTCAACACCTTAATTACCCGAGTACCCAAATACTTGGTCACTCACATAAGGATTAATACGAAAATTGGATTGTGATAGACATATGTCAAAGTTGATAATGGTTTAATTCATACATTTATTTAATTGTCGTAAATAAATTAAACACGTAACGTACATAAGTACAATTAATATACCTAATAAAGTTTCAAGACAACGTTAAAATGTACCAGTGTTTGGATCGTATTTATAATTATAACATACAATATATGTAACAATAAACAATATCTTGTATATAAATTTAATATTTAAAATATTACAACTTTCTGTCGTCTCGAATTAGATTACAATACGGATTAAAATAAGCATATAAATTATTAAAATAATATATAAACATTGTATCTTAATAGATATAAACATATACACATATATATAAATCTTGTGGAAATACTATACAATAATGACTTGGGCAAGATTTTCTTTCCACTTTTCGATGTGTCGAATGAAAATTTAACTTTCTTCTTTCATCCAATAACACACAAAAACTTTTGTGTAAATTTTCTCGAAGAGATTATAATTGTTATATCCTTAATTCTTTGAAACATAATTTTAAACACGTTCACTAAACCGTCAAAGAAATGCATATAGAGATTTATTTTTGCCTACACATTTTTAATTTACTAAACGACGTACTAACTACTTATTATATTTAAGCACTTCTTTTAATTATAAATCTTAATCCTTTCCCTACTGTTAATAACCTAGAGCAACATTCTCTTTGGCAATATTTTCTTTTTCAAATACGCGCGCGCGCGCGCGTGTGTGTGTACATATACACACTATTTATTTCCGCGCTGTAACAATTTTAGTAATCAAAATATCGATTACAAAAATTGTATCATCTTGTAAAGTATTGGTATTTTATCTAAATTCGGAATCTCGTGAGGCACATGGTATTTATTTACTTATTATCTTTAAATAATACTTGATAAATAAAATGGCATTTTCAATAACTATACACACAGTAATCATCGTTAAGTTAGTACGCCTTCTTATTAGCAAAGAGATACCAAGTTATTGCATCTAAAGTTTACATTCCGAATGTTTTGAAAAATTTAGAAAGATTAGAAAGTAAATATTGGCAAGAGTCGTTCCTTTTTTTTCTAATTTCAGATTTCAATTTTATTTTAACGTTCACGCTCACTCTAATGATGCTGACTTATGATATGAATAAATTACCGACATTGACAGAAATCTGGTCCTAAATTTCACCAAGCATTGCGACAAAGTTAAAATATATCTATGTAAAAGCTTATTTCCCAAATAACTTGATAGTTCCACAAAATTAAGTTAAAAATTATGCTTTTATGGTAATTATGCACACACGTGCGTTGGGTAAATATACACGCAAAAATCTATAATGAAGAATATAATGAAGAAAATAAAGAACTGATTAATATACGAAAGTATGTTCTAATCCAGTAAGGAGAGGATTACAGCGTAGATTTTTAGAATCACAGTAGACGTATTAAATATCATTCTATCACGTCGTAGATAAAATGACAAATTTTTAGATGTTAGGTATATGCCAAAGTTAGATTTACACGATCATGGAAAACTACCACAGAAATGGGAAGAACACAGTACAACATGGTGATAGGCACACCAGTAATTGGCAAAATGTTGTCAAAATCTTCCATTTCTGGCCAATAATACAGCAACGTTGTTATTATCCATTGATGACTCACCTCTCCATGTGAATCTTTGATCGGGTATCTCTCAGTAGCTTACAATACACCATACATTACTATACACTAGGCGCACACTATAATCACGTTTAAAAACGTTTAGAACTCTAGTGCAATGAGAAATACGATAAAAGGACAACACGTAACATATGTAAAAACAAAGGCCAGAGCAAATGTTACCAGTTGAGGCCAAATCTCTCTATCTCTCTCTCACTTGCATGTACCGTCGTACGCTGAGTTTTATTCGAAAAAACGAATTTTGGTGTTAGGTTACCAGCCCATCACGGAAGGAACTCGAGAACCTACCGTAAAATCTTTATATTGAGAAAAGACACATATCTGAAAAGTTCAACACGTTAGAGAGTTTAATAAGTCAAAAACCAAAAATTTTAAATTAAACAACCATAATAAACCTTGTCTTTCAGTCGTTGACAAAGTTGTAGGGCAATAGTAAGCAATACGAGAGCATCATTCAGCCATGGCACGCTGCATTCCGCTTGTTGAGTTTCGTACTTGACGCTACCATGAGCATTTTCTAACTGGTAAACAGCTAAAACCAGTTTGTAGCTTTGAATGTAAAAGCTAATGGCCAAGTTCTCTGGAAGGTTCGGATTGAGAGATTTCTGTGAACAAAAAAAATAAGGTGGTTTTACGTGTTATTACGTGTCAGCGATAGTAACGCTAGAACTAGATTTACTAGAATGGAATAAGATATTGGATACTACGTACCATATTCCGACTCTTGATGAGATCATCAATTGTCTTCTTCCTAGGGACGATCAAGCTAGTTCTGCTCCTCTGAAGGCAGCCCAGGATATTACCTAGCACATGCATAACTTCATCCGACGTTTTAAAAAGATAATGTCTGTCTACGTTGTCTATATGGGCGATGCCTTGCTGCAAGTGGTTAGCAGCATCTTGAATTTGTTGCAACTTCCACGGATGTTCACTTTGAATACTCGTCCTCATATTAACATTCTGTTGTCGCTGCACCTTAAAATTCACTTCCTACAAGCATGGGAAATATATCTCAATGGGGCGCGCCCAGACAAGGCAAGCGACTATACGTTTACTACAATTTACAATCGATCTCCCGTGCACAATCTTGAGAGAGATGCACTAAAGGCACACTTTACCGCATTTGTAATACTGTCGCCCGTCAGCACAGCAACGCACTTTACTTGATCATGCGGGGCCGCAAAGACAAATCTGTCAGTTTTATTGTGCTGATCGTTACCGAAGAGAGCCAATGGGAAGCGTTGAGCACACTCCTTAAAATAAACACGCAAGCGGCAAGATTAATAACGCGTGGGCTTTCGACGACGCGGACGGAACTGAGTGCTGGGCACTTACAGAATTAATTCGCATTATACGTACCATCAAAATGTTTCGGAGCTGCGACAACGAGGAGTGCACTTCTTCGTGGAGCACCCACTCGAACTCCATTTGCTGAAAGCGAATTCAACGGGGCGTTATCGATTCCGATATCGGAGACGAGGGTGTTGGCGGTTCGCGGTATCCGTGCCAAGTGCCAAGTGCCAAGTGTACTACTATCGGGGAAATGTCAAACGGCATAACCTCAAACGCCCACTCGCGAGCAGACGAAACGAGCGGGCACGAAATAATTTAACGCAACGCAGGGACCTCGCTATCTGATGAGTGATGACTAGGGATCGAGCCTCTTAAGCCGATTAGATAAACGCTAAGTAAATGTAAATAGCTTACGAGATTGTGTGCCTCCTCCTTCTCGCAGTCCGCCATTTTTCAACTGGAGTTGACTACTTGACTGGCACTTGGCACTTGGCACTTGGCACTACTGGCACTGGAATTTCACGCGGCCTGGTGTCTCCACCTGTCGTTGCGTTGCACTTGAAGCGCCCAACTTTATACATATGTGATTAATGGACTACGTGTGTGTGTGCGCGTACACGCAAAATATGCGTATCTGTATACAGTGGAATGTATATGGCATACGAGATTTTGGCGAGTGTACCCGTTCCTGCCCGTTCCTCGTCGACGAGCCACTCCACACTCCACTCGAGCCAGTGCAATGTGCAATGCAATGTGCAATGTGGACTGTGGAGCGTTCGGTGGCATCGGTAGCATCACTAATATCTCTAATATCTCGGTATTGATTGCGATTGATTGTGATAAGTGATCGTGAAATATATATCATCGATCCCCTCTCACGCGCGAGAGCGAACATACATTCAAGAGAACGGATCATTCTGCCCCGTCATTCCCGGTTCGAACGCCGTCGCCGTCGCCGTCGCCGTCGCCGAGCGAGTGAGTGAGTTTTCTCGTAATACACATACGCAACATACGTGAATTAAGCGGCGAGTGGATTGGCGGCACGTAATCGCGAGCGGTGTCGAGTTATACGAGTTAACGACTTACGAGCGACACGCGGCCCACGTACGGGTTATTTCACTCGATAACTCGGCGTCCAGCTCAAGAAGACGCGTCAAACTGAATGAAAGACTCGAATCGTCGCCCGCGTGGACCTTATCAATTCGCGTCGGGTAACAAGACTTTATATTTGGTAACGAGAGTAGAGATGACAATAGAGAATAGAGGCATCGATAATGTATTGATAGTGATATGTTTTCGGAAAACAATTCGGAAGATTTGATTGCCGCCATTTCCGTGCTCGATTTTTGCACGATCACCTGCATTTTCGACTTTCGTGATTATTCGACCCGGCGCGGCGCGGCGCGGCAAGATTATCCGTAATTTTCTGTTATTTATTGCAGGATTATCCTCCCGCCTCCCGCCTCCGTGTCGCAAGATTACCTTCGCCGAGGCCGAGACCCGAGACCTGTTGCATCCGCATCGATCTTATCTTAAGTAGGTATACGTGGTCGCTAAATTTATAAGAAGGAGCACCGTTATGTTTTTCTCTAATGGAGGTCAAAGGTCGTTCTAATATCGTCCGAGATCCCCCCGATCGACTCGAATAACATCGTTTGGAAATTAATACGAACGACTTATGTTTATTATGTTATTTTTATTAATGCAGATTAACTTTAATTTTCATTAAACTTTTTATCTTTCTCTACATCTTGGAACTAGAAAGAAATAAGAGTTGGAATAAACGTGATCTACATTGGTAACCACCAGCTCGCACGAATCTCGCTGTTGTTTATCAAAAGCCGGTTTATTGACAGATAAATCGATTTTTCGCTCTTAAGGGCGACGCAACACCCGATATAATTAACGTACAATTAACGTACGTACGTATATACAATCGATTGCCCCTTATATTAAAAAACCTGGTTATCTTGTAATGGCGCATATATCGCCTGAAATTCACGTTTGTTATCAGTTTTAAAGGGAATTTGTGCGTAACGATGCAGCCCCATATGTTGCGAGACGACGTTAGAATTTATTCGAGATGGATCAGATCATATCTTATTTCAAAATGATTACGGCACGAAATTTGGCGTAACATACCTTAAATATTATGAATTACGAAGCACACATTTTGTATATCAAAACTAAAATGAATATACGAAAATAACGCTTGAGGCATTGTATTCACGTTTCCTTTTTATTCCTTTTAGATTTTTTTTATTTCTTTCTAGAATTTTCTTTCTCAATCATGACTTTGAAGTTGTATTACGATCTGCTCTCACAACCCTCGAGAGCACTATATATATTTTTCAAAGTATGTAACATACCGTTCGAAAAGAAGATTGTAAATCTGAAGAATCTCGAGCAATACACTCCGGAATTTGAGCAGATTAATCCGTTCAAGAAAGTCCCCGTTATAGAGCACGACGGCTTCAAACTTGGTGAAAGGTATCGCTCTCTCCGCAGAATAATATAAATGTGACACTTTTATTTAACCCTTCGCCCGTAAACTATAATTTGACTGGCATCGTCCGTAATCTGGGTCATAAATGTCCTGTCGTTATTTTGACCTAGTAAATAGTGTTCAAAAAATCTGAAAAAATTCTGTAATACTTGTATACTATCCTATTTTATAATCCCAAAGTTTATTTAGCGATTCATTATAAGATAAATTGTTTATAAATAATTCTTTATGCAAAAAATTGATAAAAATCCATTTTTATTAAAAAAATCATATCTCATTGAGTTTTAAATCAAAATAAAAAATTCCAACGAGGTTTTATAGTTAAATATGTGTACTTTCAAGAAAAAAATTCTGTATATGGGTCATTTTTAAAAAGTATAATTATTCTGAGGATTGAAAATGGCCTTTTTCGGGTTAAGGAGAAATAAGACTTTTAACGTAATTTTTACATTATTTTATTAAAAAATCATATAAAATCGTCTTTCTCGTAAATAATATCTGATATTTGTCGCTTGATCATCCATTGTACCCTGAAAGTACATGTAATTTCTTTTTACACGTGTTTTCATCCACTCAAATTTTGAGGTTATAGGTATATATAATATACACAATCATAAAAAAATATCACTTATATAAGTTAAAAATAACTGTAGTAATATGAAAATGACGTTAAATTAATTTTACTTACTTGCACGAAAGTCTGGCACTGTCCGTAAACTGGGTCAATAGTGGCACTGGACGCACTTTGACTCGCTGCTGGTCAAGCACACACTGGCGAATTCCAACGAAACTTTGGGCATGAGTTCTCCCCACTACCTACTTTTTTTACGAGGGACGGCAAGCCCCCCCCTTTTTTCATTTCGGCGGTATTCTATCTTGAATTTCGGCTTGTGCCATTTATGACCCAGTTTACGGGCGAAGGGTTAATTATTTAATCATTTCAATTCCCTTTGATTGGTTTAGCGTAGGGATTACGCGATACGTGTGCCGAGAGTTTAAAGTGGACGAACCCTGGTATCCGTCCGATTCGAGAAAACAGGCTACAGTTGACGAATATCTCGAGTGGCAACATCTCAACACGAGACTTCATTGCGCAGCATATTTTTTAGCGAAGGTGAATGCCATTTCTCTGTGTACCTAAAATATATTCTACGCGCAAAATATTTAAACTTATATCTTTTCAAATGTAGTTTCTTAATCCGGTCATGCGGGGTAAGCCGGCAAAGCCGGAAAAGGTCGCCGAATTGGAAGGTCGTATGAACGATTGCATCGACATTATTGAGAACGTATGGCTGAAAGATAAACCATTCTTGACGGGAAACACGATTAGCGTGGCTGATATATTCTGCGCTTGCGAATTGGAACAACCGCGTAAGCCATGAATATTTCGATTTCAGGATATTACTCTACACCGCGTGTTTACGATTTGAGCAATGAGGAATTTTTTTTGTCTTGTAGGATTGGCCGGTTACGATCCGAAAAAGGGGAGACCACGCCTGACCGCCTGGATGGAAAAAGTTGCCGCCGAAACAAGCCCTCACTATCAAGATGCTCATAAATTTTTAAATCAAATAGCTGCACAAGATCCACAGAAACCCTTTAGTTTCAAGCTTTAATTGTAATACAAATAGCACTCTACATATGACGTCCATAAATATGACGTCCATATATACATACATATATATCATATATGTAATCTATTCTAATCGATAGATGATAATATCTTTGATGGTTTTTATTTTGGTAATTTTTGGCATTCTTTGAATTTGAATAAATAAGCACATTTGTATACGTGTTACACGTATTGTGAAACTAAACCAATATTTATTTCGTTTATTTAATTTCAATCCATTTATTTGCCATTTATCCATTTTAATAAAACTGCGGTGCTGCACGTTCTTTACAAATTGTTACAAAAGTATAAAAAGATTGATTATGATTATGTAACACGTAAGAAGCATTGGAACAAATATATAATAAGCGTTATTGCTTACAGATACGCGACTCTTAAATACATGTTTGTAAAAACGATCATATTTTACTAGCTGCTTTTAGACACACATTGTTTTTTCAAATTACTGACTTTGCAGTAAGGCTCCTCATTGCAACCACGTTGGAGTATGACATCGATGATAAAAAAATTATACAAATTTGTCACGTACATTTAAAAAGAATTCACACAATTTGTCTGACATATCTAATATGATCGCAATAAAGAACCAAGAGTCTAAACGTGCAGTCGTATGCAATCATTACACGACTATACTGTAATGATTTATGACTGTAAGGTACATGAGAGGTAGCACGTTCGTAACATTCGTTACATTACAACAGTACAATATATCGATGAGCTTATACTTTCCGTATTATAGCACAATACATACGTCATTTACCGCACAATAGTAAGGTATAATGCGAGGTGTGCTGAACTCTTTGTATTTCGCAGTTCATAATTTACAAAGCAGAACATCAGACTGTGAACCAAGTACCATTCCATAAAATTACAGTAAGCGTTTATCTTACGACCAAGCACACTTTATCACATTCGTGGTGTAAATCCGATGCGCGTGCAAGACACAGACGTCGCATTCGTTATAATTTATAATACATTGACTAGAGGTACATACATTATCATTGAAAATATATGAATATCAAAACAATGACACACATCTCGTATGTCGTTCATTTATCTTGCTTTGTTGTTTTGGTCATTAAATGAACTCGTTGATACTTTACAGACATTACGTTGTTTACGGATTCTCGTAATTTCTACGATAATTCTCAGACGAGTTTCTTTAATTTAGGCATTCTCTTGGGACATTTTTCTACGTGGATACTCCAGTGACGAGTTTGGCACCTCTCGTCGCAATAGAAGGCTGTCTCGCAGCCCAGGCACTTGAACATGGAACCGGTGAGGCCGCAATTAGAGCACTCCAAAATGTTCGCAGTCTCCGGAGTGCGATTTATCTTACCCAGATGTGGCGTTTCGCAGTTGCGACTCTCTTTCCGCGCGGGTTCTTTGGCGGTCAACGGGCTATTTGATGCCAAGATCGTAGTGGGCTTATACGCTGACGTGGACACCGAGGATGCTACCGTCGGTTCTTGCGCGTTGTCGTCGAAGATCGCTGTCGACGACTGGGAATAAGCATCGTCTGCCTTTACGTAAGGTAATCTGTCCAATATTAAATTCTGCAGTTGACGGTAACCGCCGTTGTTCAATCGCGAGTCCACATTGACGACACCGACGGTGCTGACGGGTTGCACCTGCTCCTGCGGCAAATGCTCGCGATTTGTCACTCTATTCGCCGCCATCAGTTGCGAGGATTCGTTATCCATGACACCGCCGATGCCTCCGGATACCATTTCCGTATCGGTTCTTCCGTATGACGGTAACGTACCGCGCTGTCGACCGAAGGAAGCTGCCGCAACCACCGCAGCAGCTGCCGCCGCAGCAACGACATCCGGGATCATCCTGTTCCTGCCGTTGCTCGCGGGATAGCCGGCCAGGGAAGTGCGTGCCAAAGTCTGCTGCGCGGAGGCGGTTAACGGTGGAGGTGGCGGTAACAGTAGCCCCGGTAGACAAGCCGGCGCGGTACTGTTTTGCGTGGCAGCCGTCGCCGTCCTCAAACGATCGTAATCTAAGCCGGCAGCAGCGGCGGCAGCCGCAGCGTGTTGATAGCCACTCGCTGATAACGTGCCGGAATACTTTAGGAGATCCGTGGTGAAATGACGAGACGCCGTGTTTTGCATATGCGCAGGGTAACGCTTGTCGATATGCTGCATCTGGCGAAGCGAAGAGGCGTGTGAATCTTGTAAGGGACCTATTTGATAGCCGCTTATAGACGGTCCGGCGGTAGCGTGTAGGCGAGAGTGATAAGGGTAATCGCCGTAGGGACATATCGCTGAGTGATAGCCAAAAGCTGCGCTACCATAAGGATCGATCTGCAACGGTAAACTAGCTGAATTATCAAATGACGAGATAACTGCATCTGTAGCGGATAAAATCCTTTGTTCTCTAAACAACTGATAAATATAAAATATATATCTAGCAAATGCATTCCCTTTGCATATTGATTAATTTATGGATCTTCTTAATTTTTCTTACCGCATAATTAGACGGATAGAACTGGGTAACCGAGATAGGTGGACAGACGCCCGGTCTCACCGGAGGCACGGCCGATGGTGCCGCTGCATATAATTGTTGCTGACGTTGCTGATGTTGCTGACGCTGCCACCTTTCCGTGTTCCATTGCGGCGCTACGTTGACTATGTTGTTTCGGCTTGCGTTACTCGATGCACTCGAGCGGACATTTTGCGCCTCCACTCCTGGAATCTGTGCGCGGAAGAACAGTAGAAAATTTTCGTCAGTAGAGAATCGATATCAACGAAGAAAAACAAAATTGTCAGTGAAAATGTAACTTACGCGAGCGGCCTCCGCCGTTGATGCGGTTGGTAAGCTTATCCCAGATTGCAACTTGGATTTCGACTTGGTAGCCTGTTTCTTCGACATTCGCGCCACCCAATTGCCCAGCGTAGGAAATTGCTCCGTCATGATGCGGTTTCCATCGTTTCGCTGATTGGTAGTCTCCGGAAGGGCTTTGTTGCAGCTATTAGGCAGACTAATACATCGATTGCGTGAAAAAAAAAAAAAAAAAAAACACTAGTTAATATATATTTACATAAATCAAATTTAGGTTTATATAACACGTATGTTATACTTACACGATACAGTGTTGGTTTGAGCTGCTGACGGCAGACCTAGATTGAGTGAATCCCAGAGGCATTGGTGGATCCAAGGCCGCGGATTGACTCATACTTGACGTCACCTAAAAGGACACAAAATACATTTTAACTATTGAAATCGGATTATAATTATTTTTTTGTAACTGCACAAGCTTTTAACAGCATAACATGATATAGAGAAATCAATTATTCACAGTTAAATTATTATATACAATAATTTGCAAATTTAACGAAAAAATATGAGGAAATCTAAATAATACGTGCAATTTTATCGATTTCAATATTTTACGACAATTTACTTATGCGCATTACGACCATTATTAATCTTAAATAATTTTTTGCAGATTACCTTCTGCACGTCCCTCGAATTTTGTATGACGTCCGTGAAGACGACGTTTTCGCGTGCGACAGGCGGTGAGCCGTAATAATTCGACTGCAGTTGCAGGATGTTGGTTACATTGGCAGCAGGTACTTCTAGTCGTTCGACCATCGTTGACGCTTCCTGTGCAGCCGTAACTGTGCTCGTGACCAGCCTGTTCTTACCATTAATTCTTTCTTCTGAGTTGTAAGTCCCGTATTCCGTTGTTTTTCTAGTTTCCTCTACGATCGACGTGGATGGTAGAGCCTCGTTTGATTTCTGTTCGAGCTCTTGCTTCTCACAGGCAACTTGTTTGTTCGCAATGGTTTCCGAGACCTGTGTCACTTCATCGAGATGTCCTTGAACGATGGGTCTTTCCTTCGTGTCTCTCACGTCCCTTCCATCTATGTCGACGTCCATCGTCGAACCTAGAAAACTGTCCGAAGGTATCGTCGGTGTCGTTTGTCGGTGACGTTCCTTGATATCGCCAAATGTTTTAGTGTCCTTCGAAATTTTCTCCTCGATTTCCGGCTGCTTCAGTTTCGACGAAGGTTCCTCTTCGCCCCACTCCACTGTACTGTTTCTCGGATCTTCGAACTCGGACGATGAAACTGCGGATATAACTGGTACCGTTATTACGTCGTCGCGAATTATCGTTTGATCCCTATCGCTCACTTTGACTTCTTTCTCGATCCGCGAGCTCAACGAGCTGTCGCCTTTGTGCCAGCTTTTAGTAACAGTCAGATTTTGCTTGAGACAATCGAGAGCAGTCGGCTGGATCGCTATGTAAACCCTGGGTAGTACCGGCGGACTGTCTCTCACTGCATCGGGCGATTTACTTTTCTCGTAGTCGATGGGAGAACGCGGCGACAATTTCGGCGGTTCCGGAGAAGGGGACGGGGAAACTCTACTTCTGGATATTCCATTTACCTTTGCAACATAAATATTAATTAATGGAAATGATATTGTATAAAATAACACAACCGACAAAATTGATTTTTTAGAACATCAATTTGCATCCAACGACCGTTTCGCGGATCTGCGGATTTAACGGTCTTCTCAGCGAGAATATAAGTTTATTTTATTTGAGAAGAAAAGGACTTTATACACGAAACACTACACTTTACCCAATTCCTCATTCAATTCCTGTCATTTTACTTACCTGTGTGACGTCACTGTCAACGGCTGTTTTCTCAATTGACGTATGCTCATCCAGCTCGTTTTCATAGTCGAGATCGACGACGACATCGTCGGTGTCGGTCGTGGGCGGTATGGAGGCAGACAGTTTACACAGCAGCTTAGATATGTTCTCGATCTGTTTCTCGTAGCAGTTCATCATCTGCCGCAGCCGGGTGCTACGCTGCGGGCTCGTGTTGGCGGCGTTATTGCACACAGTCATCTCCCGCGAAAGCTCCAATGCTTTGCCTCGCAGTTCCCGCAGTTTCTGGCGCAACCGGTTGCGACGGTACTTGATCTTGTAGCCGTCGCTCTTCGGCGAGCACCGCCGGCTCTTATCCCACGCATTGCCCGTCGACGATTCGAGTGCCTTCTCCGATGCCACGCTGTTCCAGAAAGAGGTAGCGGAATATCCGGACGGAGATTCCGGACGTGGCGTGGCGCCGGTGACAATGCGATAGTTGGACTCATTCCCCTCGACGTTCACCTCGACTCTACGTTGATATTCGATAGCGCTCGCTGAGAATAAAAGCAAACAAGTAATAAATAATGATGTGAAGAAATTTATGTTTCCTGAATGCGCTGAGTGCAAGTTATTTTTATTGGATTGGAACGAAAAATTTGCCAATTATCTCTTGGTAGAAAAATTAATTAAATAATCTAAATTAATATTGATAAATTTATTCATGTAACTCCTGGAAATGTTAATTAAATATTGAATATTTAAAAAAATACCTTCGCGCACAACTTTCTTCAATCTTAAAGGCGGCACGACCTTGTTGCAGGCTTCCTTCTTTTCTGCCTCTGACTCCGTCGTCGACACTACGACCGGTGACGAGTATCTCTTGTCATCCCACAGCCTCACCATTACATGCTGCTGCAATTTTCTTTCGCCTTTGTCGGCCAACGTGCCGGAACAAGTTCTGGAGTACTCCTTCAAAATATTCTTGACGCGTTCGTCGCGTATGTGGCCGGTATCGACTTCGTGGGATTTTCTCCGTTTCTTCGCATCCTTGGTAATTTCTTTCTCATATTCTCTGTCCGGATCTTGGCTGTTTTTTCTTTTAACGCTGTTGATCTCTTTCGTGATCTGTAACGTGTGAACCATCCTACAGTCGTATAATTAAAGCGGATTATACACGACTATTAAAGCTGATGTTTAATTTTAATTTCCAATTTCAATCCACAGACATTGCTTGCTTTCGATTAGTCAAATTTAATTGCAATCCGTGTACCATAACGATAGAACAAATATAAAACCATAGCGACGGATAAATATTACTTGGTGAGATCCTCTAGTATATAGTAATTTTTTAACTCATGCAAATTTTGATTCGCATTGTATTCTTGAATCATTTTCATATAACGACGAAGAAGTCTCGCGTTTCGCGTTTGTTAAAAATATAGTACACTCGAAAATAACTATTTCTTTTTCGAAGGGGGAAAGAAAAGAACAAAAAATTAACTCTCAGGCCAGTTCGCTTCGCTACCTGCACGACATTACTCATGTCTGGAAGAATGTAGTCCGAGCGATCGATGAGCTCGCTCGTAAGCATCATTCCTTCTCCGTTCCCATCCTGCTGCCCGAAAGGGACGTCGTTCAGTTCGTTTGTCAACGAACCGCTCGGAGATTGCAACTCTACTACGTCCATCAGGCTTACAGATTTCGACAGCTTGAGGATCGGCGAGCGTGTCTTCCGCAACGTTACTATCGATGCCGCCGACCTCGTCGGTATCGGCGGCGCTGGTCGGATCGGTAGGGAGCGATTAGGCTGCACAGGGATCACGCAAGGACCACGATCCCTCAAGGCGGTCGCCAGGCTATTGCCCGTGCTACCGCGTTGCAATCTGCTGGAACTGTCTGCTATCATGATGCGAGGTTCTGGAATAGAACGGAATTCATAGTTAGATATCATCGACACGACAGAGAGGACGCACGACCTCTCGACCTACCCCAAAATCGTCCGGGTCACTTAAAAAGAAATTCTCAACATTTCATCACTTGATATTAATTAAAATATCTCGTTACATCGATTTTTTTTTAAGCATCGTTCGACATCTTTCTTAAAAATAGCTTTTCTCGATTTTAATTCTAATTTTACTTTCAGAAAAGGCACGTGTTTTAATGATATTAATGACATTCAGCACGTCATCTTCTTGGAGGCTATTTCTGAGTAAACAGAAGCCTTAAATAAGCATGATGAACACAACGTTTCGAAAGGCTATTGGCTATTTAATCGAGGTGACAAATGCAAATTAATGCGGATGATATTTTAATCTATTTTTATCAATTTAGTTTATAGCACGCATCAAAATTCTTAATTCCCCTGATAAATGCGTTTTAACAAATCCAGTCAATTTTTATCGTAAATTTTTTATAGTAGGATATTTTTTCAGATTCCGTATTCCTTGAAGACGTTCTTCTTATTTACGTTCCTCGCACGGAACCAAATGTTAAAAGGCATTGAAGAAATGGAGAAGATTGGACACTAGAGTTTAATACATACTACTAATTGATTTTTCTGAGAGTAATTATATACATCGTTTGTGCCGATGTCGTAGTGTGCACATGTGTCATCGCCAATATATTATTTAATATATTGAATATATATCCGAGACATATCGAGGCTAAAGATCAACGACGTGTTACTTGGGTAGGATACGTTCTCACCCGACATTTCCGAGCTTTCTTCGGCGTTACTGAATCGTTTCAAGATCGTCTGCTTCCAGGTAGCTTGCTTAGACTCCTCGTTGGTCAGATCCACGAGAACTGGAGCTTCCCGGTGCTCTATCGTGACGATCGCGCTGGATGTGGAGGCCGTCTCTACGTCGCCGACGTCACCTTCGTAATAATCCAGATGTTCCGCTAGTTCTTCGTCCTGCCCGCTCATTAAGCCCCCTTTGGCTTTACGTATCTTTGCGGCAGCGGAGGCGGCTCTATCCTGCTGCAGCAGCTGACATTCCACGCAATCCTTGCACGTGGCACACACCTCGTCCTCTTCGAGTTCCGTCGAACTGGAAATCCGTGGACAGGCCGTCCTTTCTTCGTTGCTGCCGTCGCTATTCTCGCAGAATAGCTCAACGATATCGCAGGCGATGACGTTGGTGTCGTTCGCATCGATAACCGTGGAACACCCATCGAATCGGGATAAGCTCTTCCCGGTATCATTAGACTCGCCGTGCGGCTTTTTACTACGGGATATCGTGACCCTGGGCCAATGAGTTCTAGCGATAGGTGCAAGCGACTGATTGGATTTATCCTCCGACGAGAGCTTCCTCTTCTGCGCCACGGCCAAATGCTGATCGTGCGACCGCATTTTTCTTACGCGTTACAAGTTATAATCGAGTGACACGAGACTCGAGGATTTTTCCGAAAGTTTGGTAAGTGGCACGCCGGAACATCTCGTGTTCCAGTCGCATTTAGAATTATTCAGATGAACGGCATCCTCCTCCCTTGCATTCGCGCGACACGCGTTGCAGTAATAATTACGGTTGAAAGGGGGAGGAGGAGGGGAGGGGAGAGTTGATAGAAGGGCAATTAAGTATTAAACAGCCAACGGTATACTTTAGCTGTTTTGGTCGATAAAGTTGAACAAAGTCTCGTGATGCAAATAATATATGGGGGGGGGGGAGGGAGACGGGAGCGAAGAGACGCTCGCGCTCGCGAAAGGGAAGGTAATAATTGCGAAGCTTCGTGCGCTACATGTCAACCGTTCTGCATGGTGTTTTTTTTTCTTTTTTTTTTCGTCAGAAGTCTTCTATCGATTCTTATCGATTTTTCCTCATACGCACTGTGCATCGAGTGTCTTTCGCTTTACATTTACAGCAACAGCACACACGAAAAAGGGAGAAATTACGTTTCGCACGCGATGCACGCCCCTCTTGCTCCACCTTCTTGCTCTCTTGTTGGACGCACACACGCATTTGTCTTTTTTTTCCTCGCACGGAAATTCACGGTTGCGCCGAAGAAGCGAACCCCCTCGTGGCAATCGAAAATCGAAAAAAAAGTCTGTACTAAAAACTTTCTTCGTTGCAACGTTGCATGTGAGTCAGATGTAATTACCGTAGGGTCAACTTAACATTACAACTGCGAATATAATTGTTGAATAATGCGATAATCAACGTTTAGGCAAAATTACTGGCAACGAGCATGGAAATAGAAACGAGCTCATAGTTTAGATTACGAAATTGCCGGTATTTCGTAATCTAATTCGTGAAACCTTCAATCTATTTTTACACTTAATTAGTTACACTATATATAGTGACATAGTTACAAAGGAATTTACAACAGTAAATTATTTTTTTTATTTTCTTTGATGAAATAACCAAAAATAAAAATATTAGGAATATATTTTTATAATTCTCACTACTTGTGTACTTGTATAAAGTTGCACTTTGTGTTATCAATTAATTACATTTATTAAATAACTGTTAAATTTTATGACCCTATATATATATATATATATATATATATGACGTATATTATAATATATTTTAAAGGATTTTACTTTCTTTCTGAAATGATATTTAAGCAATAAGACGCTCCTCTGCATTATGCTCGTTTGTACCTGTTTTTTATTTTTATACGTTATCTTTTCCAGGTAAAAAATATAACGGAATTTGTTAGAGATTATAAGGAATTATAAAAGGAAATATTTAACCGTTAAAAGACTTCGTTCCCATTCATCGGGGTCACGTCCTCAATCTTGATAACGAAAGAAGCACACAGATGCAAATTACCTTTGCAAATTATCTTCGGCGTCGTTAAACGAATACGATAAATAATCGTGCAGAGTTGTGACATCGAAACGATGACATCGTGAATATCCATATAGATGAGACATCACACACTTAATTTACCGTTACCAAGATATTTATGTTTCGATATATAATTTTCATATTATATCGAAAGATATATAAGACCGAAGAAGACGTACTTCTCTGCTTGATGCACAGCAACGAAGCTTACGAACGCAGACTTACTTCTCATTGTCACTTTCTATCGTTGCTTTCCGTCGTTAGCATCCGCGAGTTAATGTATACTCCACACCGAATCTTACATCATCGTATCACTGCAGTAGGAATCACGTGTCGGCCACCCACTCAACTCGAAGACGCCACTTGATGCCGCAATAAGGTAAAAAACCTCACACCTTACTTTTCTCTTTCTCCTCTTCTTTCCTCTTTTCTTTTACAAACATCTGTCCTCTCTGAGTCATAATACCGCACCTTTTGCCTCTTTTATCTCCCTTTCTTTTTTTCTATTCCAGTTTTCACAGAAACTCGCACAAATCCTCACAGTTGACGGTACCTCGCATTGTCTGAACTCTTTCCGAAACTTTTACAGCGTTATCGTCCTGGATAGCGGAACCCTTGGACGTTTTATTCAATGTCCCGGCCGGACCGCCGGCCGAACATCATTCTACGCGGAGACGACGTCGGTCACGGTATCCCTCCTCCACGTGTGTCACAGAGCTGTAATGTAGACTGTCATGCGAAGGAGCGAGCCTAGCCGGCCGGGCCGGCGAAGCGATAGAGCAATATATTTTTCCCCCCTCTTATCTATTTAACACCACACGCGTGACGGCTGGCTCTCTTTCGGGAGCCCTTCGACGCGACAGACGTATTTCAATTGGCCGGTCAGGACGCGCATCCTCCGGCGCAGGCGGAAGGACGATCGGAGAAGGGACACGCGAGTCGATCATGTTGATGTCTCCACACAACCACTTTTTTTTCCTCGACTCCATCGCGCGCCTACGCGGCGCTACATTCCCGCTCATTTCAGAGAAAGAATTCTCTGAAAATCGATCAAGCCAGCAGAGTTAGGAATTTAGGAATCCTCGAAACTCCAAGAGGTTCCCAATGGATTCCTAAGGAGGTGCCAAGGGGGTCCCAATTTCGAAGGGAGAGATCTTTTTTATGTCTCTGCGAAAAGCATCGCGCGATACTCGATACTTATATTTTAAACGCCTCGATTGTAAAATGTATTTGGTCCCATTACAAGCAACAGAGCTGCTAATGCTTCACTTATCTGCAGTTTTATGCGGTTGTACGGTCGTTCAAGGATTAACGATAAGTACGTGATGATAAAAACGCAGCTAGTATCGCCGTAAAACTTGGCGCGCATTTTCGTCTCCGTCTTGATTTATATTTTGTCTATTTACGTTAAATATCGACATGAATATAATTTTACAATCTTAAATCGTAAACTGATTTAAGTAGATTCTGATCATTAATCTGTTTGAAACGAAATGGTATCAACGTCGAGAAAACTATCATTTTTATATCTAACTAACAATAAGAACCAGTGCGGTAAATCGAATCGAATTAATTAGGTGTAGGGGGAGGGGGGATATTTTACTACTCCAACCGGAGCTGTGTTTCAAGTCTGACAAATCTAATCGGCACGCAGTCAAAGGTTGTAAAATATGTAAAATAAAAATATAAATTAAACTTTCGCGCATCATTTACCGCGCTGGTTCTTATAGTTGGCCCGTTTTCTATATTCGTGCGGATTTCCATTAGAAACTATACTTGGAATTTTTATATCTATTTTTACAGGACTTTGGCTAGATTGACGAGTCTCGCAAGCGCACATAAAACTCGTTCGTAACAACGGCATTCCGAGTTGGAAAAGACTCGTTTCGACGTCGTCGTTAAAGCAAAAGATGAAGTAAAATATAATTTCCACGGCCTTTCCCAAGTCGCGGCCGGCGCGGGAAACTTTTGAGCTCCTCGTCAATACGAGGGGATGAATGCTTCATGCACCCCACGCGAATAATGTTAGCGTGACGCGTATAACCAGGCAGCAGAACCCTTTCGCAGAGAGAAAAGAGGCTCTTTCATAATTTACCGGTCCACTTACAGGTATCTTCTTTGTAGTTCTGCGTTATATAAGTCCGCTTAGTTAGTGTATGTACGTAGTGCAACCTTGTACTATCCCACTCCGAGAGAGTATCTAGCGTTTCTTTGAGTGATACTTTCTAACGCGCGTAATATAGTTTTCGAAGAGAGGAAAGGAGGATCCCGTCTTCGATCGCACGCTCGTCTCGAAGGATTGCTTACGAGAATATCCGCGCGGCGATATTATGTCACGGTGCTCCGTATTGATATCGGGCTCATCCGTTCTCGACTCGGGAGAGAGAGAGAGAGATGTAAGCGTATAATTAATTAGGCTCGGAAATGACGTCGAAATTCTCGTGCCACGTTTAACTTTAATTAACCAGTAATGGTCAATGAGCGGCGATAACGAAAAGCAGTCGTTTTCTTTTGTTGTGACAACGACATTGTACATGTGCGGCGATGTGGCTGATGAATGCTATGTCTATAGATAGATCTTTACAGCGAACGTGTGCCTTTGCTTCGTCGGCGATATCTACGTCCGGGTATATAAGGGTCATCGACATATCCTCCTTTGCGAATATCGACGAAATCCGGACAAGATCGGCCGGCTCGCAAAGAAATCGTCAGCTCGCGCGCTCTCTTCCTGGAAACCCTACCGGTGACGATCTATCTATGCTTATAAACGTATATATACGCTTATAGAAGCGAGTTATCGATTGAAAAGTTTCGTGAGCCCGATAAACCGCGCGATTTCGCGTTGATATCCTTCAAATTCTTGCGAGCGAGCGCAACTGTTGAGCAGCGAAACAGTAAAGAACGGGATGAAGGTGAGCAGTGTATATTTGCATAATTTGAATCATATTGATCCGTTTAGGTGTACGTGCTCCTTTGTTAAACAGGTAGAAAAATTAAGCGCACGCTTGGAGAAGGTCATTTAACAGATAATCGTTCGTCGAGAACCGAGAATACTTTAATAGGAAAATTATCGAGAAAATTGATTTCCACCTCAAGGCTATCTGGATTACATAAAGCTGGCACATGGTAATATTATTCGATTATACATTCTAAATGAAAAAGAGCACTCACTTGATAGGCGAAGCTCCAGAACAATCTGCGACTTTGCTTATCATATCATTCCTCGATGACGATGATGATCAGGCTGTCATCCTCCGAACTCATGGTATATATCTTACTGAGAGATGTGCACAACTGGAATCACGAACTTGCGATCCCATCCAGACATCATTAGCTAATCCGGATGTTGACTTTCACGCTTATCTGCTGGACCACACATCAAAAGATTCGCCTCCAGATTGAGAGCGGACGCGTCGGATTCTCTATAATCACTCAAGTACTTTTCCAGTCACTCAAAACTAATTTTAATATTTATAAGTTAAAGCGACAAGGTTCGATATTTAATTTTTATTAATCTCCATTCTTCGTTTCAACGTGTTAACTTCTCCAAACGAGACAACGTTCCTATCTATAGATCGGCAGACACAGGAGATTTACGTTATCGATAATCCATCACTTTGAGCTGTCCCGTGTGTATGATCTGCCGTGTGTAATTTCGTGTCTACGACGACGCGACGTCGATGTATCGCACGCGGCGCGACGCGACAGACCACGGCGCCGGAGCGAGCAGCGAGCCGGTGTGGGCCGGTGTGCGGCACGCGAGTGTGATCGCCGCGGCGAGGTACAACATAGCAGCGCCACGTGGTACACCGAGGTCGTTACCGTGGGGGGCTGTCGTCGTTAGGACTCCCTCGGATCAGCGACGACGACTTGCGCCCGACGCCCGTGAATCTTCTATTTCGTGGCTACTCCGCGGACCCGTACGCTTGATTATGACGTGATCTGCAAGGTGGACGCAGAAATTATTTATCGAATAGTACATTCATAATGTCAAAAGCAAATAAATGTCGTATATATGCAGTAAATGAGCTGAAATATTATGTACAATCGCGAAAGAGGTAAATCGAAATAAGGGTTGCTTCGAAATTAACATGATAAAATAAATCTTTTTCGATTATAGGTACGTGTCAATAAATTTGTCTTGATGATTATCAAAAAGATGCTACATCCCATTGAAATAATAAAAGCGACCTTGATATTTTGCATATATATATATATATATATATATATACACACATCTTCTTTAATTATTTTAATTGTTTTGAATTATTTCATTAAATATAACACGTATCTTTCTTATTATTATGCTAACAGTCACTTTTGAAATTATCGTTGACGGTCATTCAAGTTTAAAAAAGTATAAATATATTATTAATTTTCCAATTTTCAAAGTTATATCTCTCAAAGACGAAGCCTCGTACCATGAGTTTTGACCCATTCTGTATAAATAGGACACGTATAACGAGTACCTTGAATCCAAATGTAATGCTACTTATTATCATAGTCGATATAGTGCTTGAACACGCGATTTCTATATCTCATGCTTCTTTCACAGGGATCGAAGAACACGTAATCCGTTATCACAAGCATAAAGATGCGCAAAATCTGATTTTTTTTTCCAAATTAGATCGACGATTCTTCCTCCCTTCTCTCGAGGATTTAAACTTGGAGCTAAATTTAACTCATGGGCACGTAAAGCACGTCCCTATACACACGGCGATCGATTGTCTTTTGTCTCGAATTGCTGTTCCAAGACTCTTAGCCATTTGCACGAAACTTCTATCCTTCGCTATTGATCGGATAATTATTACAAAGTTGCTACGCCATTTCCTAGTTGATAGACTTGAGCTATTCTACAATGTATATTTCCGCTTGTGCGATACGACATGCGGAGAAGAAGAAAGAAGAATAAAAAGAAAAAGAGGTATAATAAAGAAGATGATGACGAAGAGTAAAAAAAACGCGATGACTCATGTTGATGAGAAATAAATTACACGCGAAAAGAGAGTAGAGTATATAGCTCGAGTCTACGCGCTATCTTGAATATGAATTACGTTCTCATGGCAACTGATGACGGGGAAGGTCATGTGCAGGGGTGAGGGTGAGACCGTGTACGCGAGGGCGACGCGCGACGGCGCGGCGAGGTTGCAACGTTGAATATACTGTGTGATGCGACAATTTTTAATACGTATAAACATTTAAATATTTACCCCGCAGGCCACGTCGGAAATACGTGGACAGACGTGAATATCACGTACGCAGGGTACACGTCGTCGCTTCTAGCTTCCGGTAGCGATTGTTGATCGATCGCTTGCATTGGGGGAAAAAAAAAAACAGACGCGTTTCAGATAGCGTGAAACACGTCTTTATCTGCCTTATCTGACTGCCGATCCCGTGTATTCGTCGTGGCCTCCGCTTTAATTTCGCTCACGCGCGAGGCGCGTACGCATATACGTATCGATAAGTGTAATTTCACGTGTATTACTCGCGAAGAAAAAAAAGAGGGAGAGGTTCCCCTCTTTTTTCTCTTTTGCCTCCCTCTCCTTCTCTCTTTCACGCAACCATTCTTATTTCATAAGCTAGGACAACGGTACGCTATACATATATACTATATGCACCTTTTCATTATGCAATTTATATGTATTATATGTATTCGCGATCGCGAGGGAGAGAATACATATAACGCGTAATGTTTTTGTATTCCGAATGGACGGCAAATTCTATCGATTCCTATCGCTAACAGACCCCGACTCTACGGATGATATATATATTCGAATATTCGTGCTTTCTTCGAGGTCAACGCAACGGTCCTCATCTACGAGATTATTGCCCGTTATCGCCATATCCGTTCGCGGTAAGCGTGAAACGCGAGCCCGGTAACACGATCGACCACCTGTATCCCCGTGCATAATTCCTCCTATCGAACAAACAAAGGAATGGTTAGATGGTTACTCGTTGGCAAACAGTTAACGACGTTCGCTCGGCACGGTCTCGCCCCGCGTTCCTATCAGGTTACTCCGGACCTTTTCTCACCTTTCGCCGTCCGCGGTGTCAAGGTGCCAATCGGCACGATTCCAGACTATTCCAGAGGGAGACGACAACGCGGCGAACCGATGAGAGAGCGCGATTCTGCATACAAGATCCTGCGGTTCAGGTGACATTTTCCCTCCCCCGAGAAGACGCGGTATTCCGGTAATCCCGGCACGTACATATATGCACGTCATGTCGACCAAGACCACCGTGGTGCGGAAAACGAGATCCAGCAACTTGGAGTATCGCGGCGACTCCAGATTTCCATCAGGCTCGGCGTGCGACCGTACGCTCGGAGACAGGCCGATTCATCTGAAGAGGAATAGCGCGTACGAAGGAAAAGAGGTAAACGCAGTTTACACCCTGTTCCTGAGGAAAAGCGGGATGTGTCTCCATTTAAATTCATCTGTAAGTTAAAAATAATTGTATATTATAAAATGTTGTTGATGATGGTAGGTCGACAGAATAAGGGATAAAAGCGGCACGAGGAAATATCTGATTCCCTCGAAGGAGCCTATGGTCTATCCGAAGATCATGACGAGGAAGGAGTATGAGGACCTGAAAGAACGCAGCCGCGTAATCACAAAGGAAGAGAGACAAACGACTGCGGAGGCCGCGGCGAAGGAGAGGGAGAGACTGACGAAGGAAAGCGCGGCACGGAAAGAGGCAATCCGCATGATGGACATGAAGAAGAGTCGCGAGAAGGATCCGAGAACGAGGGAGATCGAGGAGGAGGCAAGAAGGAGGACACGGCACATCCTCGAGCGGGCGTACAACATGCGTCTGGAGCAGGAGGAAGAGATACAGAAGTGCACGCGGCTCATCCTTGAGACCAAATGCCGAGCTATTCGCGACGCCCAAGTAAACCTGCACTGACATTGCAACGGAATTCCGCATATATGACGTAACGTCTATATAATGCCCAATTTTCGTGTACATGTACATTTAGCTATTCATTTGCAGATCGCGGAAAAGAAGCTGATGGAACAGGAGCTTCTCGAGGAGGAGAAACGGCTGCACGACATGATGGAAGACGAGAGGAGATGGGCGATCAAGGAAGAGTCGCGAAAGGAACAGGAGGAGGCGGCCAAGAGGCTGCGATTCGCCAAGATCCTGAAGGAGCAGATCGTGGAAAACGAGGAGCAGCGGGTACTCGAGTTTGAGAAGAAGCAGGAGGAAAGCCGGCTCATCAATTTAAATAATATCGCGTGGCAGCAAGATGAGATCGAGAAGCTGCGCAACAAAGAGGCTGAAAATGCTAAAGTGCGGCAGGAACTTGCGGAAGGAAACGAGCAACTGAAACATTTCAAGGCTATGGAACAAGAGGAAAACAAAATTATAGATATAAGGTGTGTTTTATCAAAAATCATTTCAAATCATTTATTATAGTTTTTAAAATTACCTGCTTGGAACTATCTCGACCTTGGTATCTTTCCTTGGAAAAAATATAATTTTTATTAAATTTAACTTTTCAGGATACAAAACTATCATCGAATGAAAGAAGAGAGAGAGGCCAAAAAGATGGAAGAGCAGAAATTAGAGAGATTGAGAAAAGAACGAGAAAAAACCAGAGTAGCGATGCGAACGGTGCAGACGCACGAGCTTCAGGTATTGAATATCGAACTTGATTGATTCGCTACGTAAGTGTATCTAGAAGTTACGCTAGACAGCAATATACCACAAGGAATGGGATTTTACCAACAATAAGTACGTCGCAAGATCATAAATTTTTCCGCTAATGAAAATGCAATAATTTACGCAATACATCATGTCGCGTTGCGCGTATCGTTCCATTTACTTCTATAATTACCTACATACGTCCTTGCGTGTCTCAACTACCTGTTGTCGAGGGTCAATGAATCCACGAGCGCCACGTCAGGTCTCGCTATCTACAATGTGTTCTTCTTTCGAAATTGCGCTTCGCGTTTTTTTTTTATCGTATTTTTTTCTTATTGCGTGGTTATTTGTGGCACTTGATAAAGTATTAAGTGCCATATGCTATATGTTATTACACTGTAATGAATTCTTTTCGCAATTAAAACAATTACTGTACGTTGAACGTTATAAACTGTTCCTGTTATTTCTAATAATGCCTATTTTTAGGATGTATTTATTATGTCATAATTTATTGATGTTTTAAAGAAACATTTAATTAAAGGATTATAAGTTACTATAGTTTTAACTGTAAGCAACGTGCGACAATAAATTTGCAGGCGCAAATTGATGAAATCAATGCGGCTCGGGTTCAGGAAGAGGTAGAACGGGAATGGAGACGAAAAGAGAAGGAAGAAGCTTTAAAGAAAGTGGAGGCTCAAAAGATTCTTCAGAGACAAAGGGAGGAACAAATAAACAATAAGCGAATAATGCAAGCCATCGAGATCGAGCGAGAGAGGCGGGAATTCGAGAGGCGTGCACGTGTGCAAAAAGCAGCTTTTTGTAGAGAAAAGAAGGAACTTGGACAAAAGCAACAGCAGGCTCAAATTCATCGCAGTGAAATATTAAAGCAGGTTTGTATCATTAGTCTTCACCTGAAACAATGTTAATGCATTAGTATGCACAATTATATAAGTATATATATTAGAGAGGGATATATCATTCTGTTCTCAATTATAAATATATTCTTTTATATAGTTATATATGTGTATATAACATTGTAGATTATGTACATTAGTACAATATATATGTGTCTTATCGTACATTATATGTATTATTCTATTTCGCTTGGATAGGTAAATGAAAAGGAACGAGAGCGCATTGCTGAACGGCAAAAAATGTTTGAAGAAGGCTTGGCAATACGTGCTGAAACTGCGATGCGTAAGAAGAAATTACAAGATGCAATGGAACGAAAGTACCAAGAAATGAGAGAGAACAAAGTCCCTGATATTTATATTAACGAAGTGAAACGGATGATCGAAACTATTCAATGAGTTATTTGATCAGACTGCGTGTGAAAAAGAAAATTAAGAGAAATAAAAAAGTATAATATACATATATACATATATAATTTTTTTACATAGATGTAACAAGTTTATAGAAAATTGTCTAGTTTTACAGTCTTTTAAGTCTCTGCGACACATCACTTCCATATCATTAGAACGTTTGCATCGCGCTCGATGAGATCTTCAATTTGCGCGGCGGACTGGCCCGTGCTACAGCATATTTCATCGAGGCTGTACGTGCCTGTGAAATACTTATAAATTGGATTATTTTTTGCTTCTTCGCTGCAAGATGCACCAGGAAGAAGTACAGGATACTATAAGAAAAGATTCAATTAATATACCGCTATACAGTGCGGCTTATAATGCAACGCCCGAAAGCTACTCACATTGTACACCCTTCTAATAAGCCCCTCGATCAAACCAAATTGTACCAGCCTTCTCTCATTTATTCTTAGGTTCTGTGGATTGAGACGTTGGCACAAGTCTTTCATACTGACGCCGTAAGTCATACTCGAATACATACGGTATATATCTCTAAAAAACGCCGGTTGTCTAGCTATAAAGAAACAAAAAACCATCAATAAATTTAATCGCGGTGTTAAACGTAATAATCATTACGTTCGAGAAACGATCATTTACCTAACTTGGAAGCGTACGCTATACACCTTTCCTGTAATTTTAGGTCGTCCGGTAATTTTCTTAATTTTGGAGTTACGGCATAGACGTTACTATATTGAAATATTGGGATCAAAGTTACAACCCCATAATATCTGCAAAAATGTCTCTTATATAATACAATCGATTAAGGGAATGGTATCTCTCGTACAAATATCTCGTACACAAGATTTTGCACGCAGCTTTTGACCAAATTATTCTCCACGTCGGCCTCAGCCGCTATGCGCGCCACATGATTAAAACCATCGATGTAAGGTAACACTTGTTGCGTAGTCAAATCCCATTGATCGCACTGAAATGACTCTTTGTCTTCCAAAAATATTGGTACCTGATGATCGAGAACTGGCTTTGGCTCAGGCGCTAATCTCACAACTTTCAAATGTGATGTCATTGTTCCCTCTAACAAGATATTACATGTAATATATCACGAGATAAGACATTTTAAATATTATATATATATATATATATATATATATATATATATATCTATGAAACCTACCAGTCAATGTACACATTTTGTGCATATTCAAATCCTGCATGACTTGAGCGAGCATCTCCGCCAGTCTGGTCTTGTCATCCGAGGCAGATAGAAAGCAATTTTCTATTTCCAAAGCCATCTGATAATCACGTGAAAATCAGTACATATAAATCGCTATACTTTTTTAAATATTAAAAATTTACCAAGAAATCCGACATCTTCTTGACCACTGGCTCATAATGGACAGTACGAGCATTCGCATCACAGACAAAACACAAGTTGAAATAAAACGCATTTCTTGCGTATTTCTTATCGTCAATCTTCACGGGGAAGCCCAAAATCTTATAGTCCTTTAACGTGCTGGAGGAAAAAAAAATTCTTAAAGACGAAACATAGGAGAATCGACCAGTTAACTTTCGCAGCTTCAAGTACCTTGACTTACATTGTAATGGTACTTCTTTGTAATTGCGCCTTTGGTATGATGTAAACACTGACATTGTCGAATATGTCCTTAGATATGTAATTGTCAGGTACCTGTAAAATAACGCAACTAACAATAAGTCACAAATGAAATGTTTAATCACTTGCACTTGATGCATGCTACCCTAACCTGGCATGTAATTTTGGGTCCCGCTATATGGTGAAATTCGGCAAAAAATATGCATCGAATCGGATCCTCTTGTTCCTTGTCCCCGACACTTTCCAACGAAACGGATGCCATTGTGTGTCTCTCTGTCTTTTTACTGAGATTGTATTGCGTCCGGCGTCATTTAAACTTTTGATTGAAACGTCAAATCGGCACTGCGCACTGCTGCCATCTAATAACCTTAAACACGTGCAAGCGAACTAAAATCGAGCTCGAGAGCTCGAGCTCGAGCACATGGTGGAAAGCGTGCCGGAGCTCGAACGACGAGGCCGACGAGGCATACAGAGGCATATGTACATCTTGTTTTAATTTAGTGATTTTACGAGATGAGTAAAAGAAAACTTGACGACGAGACCGACGCCGCTCCGGCGGACACCGAGGTCAAGAGAGTTCTATCTCGTTTCAAATCTGACACTGGCCAAGTTCTACCTGGTGGCTTGTTGGACCTGCCGGTTGATATCACGGTGGATAAACTGCAAGCAATTTGCAATGCTCTGCTGCAGCAAGAGGAGCCGTTGCCCCTAGCATTTTACGTGAACAATGTAGAAGTCACGGACGTATTGGAGAAGTATGTTGGCAAGGATTTCAGCATCAGCGAGGACGTTGTGGAGATTGTATATCAGCCGCAAGCGGTATTTAAAGTCAGAGCTGTCACGAGATGCACCGGATCCTTAGAAGGTCACTGGCAGCCGCCGTTCAATGAATATATCCAATGAAAAATGATTATTTTGTAAACTTTCGTTCTCTTCTATAGGTCACAAGGAAGCCGTTATATCCGTTGCGTTTTCACCGGATGGCAAGCATCTAGCCAGCGGTTCCGGTGACACAACGGTCAGATTGTGGGACATCTACACGCAAACGCCGCATTACACGTGTGAGGGGCACAGACACTGGGTCTTGTGTATTTCCTGGTCACCCTGTGGCACTAAGCTGGCTTCTGCCTGTAAAAATGGATCGATTTACTTATGGGATCCCAACACTGGCAAACAACGGGGTAGAGATCTAAAAAGTATATTCATCAAACTTGTGTTTTCTCCCTAGGCAAGAATATAGTCTTTTTTTTTTCACGTTTGTCAAATAGGAAAAGCCATGGCAGGACACAAAATGTGGGTGACGTCTCTGTGCTGGGAACCCTATCATAAGAATCCAGAGTGCCTGTATTTAGCGAGTTCGTCCAAGGACACCGACATACGAATTTGGGACACCAAGAGAGCACAAACCTGTCGAGTTTTGTCCGGTCACACAAAAAGTGTTACTTGTCTCAAGTGGGGTGGAAATGGTCTTATTTATTCTGCCTCTCAAGACAGAACTATTAAAGTGTGGAGAGCGGAAGACGTACGTATATCGAGCAGTTGAACGTCGTCTGTTGAAAGCATTCTGTTACATTTCCAACTGATTAAGTCAATTTCAGGGTGTATTGTGTAGAACCTTGGAAGGCCACGCTCATTGGGTCAACACTTTGGCCTTAAATGTCGATTACGTGCTCAGGACCGGTCCTTTCCACGTGGGATCGCGTGCAAATCAAACGGACAGTCCATTGGAATACGCAAGAAAGCAATATGACGCTGTAGGTGAAGAGAGACTTGTATCTGGATCTGATGATTTCACATTATTCCTGTGGAAGCCAGAAAGGGAGAAGAAACCTATTGGTACGTTGCATGTGGTCTTTAAGTACACGTAAGTCACGCACGTAAGTAAGAATAAAAAACATATCGCGGAAATGAATTTTTCAGCAAGAATGACTGGCCACCAGCAACTTATCAACGATGTTAAATTCTCGCCGGATGGTCGTATGATTGCGTCAGCATCCTTCGACAAATCCATTAAATTATGGGAATCTAATACCGGCACGTATATCGCTTCGCTAAGAGGTCACGTTCAAGCGATTTATTCGATAGCATGGAGCGCTGACTCTCGTCTGCTGGTTAGCGGTAGCGCGGATTCAACTTTAAAAGGTAAATGCAGGCGTATGAAAACTTGTGTTTATTTAGAACAGTTGAAAGAGAGTAACATAATCCTTCTTACAGTTTGGAGCATAAAAACTAAAAAATTAAGCCAGGATTTACCTGGTCACGCTGATGAAGTTTATGCGGTTGACTGGTCACCCGATGGTCTACGAGTCGCTTCAGGTGGGAAAGATAAAGTTTTGCGACTGTGGCAAAATTGAATATACATACATATTATTCAAGTAAATAACGTTGTAAGAAAGTTGTGTGTTTTTATCTCACTTGTTTTTTATACAAGTTATTATTATTATTATTATTACATATCAACTGATAATGTTATTAAGCCTGGATTAAAAACTTGATAATTTTTATAAAGATTAACAGCCTTATATAAATAAATACACGTGAAACAATTGATTTTTTTATGATTGAACTTCAAATCCAAATTTCTCTGTGCACTATATATAATATTATTAGTCGATCGACCGTGCATAAGCGTAACGCGCCTGTGGAACGGCAACCCGCCGTACGTACGTACATACATGCGAGAGTAATAGTTTAAACCTGCATATATTTTCCTCTTCGAAGTCGAACAAAACCGTATTTTAAATATTCTACTTGACTTTAGGCAAATTTGCATGAGATATACCATAAAAATGCAGCTCTTTGAAACAATTACGTGTCAAAAAATAAAAACTATTTTAATATGTCCTATATGTACATATATCAAGAATATATACGCGTTTATTATCTTACTATTTTAAAGATACGTGTCGAAAGCTGACGACAACATTGATATCTGATATCATAATATAGCAATATGTAAACTTGATCCGAGATTATAAAAATTAAATCGATAGACAAAAAAGTGTCAAAATATACAGAAGCATGTCGATATAAGCATATCTTTTAAATTATTTTTAAGGATGCTCTATTCTATAATCAGGTGATCCTGCTCCTATCCAGTTGTCGCGCGAATCTCCGCTGATTGATAGCAGTCCTATAGCCCCATCCCCCGAACGAAGTGCGAGCGGCGAATGTGCTCCGCACGCGACTGCGCACTAGTGCGCACCAGTGACCAGACACCACTGGCCCCGAAGGAGATCCCACGTCCAGAACACCAGAGTACTCTCCAGAGGATCCTGGGCCCCCGGACGTCTAAACTCTAAACTGGTGTTGAAAGATGACGTCTGACAAGTGAAGGATCTAACCTCCCTCGTTTTGTATATTTACACTGCATTTTTATCGCGGTGCGACCTGGTGCGACCATCTCCCTAGGAGGCTACCATGGTAAAGAGATACGAATGATCTTTCTCGCTGTATCCGCGGACCGCGATAGAAAGAGGACACGGCACGCCCGTGTCTCGTTTTGTCGCGGGACATCGCGCCGGAGTTGGTGAAACGTGGTAAAGGTGGAAAGAAGATTTGCGAAATGTGTGTGCGAACATTTTCAGGACGACGATGCGGCCGCGCTGCAGAATCTCGAACAGCTCATGACAGAGTTCTTCTGCCCGGAGACGACGAACGAGAGGAAGCGCACGATCGAGCGCAGCTTCCAGGAGTTCGCCGGGCAGATCGATTCCTGGAAGCCGTGTCTGCATTTCTTGTCCTCCACGAGCAACCACTACGTCAGTATGTTCGCTCTGTCCACTCTGGAGGTACGTGTGCGAGCTTCCTTCGCAGATATAGATGTAACGCTTCTCCGTGTCAGTCTGAATTATTTGACTTATTATTGTTAGACGACCATCGGCAGGAGGTGGCCCATCCTCCCGTGGGAAGACAGGGCTCTCACAAGATCCACCTTGTACACCCTGTCGCTAGAGAGGGACGTCGCATCCTTTGTGAGGAACAAAGTAGTGAAACTGGTAGTGGACATAGCGAGACACGACTGGCCGCATTTCTATCCGGATTTTTACTCTAATATTTTACAGGTTTGTCAACAGAGAATGTCCTATATATTTAATTGTAATGTATGTATGTATGTATGGGACGTATATGCATTTGACTCTGTCTATAATACTCGGATTTCTGTGAAACAGCTGTTGGGCCACAAACACACAAGACTGCTGGGACTTGTATATTTGAGAACAGCTTCGGAGGAACTAGCCACGCCGAGAGAGGATTTACCAATGCACAGGAAAAGCGAGCTATTCAGGCTGTTAAGTGCACAAGTGCCTCTGACTTTGGATACACTTACAGGTACGTATTATCAAGTTTACGTCTTACGAACATCATATCGCAAATAATATCTTAAAATCTCTCACTTTGTTGCTTCTAAAAGTTCTTCTGAAAGAAACTACAAACGTGCAAAGCCGTTCTGGGACCGTGACACCACCTCCGTCACCTACCAGCGGACAAAGTCTTGCACCTGCGCGAGCGGTGCTGGACGTCGAGGGATTAGCAACGGGAACGAGTGAAGTTTGCACAGCTACTCTTGAAGTTCTGGCGCACCTGTTTAGTTGGATAGACGTGTCGGGCAGTATCTCCAGTAACTTGATAGATGCCATTTTTACATGTGCCAAATACCACGATGCGATGGTAGGATTATACTTTCGTGAGAAGAATGCAGAAGCGTGCAGTAGCAGATGAGACCAACTATACATTTGTTAACGTTTCCACAGAATGGCAAGCAAATTGAGATGGCCGTTCAAGCTTTGACTACAATCCATGAACTTTTATACAGACCATTCTCACCCGACGAGACTGATACATTGTTACTGGAGATATTTCAGAATGGCGTTGGTTTATTCCAGTTAATGGAACGTCTGGACTCGGTAGAGGAGAGGTATGAATCAAATGCGTTCAAGTACGAAGAATTTTGAAATGTTTTCAACGTGCGAAATAAAATGCGTTCTTTCAGCTACATGGAAAAAATGACCGAGTTTTTGCAATTGTTTATAACGAATCACATGAAAAAGATGGAGTCAAGCTCAAAGTTTCCAGTAAATACATTATTGGAAGTACTGTGCCATCATACATTCCAGCAAGCTTCTACTGTAAACGGATATCTGCGTTGTCTAGATGTTTGGACCACTCTTTTGGAGAGCACTCAGTCGCGATACTCTGCCGTCGCCTTAGCTCTCGCCGAGCGGATCTTACAAAAAATGAGTTTTAAATTGAACGCTCGGGTATTGAGAGATCTCGACACGGAAAATTTGGACGAGAATGTAAGTTTAATCATAAACTCTTAAACTCTTGATTAAAATCAATAATCATGTGTGTAATGTCTCACGATCTCTCGATCTCTCTTTTCAGGAAGAAACAGAATGGCAACATTTTCTAAGGTGCAATATAGAATGTTTGGCAAAGATTGCTGACATTTCACCTATCCCGATATTTACGTTATTGGTAATTTCTACGTGGCGGAATGTCTTGACGCTATATTATGAAAGCATTCATAATATTGGATTTAATTTTTTTTAGTACCGTTCGTGGAGAGAAGGATTAATCGTTTTTGGTGAATTAGGCGCGGCAGTCGCTAATGGCCGAGTTATTTTATTAAATGATGCAGAGGCATCAAATGTGCATGCACATCTGAGAGATCTAGCATCGATTACGCAAGCTTTAACCAGGCTATATTCCCTTTTCATCGGTAAGCAATCGAGCGATTTTTATTAGTTTTCGATTACAGAAAATATAATTATCCGTGTCAATAGGAGATCAAGCAAACATCGATCAAGGTTTAGCCGAAGAAGTTGTGTCACAAACTCTAGAGGCGTGTATGTTTGCGAGAGATAATCAGCTGTATAAAGCAGCGATACAACCAGCCGCTATCGTAATAGATCTCATAGAAGTGTAAGTACCTAGCTGTTATGTACATGTTTTTAAGCATGTAAAAGCGATCAATGATATGCCGTGACATGTACGTACTCGTTATGTATTGATTCGCGCTGTTAGACATTCACAGCTTTTGGCTTCTCTTCAAGCATGGTGTCATTGGATAGCCAGAAGACCGAAGGCTAAGGAAACGCTCTGTCAGCGTTGCATCGATTCGTGTCTTTGGGCAACGACGTATACCGCGTCCTGCGACCATCCGCCTCCTCCAAATCTCATCCACTCTGCCATTCATCTTTTTCAAAGTATCACCGCCATTTTAAAGCCCATCTTATGGGACCAACCGACTTTCAGGAATCTAATTTCTATGGGCACGTATCCGTACTTGAAATCAGATACGATTAAAGTTCTACGTAGAGCATTGATAAACGGGATTATATTACCACCTGGTGATGCAGCAACGAGGCAAAGGTTGTTGGGTAAGCTATTATTACTTTGTAAACTTCTGCAACTGTCTATTTAACCGTTCTATTCTTTAACAATATATATATATATATATATACATATAAATTGAAAATATTTTATGTCTAGATACTATGATATTAGCTCTGTCAGCACCTCTGGGTATGCAAGGACAACCAGTGCCTTCAGAATCGACAATTTCGATGACGATAATGCCACTGACTCAGCTACTAGAAGATTGCGCGTCATCATCTACGACTATAAAGAAGATGTTGCACTCGTGTCTCGAATCAATCATAAACAGGACATTAGAATTATTGTCTTGTGTGATAAGGTGCCAGAGTATATGCGAATTGTTACTTAGCTTCCTACATTCGGCATTTTCAGTATTACAACAACAACTGGGCTCCGAATTTATGCAAAACGCAGTTCAAGGCATGCTGCAACTTTATACCAGGTTTGTACAAAGTATTGTGATACGAAGGCAAAACTGTTTAATTCATTAGATTAAATTTTTCTGGAGAGTTTGGAGTTGAAATCAAAATTTTGGTTAGCAAAAGAACTGCAAAATTTGTATGACTGTTACATGTATACTCTTAACAATGACAAAAATCATATTACGTTCTAAACATTAAAATGTTACAGTTTTAACAAAATATTAATTGTCTCATTCATAGGGAAAATATTTCTGCTGGTCCAGCGTTGGATCAGTTATTGGAAATTTTGATACTTGTCGTATCAGCACCCAGCAATGCATTTAAAGCGTTTGTTCCCTCGATAACGAATCTATGTTTGGGTCAAGTATGGCCTGCTGTTGGAAGCAACCCAAGTGCTCATCCGGATACGACGTTAGTTTTACTAAAGCTCTTTCACAGGTAATATGTTGGTAGTAGACATATCATATTTTTGCATAAATATTATAATCTTTGCATTAATTTTTAGTATTCTTATGCATCGGTGGCAATATTTCTATAAGGCCTCGGTACTACTGACTCTTGTATTTCCTGACGACGAACCTGAGCACAAAGAAGAATTAGTAGCAATTTTAGAGGCTTTTGGTCAAGCTCTACTTCAGTCAGACGTCAATATATTCCGACAGAGCTTGCAGAGTCTCGAACAATTAAATATCAGATGGCGACTTTATCAACGACCCGTATTCAAAGTTCATCTTCTCGAGAGATTTCTAATGGCGTTGTTCACAGTTTTATTTCAACAGTGAGTATCTCAGTATTATTTTTATTTTGATAACGTATATTATATATTAATAATAATATGTGTTTTATTATGTATGTCTCATTTGATTTATACAGGTCCCACAACTTGTTGGCAGATGAAATAGCTGCGGCTATTCATAGTCTAGCATCTGTTAATATAGGTTGGTTTTTTAACCACTTTTTGCCAACATTTTTGGCAACTTGCGAAGGCGTAGACGATATGCAAAGAGCCACTTTGCTAGGAAACTTTGATAAATCCACGGTATGTTGTATCTTTGGAAGTCCATCAACGCATAAAACTTTTAAACACATCATTTTTAGGATCAACCTACTTTGACCAGATCAGTGCTCCAGCTCATTTCAGATTTAAGGTGTTACCAGCTGTGTAGACCGGGTTGAAGCATGAATTGTAATTTGAGAGGGAATTCACGATGAAATTATTCCATAAGACTTTTGTGGCATTTAAATAAAATTAACATTTCCATCGAATCTCTCCCGAGTGCCTCTAGATAGATACAGATACATGAGATACAAGAGACATTAACTGTAACGAAAAAAGACAAACCTTTTGTAAACATTTACCATTCTGTGTATACCACTGCCGCACCATCCTCTTGTGATGTTGTAAATGTTATTATTGCGAATAAAACGCCTTTTTTTATATGTCTACAACCGTGTATATTTTTACAGTAGATGGCAAAATTTTCCGTGTGTTATCTATGGCTTTAAATCTTATAGAAGTAATTGCCTCTAGTAAAACGGATAAAAATACAGCTAATATGTTTACGCTTTATCACAAAGATTCAAACAAGTTTCTAATAGCGCACCATTTCTTTATTGTTATTAGTGTTGTGTGTTCAGATACGGCGCTAAGTAAGATATCTGCGTATCCTTATCGTCTTTCTTCTCTCCCTCTCTTTCTCTCGATAAACAACGCCACTGATAACCCGAGCTATTTATTGACTTGCGTCTTGACGCGAAGTCAACGAATTAGTCAGTAACAAGCGACCGACAATGTCACATTTGTTGAGAAAAAGTAATTGCTACATTTCCCAATCCCACGTCCAAATGACGAGACACTTGGTGACCGATCCAAAGTATGGATTTTTAAAACAATTAGGTATCAACGTTGAAAATCCCGGCCTCTACGATGGAAGGTGGGGTGGTTCTGGCAAGGTAAGTAACGTTAATCGCTTGTCTTATCGAGATAGATATAAAGTACAATATGGAAACCGGAGGGAATCTTTTATAAATCACGTAGCATGATTGTAAACACCGAAAAATAAATAATTAAGTACAATTAATCGTATTCATGTTAAATATAGTTGGTAGAATCAATATCGCCGGCGACCGGCAAAGTGATAGCGAAGGTCCGCGAGTCCACGCCACAGGAAGCTAGCAATGCTGTAACAGAAGCACGTAAAGCGTGGCCACAATGGGCATCTATCCCGATGCCGGCTAGGGGAGACATCGTACGGCAAATTGGGGACGAGCTCAGGAGATATTTGGAGCCGCTGGGACGTTTAGTATCCTTGGAAATGGGTAATTATCTCAATGAGCGTTAAAATTGTACTCGCTATAACAGCTTATACGTGCAGTATATCGGAATGTCTATGATATATATATATATATATATCTGTTTATAATTAATGCAGAGTGCATTATGCCGTAGGAAAGATATTAACGGAGGGCATAGGCGAGGTCCAGGAATTCATCGATATATGCGATTATGCGGTCGGGTTGTCGCGGACGTTACCCGGCAGCCTATTCCCGTCGGAGAGAAAGAACCACGCGCTCTTGGAAAAATGGAATCCTTTAGGCGTAGTCGGAGTCATCTCCGCGTTCAATTTTCCCATAGCGGTGAATATCATTCCCAGACAATCTTGCGATATCACTTCGCTTTACAGCTTACAACACGTTACTGACTCGCCGCCTCTCAGGTATATGGCTGGAATAGCGCTATCGCTATGGTCTGCGGTAACACTGTCGTCTGGAAAGAAGCATCAAGCACACCTTTGGTAGCCATCGCGACTACTAAAATAATCGCGAGCGTCTTGGAGCGCAACGGTATCCCAGGTTCCGTCGCATCCTTGATCACGGGTGGGCCGGATGTCGGAGAGACTCTGGTGAACGACAAACGGTCAGTTTTGATCTAGATTTACTATTAATATGTCGTACATCGCGTATTGAACAGGCCGTAACGATTGTCATTAGGGTACCTCTCATTTCGTTCACCGGAAGCACGAAAGTAGGAAGACAAGTAGCTCTCAAGATTCAGCAAAGATTTGGAAGATCTCTACTGGAGCTCGGTGGTAACAACGCATTAATCGGTGCGTACGTCCTTAAAATGTTAATTCTATAACGCTTATACCTATGCCATGGATAACACATGCGTTTGTAACTGTTTCTCCTTTGTCGACAGTCGCACAGGATGCCGATTTAGAAATGGCAGTGAGAGCAGCGGTCTTCTCATGCGTTGGAACAGCTGGACAAAGATGTACCACTACCAGGAGATTAATATTACATAAGAAGATAAAGGACGACGTTCTAGGTAAATATAAATAAGAAAATGTCTAGTCGCCCCCATGTTACGTACAAATTTTTAGGGAGATTGAAAACGGCGTATAAAAGCATATTGGACCGAGTCGGAGACCCGTTGGATGACGGTGTGCTGTATGGACCGTTGCACAATCAGCCAGCAGTTGATGCATATAAGGTATGTGCGTCAATTTAACAAAATTATCTTTTAAGCGAAGTGTTGGTCAAAAATTAATCGTATGGAGAGGGAACTTTCGATAATCCGATAATTTTTGCTGCAGGCAGCATGTCAGAAAGCTGTAGAAGCCGGTGGCACGATAGAATTCGGTGGAAAGCAAATAGAGCGAGCCGGTTTTTACGTTGAGCCGACGATCATCTCGGGTTTACCAGCTAGTGCCGAAGTGGTGCAACAAGAAACTTTCGCTCCGATTGTGTACATCTTGGAGGCAAACTCTCTGGAGGAGGCTATCGATCTTAACAACGGCGTAGAGCAAGGACTGAGCAGTAGTCTCTTTACTAAAAGTATTGGAAATGTATTTCAGGTAAATTTATAACAACTAATACATTGTTGAAAATGCGTAATGTTATGTAACACATTATGTGTGAGCAAACTTATATACAGCGTACGATCGAGTATATTCGAGCTACGTTATCGAATTTAATTCCTCGCACAGTGGATTAGCCCTCACGGATCAGACTGCGGAATAGTCAATGTCAACATCGGCACCAGCGGTGCTGAGATAGGCGGCGCGTTTGGTGGTGAAAAGGCCACGGGCGGAGGCCGTGAGAGCGGAAGCGACGCGTGGAAACATTACATGCGGCGTGCCACCATCACAATCAATTACGGAAACGAGCTACCTCTGGCTCAGGGCATCAAATTTGAATAACGTCAATAGGCGAGGTTTTTTTTTTTTTTTCCAAAAACAAATCAGCGCTTTAATTCAAATCGTATAAAATCCACCTGAATGTCGACGGACGCTTTCTTGTGGAACTTGTAAGCCCTCGGCAGGTCGTATCTGAGCTCGGCTATCACTGTTCCTCTCGCACCAAGCTGCGTTGCTTTCGATAGAACATAATCCCGCGTGCTGCTCTTGTGCAGAGAATAAACCGCGTTGGACGAAAGTTTGATTGCCGTTTCCAGAAACTTGATGTCGATCCCGGGATTGTTCTTGGTGCCGAAAGGTGGATTCATTATAACAGTATCAAAGTATTTTTCAAATCTTCCTGTAAAACGTGAAATGCTACATATTTGTATCTACTTGATTAAATAATACATAAAGATAATTGTACATTTATAGTTATAGATATACCTGGTAAATATTGCAGTACGTCACACTGCACAATTTCGACAAAGAGTTCTATGTCACTGCAGTTTCTGTACTGTATATCAACCGCGTTGGAATCTATCTCGAATCCAACTACATATTCAGCACCAAGCATTTTGGCACCCAACGACAATGTGCCACATCCGGAGCCTAGATCCGCTATGCTTTTACTCTTTATGTCATCAAACTGTGACTGTGCGGTGTACAACAAATGCGAGGCAATATGCGCACTGGTGGCATACTGCTCGAGTGAGATTTTTGGTTTTTCAAAGACATCCAGTTGCTGCAGATACTCCTCCAACTGACCAAGTCGAAGCCCAGCCATTATTATTAGAAGATTATCAACTGTGATCTCTTCTGAACAGAATCTTCAGTCACACCTGATGTTTATATAAAACGGCGATTTCTCTACGTCTTTGACGACAAAGTCTCGTTAATGTTATTGGTATATAGTCTTTAGTAACATTTACGTGTTTATACACATCAGTATTGTTCAGGACAGGTGGACTTATTTATTGTCAAATCTAGGGAGAACCGGTAATATCAGGTTTCCGAAGGAAGAGTCCTGCGTAACGAAATAACCAAACGAAGCTGCGTGTGCATTATGCAATGCTGCTCTTTGGGACGCACTTATCGCTACGCCATCGTTAGATTGCGTTGCCGTCTATAATGAAGCAGTATATCAATATACTAAAGCAAAATAATAATAAAAAAACTTGTACAGAATACACTTACTATACTTGATGCGGAGCCAGTCGACGAGACCCCTAACGACGTGTTCAAGGTCGGCGCGACTCCTTGCTTCAGAAGCATCTGCTTCTTCAGCTGCAGCTCCTCTAAGATTTTTCTATTCTGCAATTCTACAAACGAGCAAAGTAAAAAATTTGAAAAATGTGCAAAGTGTGAGATAAAAAGGTATCGCATTCTCATTAGACGTACCTCTTGAGTTTGATTGCGAAAAAGCCATCAACGTCGCACAAATAATTCAATAACAACGAAACGCACCACGCGACGTGCGTACACAGGTTATATTATTACTTGTGAAAACTTGTTCTTCCCAGGAAAGCATCAGAAAGCATAGACCTAATGATAGTAAACTAATAGACGATAAACTCAATATAATCTTAAAAGGAATATCGCTAATCGCTGTATCTTTTATATTAAACATGTGATTGGTTGACTTGTGCATTATGACATACGATATTCCGCCATCTCTACGTGACCGGCGGAACGATGATGGACCGCGACCGCGTTTAGTTGTTGAGACGTCGTCGCTAGAGGGCATCGGTGTTCGCTCGAGCGGCTCGAGATTCGGTGAAATGTCGCCAGGAGGCGCCGGAACACGCCGAAATCTCTCCAACGACAACGTCACGCGTCACGCATGCGTCGGAAGTGCGCAGACGCGGCAGACGCCACCTCGCGGGGGCCAGTCCGATCTGGTCCGATCGCAGAAGTGATCCCGAGGTGTTCACCGATAGTTGGCGGTCGTCCTGGTTTTCACGCGATAAATCCTCATCGTCGCTCCCGACTCCAGGCGGTCCTACGTCCCACGGTTATTGCTGCTCCGTGAAACAGACGTGAGTATTCGCGCGAGAAGCCCGGTTACGGACGGCGAAACCTCGGCCTCGGCAAGTAGGACCCCGGGGGCGCGGAATCTCGAGGGGGGAGCGTCGAAAGCGGGGCCGCGGCCGGTGGCGAGAGAGAAGCGGAGGCGGCGGTGGCGGCGGTCGCGCACAGACGAATGACGGGTTCTAGCAAAATGGCCGTGCGCGATCTACAACAAACGGTCGTTCCGCACGTCGCGGCGTCACATTTGGTACATACGTTTCATCCACACGAGAATCGCGTCGATAATCGCACGCGCGCGCGCGCGTACACGCGACGTCGACGTCAGCGTTCTCGTCTCCGCGACGCTCCGAACGTTGTCGTCATCGTCATCGTCATCGTCGTCGTCGTCGTCGCTGTCGCCGTCGTCGCGGTCGCGATGTCTCAGGGACTCCTCTTTGAGCGTGGCCGAGAGAGAGCGTCCGGACCCGGACCCGTCGTCCGCGTACGACGTATACGCGCGTCGCACGTCACCAGACGCGAATTGATTTTCTCCGCGGACTGGTCTCGCGCCGTGACCACCGTCGCGGCGTCGCGCGTCGGCCGTGCGTCGCAGCAACCAGCAACCTCCTCCGTCGAGGGGCGCATACGATGCACGGTAGACGCGCGAGCTACTTTGACAGACTTGACTCCGATAATGCGCAATCAGCTGTCATCGGGACTCTCTCTGTCTGTCTTTGCCTGTCAATCGAGGACGCACGGAGCGAGCCCGAGACCTCGGGCTCCGAGCTCCAACATCGATCGCCGAATTCGCCGATGCCATTTCATCATTTCCACCGCGTTAATTCGCGCCTCTCTCTCTTTCATCTACTTAATAAATGACGCGATTCGATTCTTTTGTCGAAAAAGATGTCAGCAGTCAAGTTGTCTTTTCTTTTGGTTCGCGGCATCAGATATTCGCGTGTTACAGATAAGCGCGGCAACGTTTCCTAGGAATATCCCGCCGAATATTCCGAGCACGCTCTTCACCAACCTTGAGGCGGCCTACCGTTATAGCGCAATCGGAGCACCTGCCGATACCTTCGGCGAAGCCGGTCAACGCTTCTTTTCGGATTACGCGACTCCTGGACGCGCCCTACGCTGATCGTTACCCTCCCTGCGACGTCACATCGCTTGTTTGTCGTATGTCTAACGTGCACGTCTCGTTCGGGGTCGAGAGTGACACCCGCGTACGTTAACTTTCCAGGTGTCGTCACTCCCTCGTGCGATCGCGTCTCCTGAGTCCTGTTATAAGACCGACGGCGACGCGTCCGCATCGGATGGGAAAAAAATGAGCCCGGGTTTCATGATCCTCTGGATAGAATCGCGCGAAGCGATGCCACGCGCTCGGCGATCTCTCGGTCTCGGGGCCTCCTTGCTAGTCGCTTCCGCGTTGGCCCCGCGACTGCGCCGCGCCGCGCCGCGCCGAGAGTCTCGGTCTCTTGCCTACGTGCGCGACACACGGATAACGAAACGCGTCCCTCCGCCAGATTCTTGACAAATGAATCGCGCACAGTCGTACCGATTAAAATCGCGATCGTCCCGCGGATAAGAGATCCGACCGCCCAGATACCGTCGACGTTCGCACGTTAATTAGTCGCGAGTCCCGAGGATTCGAAGCTCTCTAAATCACCAAGTGGGAAACGTAATCTCTCTCTCTCTCTCTCTTTCTCGATTTTGTTTTAACTTGACAGGGCGATTGGAAGTAGCTTTTTAATATATTGATTAGATAGTCGCAAAGTAGATCACACGTTTCATCAGTAATCCACGCGATGACAATCGTATACGTATGTTTTGTAACGAGTTTTTATTAGGTTTTTAGTTTTATTAGCTGCACATCTCTCTTCCGAAGCTTCGTCGAGGACGACGCGACGACGACGTCGCGCGATTCAGATAGATCGTTGGGAGCGGTCGAGCAACGGTCTCAACCAGTCGACGAGTCCCTGATGCGGATAGTCGATTCCGGCGTTTAATATGCAAGTCGCTTAATCGGGAGAAGCGCACGGTGCCGCAGATAGAGCGTGTAGGAGCGCGAGGTCAGTCAAGTCGGCAGTCACTCACTCTGGACCGATGATCCCGGAAACGTAATTGTTATGAAGCGAACGAGCCAGCGGAGGATCGATCGCCGACGGTGTATAGAGAGAGAGAGAGAGAGAGAGAGCGCGTGGCTGCGATAAGACGTTACGACACCGCCTCGTGGATTAGCTCGTGTTATTATACCGAGATCTTTATTGAGCAGCTGTAAGACCCTTGCACAAAGCTAGAAAGGAGCCTCCGACATTAAGTATCGCGGCAGAGTGCAGACTCGCCGTGCGCGAGACATTGGGAAATCAAAGCTATCAAAGTCGAAAAAAACACGTCTTTGGGCTAATGACTTTTTCGACAGTTTCTTAAATCGTTAACGTACTATAAATTTGTGCTGTCCACAGAAAGCATTCAATGCAGGAAGATTATTATTGTTCTGCATAGGTCTCTTACTTTTAGATACCTCGAGGAGAGCCTTGACCGCCTAGGGTTGAATGGGCGAGCGAATCTCTGAAAGGAATTCCCTCTTCTCGCCGCGGTAATGCGCATTATCGTGCCGTTGCTCGGCAAGGGCATTGTAAATTATGCATATCCTCCGCTTACGCGCGGTACTTTCGACTTTTCACGGCAAGTTGCGGCCGCGTGCATTTACGCGCGGCGGCCAAGATCCAGTTTCTCGAGCCGAGTATCGTGCTCCTTGGTTGACTAGCCTGTCGCCCCATTCATATTCCGTGCGTGCGTTCGCCGAAGCGAGAGGTACATTCTTACGTTTATTACTCTTTCTTCTTTCTTATTTCGCCACGCGTTCTCCATTTCCTGCTCTGTAATCCTCCACATTTCTCTCTGTCTAGTCACCTCGTCAGTCATTTATACTATATACAATACACATATATATGTTGTAGTCAATTGTAGTGTGTCGATAGGTGGACCGGGTGGACCCGTCCCGCGACCTTCCTCGGCGAGTGTCCCACGCAAATGCACGTCGACTGCTTTTTAACGACGTTACGCCGGCGTTACGAGGTGGAAAGAGGCCGTTATGAATATTTAAATGCATCGCAAGGCGAAAATATACGCTCGACGCTCGACCGCCAGGGTGGGCGTGCTGTGCCGTGTCGGTTTATCGATCACGGCGCATCGCGGCGATAACCCGCGCGTCGTGGAAGCGTCGCGACGACGCTGCGCCCGCGCGCCCTTTACGACTGTCAAGGTCCTTCCTCCTAATCGTTTTCTCGTTGGGATTAGCGATTTGTACTATCGGCTCTCTACTCTCTGTTTATGTTCTGTCCAAGACAACCGGTATTTTTAAAAAATCCATCATTTATTACTGTCGATTATCCGTGCAATCAAGTTGAGTCATGGAGTCGATACTCTAATAAATACTGTGTTATAATCGTATTATCGAGCCCTGCCTCGAATATATTTTTTGAGAGTGGATATATTGTCAATACAAATGTGATGGACATACGCAAATTTTCTTACAAACAGGCTCGTATAATGTACTACAGTTTTTTGCAAACATTCGACGCAGCGAAATTACACAGCTTTCTCTCCCCCTGCCATGTGTATCGATTTTCGTTTCGCAACTCGACAGGAAATTGCGTATTTAATTTTCAACGTTCACGCGAGGGGGGTAATGATCGGCATGCGACGCGACGGCGTGATTTAACGCAGGCATAACGTGCATCGTTTCTGCGACGTTAAATTTGATATTTGTCGACGCCCTCGCGGTTCCAGGTAAAAATCGACCGCGCGCGTACCCGCAACCCGTTTATTATCGCCACGTCAGCGTCGTGATTTCGAGCTTCACTTTTCAAGCCGCCTTTCCCTTTCGTGCGACGCCTGGTGAAAAAGTACTATCGATCCGGCGAACGCGCGCCGCTGAGAGCTGAGAGCTGAGAGCTTCGAGTCCCAAGCTCGGCCGCGAAACCGCCGCTTTCCGTGCGCGCGACGTAAGCTCGCAAAGTGGTTCCCGCGGCGAGAGCGGGCAAGACCCGCATCGGGTTTCTCTCTCCCGCGCGACGATGGAAAGTAAAATAAACCACGACATTGATTTCAGGCGTATTGTGTGTGCGCGCGCGCGCGCGCGTTATATTATATATACCCGCGGAAACAATTCGGCACGGTCGGCTCTCACGAGGCTCTCCGCCGCCGCTTTAGCTTCTTTCCCCGTAATAGAAAAATACGACTACTGCTAACGCGTTTTGCGGTAGACGGGAATGAAGCGGGTAAAAAATGTACCTCGCGTACGTCTCTGAAATAATTTTGTATGCAAAGAAGGACAAGTATTATCCGCCAAGTATCTCTGTCACGTAATATATCGCTTCGTTACTGTTGACATATTGAATAAGGCTATTTCTAGTAAAAAATTTTTCTCTTTCCTGAAATAAAATTATCTCAAGGGGGAAACGGGATATATATATACATTTCTCTTTCTATTGGATTATTAAAAGTATACTAAATTTTTATTCCACGTTCAACGTGCTCTATTAAACGTGAATAAAAGCAACGTAAAGATGTAGATGTATTCTTAATAGTGACGTGTGTAATTTTTTGTCACAGGCAATACCGATGGCGCGGGCGGGGCACTGAGATCATTGAGAGGTGACTGGAAGATCTAGTCGCGCTCCACGGAATCCACCATCGAGGTATCCAGCCAGGTCACACACGAGGATCATGAAAATGGTGCTGTCTCAACGTCAGAGGGAGGAGTTGTAAGTTGACCTACCGCGTACATCATAAAATACTGCCGCGTTGCATGTTTCCCATCCCGACGTTTATACGCTTAACGGCTTCCCTCAGCTACGAAGCTCCTATCTCTTTCTTTACGAGTTGTAGGGGTTGATACACGCGAACGCGTATAGTCCGGGGAACGGATCAATCGAGGAAATACACAAGGTTTCCCCTCGTATCTCGCGCACCACCTATGCTAAAGTTCTCTCTCGCAACAATAGTTGCAATCTTTTCTTTATATTCTGCGAGGAATAGAGTTGTCATTCATGAAAAAGCTTCACAAATGCATTCCTAGACGTTCAGGTAACTATATTAATAAGCTTTCGAATTATCTTTGTACTCAATTTCAATTTATTGAAATTATTGACGTCGCGTCGTTGTGCTGTTATTAAAATTTTTACAAACTTTCATTAGAAAACGCAATACATTCTAGGTACATGCTGTAATATGGCAATCTTTTGAGCTACCTTGGCATCGTTAATTGGCATTGAGCCGTGAGCCTTAATGAGCTAACTATGTACGTGGTTTATTACATTTTGCATAATCGTGGGCGCATGAAGATGTGAGAGTTGCATAGGAGTCGCTCTTGAATTTTCTCATGCCTGCAAGCCTTCGATTTCACATATAGAGAAGTTAGAAGGCCCGGCGTAGATGACTAGATGAGTCACTCGCGCAAGCAAATAACGATCTCCGAGAGTCGAGAGTTCTTCAGCTCGTCGAGCATTCGCTCCGTGTGACTGTGTTTCCTGTTCGAGTGCTGTCGCGCGTATTATATACACGCGGGAGAATCGAACGTCGCCAATCGTCGCCATTATCTCGCCACGTCCCAATTCCTGCTTATCTTTCAATGAAACGCGTGTTTTTGCGTCACCGGTTATTTCTCTTCTCGTCCCCAATCGTCCTCAGGACGATATTAAGGCAGTCGAATCTCGTTTTCCTTCCGGCAAGACTTTTAATCTTGAAGAGCATGTCCGAAATATGTTTGCAATAAATAATAACTTTTGTTTCAGATATCCAAAAAGTATATTTTCGGATCGTATTAGGACCGGAATTCCTCGATACTTTTCTCTTTTTTCTTTTCATGGCTCAAGTATTGGAATTTCCATGAAAATCTCTCACTCGGATTGAACTCTTGGATTATTTAAGCAAAACTGTTTATAATTAGGTCCTCGGTTTTGTTTCGTCCTTCTCGTGCGCGAGCGACCCGCATGCGACACGGCAACGCGACGTCAAACGAGGACACCGTCGTCGGCATCGATCGTATTCTCGATCTATGCCGAGTACGTCCTATGACGCAAAATCGCTCGTCGATCTCGGGGGCGAGCGGCGGGCATGTGCGGGGAATGGCGGGGCCGGGTGGTGAGGGTGTCTGTCGAGCACGCGCGAACTGCAGGATCGATAACTCCCGCAGAATGAGTCGGCGACGGCGAACCCTCGGAATGAAGCGAGGAAGGGGATGAGAGCTGGTTCTCCGCCTAAGGGAGAGGGCCACTCATCGATTAGCACAGGTGTACCTTTGCGCATCCATGTTGTTTTCCTCCTAAGAACGCCTACCGACCCTCGGGCTGCACATGTGTAATTCTTAGCAAGTGGATGGCGAAACGATCCCTCCGGCGTGCGACTTTCACTTCCGGGCTTCCCGTAAACCTATACAGAGGGTTGAATGAAAGGTCGATTAGCATTTTTAATAGGGGAACTGCCGTCGAAGGTGTCTGTGGTTTCACCATCTGGATAGTCGATATTCCAATAAATATAAATTGGCTCTTTGACCTTTATATCCTCTTGGGCTTTTTTGAGTTTTCTAGTTTTACATTTTTTTTTTCAATATATCATTTTTTTCCGATACCTATATCGTTTTCTTTTATTAATTATAAAATCAAGTTACGTATAGGCACAACATTTTTCTGGTAATTAATAATGCAAAGTATCTGCATGTTTGTGCTCTGAGATTGTTACAAGACGGTTATAAAATTTCTAGGGGCTATACGAGCAAATGTATCCCAAGTGATAAGTCATTTGTGATAACATTTGTGAAATTAAAGTTGATCATGTAATATATATATCATGCAGTTGCAGATGAGGAGAGTCAATTCGATGTAGACGCTTACTCGTGAAGTTTAAACGTGATATGTAGATAACGACGAGATGATTTCACGCTGATGTCAGCGTTTGTTTTATACGCTATAAGGGCCAGACGGAATGAATTACCCTCCGCTTCCTGCATATCCATTTTCACGTATTCACCTTTACGCCGAGGAGCTTAGGATAGTGCCTCAGGACATCGCTCTCTGCACCTCCATCTGCATTCCTGCGGCGAGCCGAAACACAACATATCTCGCACAATTCATCGTGCACTCGCTGCAGAGCGAAAGAGGAGGGGGGGAGGAAAGAATTTCGCGGCTCTGAAGTTCTATTGTACCGTTACGCTCGCCGTCTATCCTTCCGATCTTTGCTTATACGAGAGCACCTCTCGAAACGTGCGGCGGTATCGCCGGTAGCGATCTCGGCCTCTCCTCTCTCGGCTCTATCTTTAATTTATACGATGAACGATGAAAGGCGAGGCGATCGGAGAGTGGAGGAGTTTAATTTCGATTGCTGCAGGTGTTTCTCGCATTTGTTATGCTCGTGTCTTAAACGCGGCGCAAACGACGTGCCTGTCAGCATCCAATTTCCGGAAAACGTTTTGTTTGTCGTCCTTAATGCTGTAAGGACATTTCGCGCTGATATTCTTTTTTTCTTTTTCAAGCGTCACGTCCTAGAATTCTCGCCAATGAGCGACATAAGTGCACTCTCATCATTCCTCACGCGACTATAAGAACGCGCGTACGACATCCGACATCGCGAATGGACCGTGCAGCCTAATGACCATGTATCCTCGTGCGATCGAAGGAAAATTGACGCAAAAGGAGAAGAAACGTCTCTTCCGTGATGCCCCCGTAATAATGCCATTTGCAGACATCAGTGTCGACAGTAAATATCCCAAGCCCACGGTGATAGATATTCTCTGGATCAATCCCGGAATGTTCCCGGAATAAATTTAAAAAACCGATTCTCTCTCTCTCTCTCTCTCTCTCTCTTTCTCTTAGCGTTCGTCGGCGAGTGAATTTCGAATGCCACGGCTTTCGCATGGTTGCTTGCGTACGGACCCCTGGGGCACGCACTTGTACGGAACAACTTACTGATGCGCCGTTACAACGCCTTCGTATTTATAGAACATCTTTTCTCTTTCTCTTTCTCTGTCAGATGCGTGACCTATTGTCACAAGATTGTCCATCGTGTTTGCTGCGTTTTCCCGTGTTCTCACACGAACCTCGGACGTGCAGGTGTCGGTTTACGGATCGCCTTCCGCACTCACGGAGACAATGATCCCTGCCTGCCTGCTTGCCTAGCTCAAAACATTATTTTCCACTTTTGTACCTGCGGCAACGCACACATACCCACATACCTGCCGCCTGCGGATGTCCCGCGTGAGCAAATGCAGAATTTCTCACACTGTTAAGCGCCCCTATGAATTTACCTCTGTCATTATCCACGTTAGCCTCTTTTTAGTTTTCCGTGAATTAGTGCGTAATTAGCCGCCGTGAATCACAATATAACGTTTGTAGAACTCCACGTTACGACGTTCTATTCCAAGTTGATTGTACACTGGAAGGCAATTAGCAGCGAATGAATCTTTTTTTTTTCCAAGAGATTATTGACACATGTCGATTCTTTTTTTCTTTACGATACTTGGAATTATCTTCCATTGTCGGAGCTACTAGTCTTGGACTGAACTATATCCATATTCCACAGGTTTACTTATTATCATTCCTTTACATTCCTTTATTGTGTAAATAAACTTTCAATTTGCCTTGATATCAGCTGACGACAGATAAGCCTACCGGTCTGTTTTTACACGAACTTAAGTGTTTCTACAATCAGTCTCGCAATCAGTATTGCGCATTCAAATTACACTATACAACATTATAAATTAAAACTTGGTTTGTTGTTGATCGTTGAGATAAAATTTTATTTAATTTTTATTTTATTATTTATGCGTGTTGTGCGAATTTTTGCTTTTACAGTATAAAATTCAATACGCGCGCACAGATATGTCAATGAATCATTTTTATTATCTGCATGCTTTGTACTCTCAACAAATGTCGAATCGCGTTGTGGAATTTGAATGACGTTTCTCCATTCATTGAAGCGAATGTCAAATCGGCACGTTGCAGCGGCGGCTAATAGCGGAAGCGGCCAGCACGTTCAGCTTTCTGCCGAGACAAAGCGGTCTCGTTTTCTTTCCTTTTTTTTTTTCAATTACGCATCCAGCGAGTTGCTCCTACGCGCCACGTGTTAGCCGTGCAAAACAGAAATCGCGCGAGGCATCGCGAACGATAATTTACCGTCACGTGGAGTAGTCAGGTGGATAGAGACGAACGGCCGACTCGGGGCCTTTCACCCTGGCACAAGTTTGCCCGACTTTCAATCTCTTTCCCACGTATCCAACCTGCCTCACGGCCTCCCCCTTCCCCATCCATTGTGTCGGATCGCAGGTATACGGCATTTTATCTTTATCTCCGCGTCATAAACAGGCGGCTGCGGTCGACGCCAACGCGGAACAATCGGCGATTAAAGCTATCACCTAACACTCACGTCTTCTCCGTCTTATCCTCTCCTATAGTCCTGTTGTGATACCCTTTTACTTTGCAAGAAAGCGTATACGGCTATAAGCAAACAAGAAAGTTGGAAGAAAATCATCTAAAATTTCCTCGAATATTATTTATGCAAAATTAATAAAGAGATAGAGCCTGCCATTTTTCTGCCTGCCAAGTTTCTGCGTTGGTCGTAAAAAGAACGAATTGACGCTTCTAGAAATAAGGCGATCGCGGATTACCTTAGCACGAACGGCTATCAAGATGCATTGGAGGCATTCAAGAAGGAAGCCGATATGCCGGGAGAGGTGGAGAGGAAGTACGGAGGCCTCTTGGAGAAGAAGTGGACCTCGGTCATACGGTTGCAGAAGAAGGTAAAGCCCCTTCTTTTTGACAGATATATTTTCTCTGGACTCTCGATTCTCCATAGTGTGTTGCGTGCACAGAAGAATTCAACGGTATATTATGTGTCAGCTAAGTGATTATTTGTACGCACTCGCGCTGTAACGCGTTATAGGTAATGGAACTGGAATCTAAACTCTCCGAGGCCGAGAAGGAGTTTATAGAAGGCGCGCCAACGCGCGGCAAGAGATCGCCGTCTGAATGGATACCGAGGCCGCCGGAGAAGTTCAGTCTGTCCGGACACAGAGCCCCTATCAATAGAGTTATTTTCCACCCGGTTTTTAGTCTCGTAGTATCCGCCAGCGAAGATGCTACCATTAAGGTGAGAGAGCGACGCGCAAGTAGACAATGTTTGCTTGCTGAATTCGCGCAAGTTTTCAAACTAAAAACACAACTTGCTTCAAGGTATGGGACTTTGAGAGCGGTGACTTTGAGAGAACGCTGAAGGGTCACACCGATAGCGTACAGGACATCGCGTTCGATGCCTCAGGCAAGTTGCTCGCCTCCTGCAGCGCGGACATGTCCATCAAGCTGTGGGATTTCCATCAGTCGTTCGCTTGCGTCAAGACTATGCACGGCCACGACCACAATGTCAACTCGGTCGCGTTTGTGCCGCAGGGTGACTTGGTCGTGAGCGCTTCCAGGGATAAGACTATCAAGATCTGGGAAGTGGCGACGGGCTACTGTGTGAAGACGCTCACCGGACACAGGGAATGGGTGAGAATGGCACGAATCAGCCCGTGCGGCGAGCTCATTGCCAGCTGTTCGAACGATCAGACTGTTCGGGTATGGCACTTGGCGACGAAGGAGACAAAGGTAATCCAGTCAGTCCGGGTTCTCGCCTCCTTTTCAGACCAGTCCAACGTTCATTCGTAACGTTCGAAATCGTTTGGACGTGTCCATAGGTTGAGTTCAGGGATCACGAGCACGTGGTGGAGTGCATCGCATGGGCGCCGGAGAACGCGAGGGCGTCGATCAACGCGGCGGCCGGGGCGGACAACAAGGGCGCGCACGAAGGGCCCTTCCTCGCTTCCGGTTCACGGGACAAGATGATCCGCGTGTGGGACGTCGGCGCCGGGGTGTGTCTCTTCACCCTCGTCGGGCACGACAACTGGGTGCGATGCATCGTCTTCCATCCTGGCGGCAAGTTTATCGTCAGCGCGTCCGACGATAAGACGCTGCGAGTCTGGGACACGCGCAATAAGCGAGTGATGAAGACCCTCGAAGCACATCTTCACTTCTGCACTTCTGTCGGTTCGTACACGTGTTCCTTTCACTTTTCTTCCACGTGACGCAACGTTTCCCCACAGTTTCATTGAATTATTAGACGCGGCCTGTCAATTTATTTGTCATATACATACCTATATGTTTTATTCGTTGACGACAGATTTCCACAAGAACCATCCTTACGTGGTCACCGGGAGCGTCGATCAAACGGTGAAGATTTGGGAGTGCCGCTAGTCACCGAATTTTAGATTTTTTTTCCCGTCAGACGTCGTGTGCGGAAGCGAACGGAAGTAATAAAACGAGAAAAAAGACGAACGCGCATCCATTTTAATGGAATCGGCCGGAAGAGTAAGCTGCTACAAAAGCTATCGTACATATGCTATTAATATTAATATTATTATTATTATACATAAACACACATAAACACGTATGGTTAAGAGCTCTTTAATTAATTTATAAAATAAAGTATAATTAGTAATTATATTATAAAATACATCGTTTTACGGCAATGAACTGCACACTATTCGAGGAGAGTGAATCGAGAAAAACGGTCACGAGGATCAAACGATCGAGAGGACGCTCCCACGAGTTCTCATTACGGATCACCTACGGGACGTGGGGTCACTAATGCCATATACAATTACAAGAGTTGAATTCCTTTAGGTAGTTGTGCACGTGTAGTAGGCATTATATTCTGTACATATACATACATACACGTGTCTTTACTCGCAGCGCGAAAATTCAATGTCGTTGATGAGTATAACTCGCCTTTGATTTACTCTTACTCTCTTCGCCTGCTTATGCAATGTATCCGTTAAAGTATTAGTTACCAGCTGGTCGTATACACACGTACACACGCAAAGAGAAGAAGATGGTCCTCCTCGATTATGACCCTTGCGTAAGAACACGTCGAATCTCTTTTACTTTCTGTCGGCAGTGGCGAAAATTTCGGCTGTGGCGTCACCACCGCGCAACTACGATGAAAACTACGTCGTTGTCACTTGTAGTATTGGTCGCGCGCTCTCCTCGAGAGTTGTTGAGAGAACGAAAGATGTTGCTCCTTCTTTACTCATATATTATATATATTATATATAAATATATATAAGCATATTACACGCAGCACACACACACACACACACACACACACACGTATAGACGCGCAGTGTCTTTGTACCATACAAAGTATCAAGTGTTAATGATCGTCTAATGTCGGCTCACGTATGTTGTGAATTGTTATCACATTTGCCGCATTAATAAACATCTGTTTTTCTGGGACACGTAACATAACGTCACAAGTGATGAAAATCACACAAGTGATGACATAATAATACATGAACAAAAGTGACATGACAACGCAAAAATCGTCTCAATCGCAAACGAATATATTGTTACGCGTCTGTCGGCGTAGATCGCATTCTCTTGAAACGACTACTTGCCCCTTTGGAATTGGATTTACATATGTGTATGTATAAATCTGAATCTGTGAATCGCTCTCCGAATCGAGAGATGTCAATCGAAATGTCTCATTTATTTCTGAATGAGGCACGGAGAGTCGGGGAATCGCCTGACGAGATTTGAAAATACCTGGACCGTAGAATGATGAAAAGTGGATTTGCTCGCCACATGCTTGACGTTACAATCACCTTGCATAACGATGGGCAGCCGAATCTAGAGAATGCGACTGAGACTCGAGCGTCCGAGTGGAGCCGACGAGAGAGGAGACTCGTGAGGCGTAACGTGTGAAAGTTTTTAGAAGCGCGTAGTTTATTGCGTGGGTTTCCATTGAGAGAAGGTAGTACTAGTTTTATCGTTTAGTTCCAACTAGTATATAGTAACGGTAGCGTACAGACGATAGATAAGGAAGATGAGGATGAGATAAACTTTGGGGAGAACTGCTAATTTAACGATTGATCGACACACACATACACACTCATACAAGAGGCAAAGCGTCCGACTTTACAGGCATTCGAATAAGAAGGGACATTCGCACACGTATATAAAACGTGTAATCCGCAAGAAAGAGCAGGAATCCGTAATCGATAATCGCTTAATTAAGGATGATTTTTCCAACGCGATACACTTGTTTACCGACCGCTACTTTCTCCTACTGTTCATTCAGCCGAATATAAGACAAATCCATCTCCTCCTCCCCCCGCCCGAGAAGAGAAGAGATACCCCTCAATTTAATGTGGTACTAAATTATTTTGGTGAATAATAAACAGAGTTGTCACTGAAATCGTTATATGTATGCTGCGCAAGTATCATCACACCTACACGATTCGTATCTTTATCTCGGAACGGCATAATTTTTCTTTTTCTACTTAAATAATCCGTTTTTCTATGGTTCCGTTGTATGTACCCTACGCTAGAATATCCGTAGTCTCGATCAGAGCGGTAGGCTTAAGGCCTTAAGGAATCCCTCCTCCTCTGCAGAACATATTAATCGACACGTGCATGACAGTATTTTATATAGTACAATAGGGCAAAGAGACGTAGCAGCGTAGCATTGTAAGCGAGACGCGCATACCAAACACCCACTGTGCGTGTTTACACGTAGATGATGTAATAAAAAGAAAAAAACCAGATAAAAGAGAAAACACGAAAAGTCATGTTGTAGCGTCGCATGTCATAAGATTCGTCACGATGATTTCTGTTGATTCCGCTTTCTACCTGCTTGAGTAATAATGACAAGTAGATTTACAATAAAGTATTCTTCGTCATTTGTGATACACAGGATTGGCAGACGTTTATTGTGATCCTGAAACGTGCTACGCGTGCTCCTTGTAGGAAACGTTTCACCTATATAGTCTCGTGTAGTTTTACAGAGTGAACGTGGTGACAGTAACATTGACCACTTTCGAGCAATCTAATTTTTATCAAATGTATAATTAAAAGTTGACGATGATTGATAGAGAGAGAGAGAGAGGGGAGACTTGAAAAATCTACGTGTCAAAAAGCTATATTGAAGGAGTACGACGAACTCAACCAATAAAACTTGGAATTATCTTTTTATACAAGATTTAATATAAAAAATGTTGTATTATAAAAAATTATTACACGTGTCGGTAATGAAGGTCGCGCGATGTATCATGATCGGTAATACTACGCGCTTGTTTATCGACGTGGATCAAAGCGCGCGCGCGAGAGCCGTGGCCGGTGGCGTGTGGCATGCTTCCGGTTTCCGGTATACGATCCATTGTTTACGTGAAAAGTGCCTCCGGCCGGTGTCGTGCTGCCTGCTCAGGAATTTTCGGGGTACGTTACACCAGGCGTTTCATCTTTCATCCGATATAAAATCGTTTGCGAGATTTCCTTCAACGAACGATCATCGCGATCTTCGGGCGCGTGATCTTTCACTGCAGACTGCAGACTGCAGACTGCAGATCGGATTTGGCAGGGATGGGTTAGCCGTTCTCGCGTCCGCGTGGCTCTCGAAACGCTCTTCGGTCAAGTTTTATCAAGTACCTCACAACCTCACGGCAAAGTCGGCCAAGTGGAAATGGCGTCGCAGGAACCTATCCCCGCTAGTCTGCCCGACACCCAGAACGCGGATGCTCTGACACAGTCGCAGGGTGTGTCGAGCCAGCAGCCAACGCAACCGGTCGTCTGGGGAAGGCTGTGCGCTCTTTATGCAGCTCTGCCAAGTCTGGGTAAGGATTTTCGCCTTTCGCACCGCGCTTGAAATATGTCTGAAGTCTCTGTGTGTGTGTGTGTGTGTGTGTGTGTGAAAATATGTTTTTTTAGAAATAATTTATAATTTTACTTGTGTTTGTCCAACTTGATTCAGATATGATAAGGGACATTAGTTATACAGTGGGACGCTCCTTGAGCTGCAACATTTGCCTGACTGAAAAAGAGTTGCCTAAGAAATGGCTGAATGTTATGAGCAAGACACATTTCCGCATATACAGGGAGCGTATTGGAGACACGAATGAGACGGTCGTGTTTCTCGAAGATGAGAGCTACAATGGGACTTTTGTCGACCAGAACCTGGTCGGTCGTGGAAACCGCGTCATCATTGGAAATAATTCCGAGATTGCCTTGGTCAAGAATTTCTTCACAGGTACATACACTGCCCGTCAACGTGTTTTTTTTCCTGTGAAAACACAAAAGTTTGGTGACTTTATAACAGAAGTAACCAATGGTGTCTCGACGCTTCTATGTTCCCCCCCCCCCCGCCCTTATCTCAGGAAAGGAATCGTTGACAGACAGTGTACCTGCATCTTGTATCAAACCCATCAAACCTCGATATAAATTACTGATATAATCGAATCGTGTAGATATAATAGAAATTAATCATTTAAATTACAGTTTATACGTTTATGAGTACGAATGTACACGAGAACGGTTGTGAGTTGCCACCAGAACTGAAGCAGACGTACGTGATCGGCCGTAAACTGGGAGCAGGAGCCTGTGGCGAAGTGAGGCTGCTGTTTAACAAGGATGGTTCCGGAATGTTTGCCATGAAAATTATACAGAAAAATTATTTTAGCACTGGGACTGGAAACATTCTCAATAATCCGGCCAACATTAGAAACGAGGTTGAAATATTAAAGAAGCTGAAACATGTAAGTTTAAAGTTTCGAGCATCTCTCATGTCGCTCTTCTAATTTGAATACCACGAAAGTTTCGGATTTTTGTTTCAGCCCTGTATAATTCATTTGGAGGATATTCACGATACGCCCGCAGCCATGTACATTATTCTCGAGTTAATGGAAGGTGGCGAGTTGTTAGATAGAATAAAAAATGAAGATAAACTGTCCGAATCTTGTGCAAAACTGATATTCTATCAAGTTGTACTCGCGGTCCACTATTTGCACAAAGAGGGTATTACCCACAGAGACTTGAAGGTACACGTTAGAACCATTAGCTGAATGTTTCATATGATTATATTATATTGTTATTATTTAATGGATAAATTCTCAACAGCCAGAGAATATACTGCTAAAGGACACGTCGGATAAGCCTTTAGTCAAGGTATCAGATTTCGGCATGTCCAAGTTTGTAGATGCCCACACAATGATGAAAACATTCTGCGGGACTCCCATGTACGTTGCCCCCGAGATTTTGACAACCAATGGACGCAGTTCTTATACAAGTCAAGTGTGTATTTACATGGTCTACGGAGAAATATAATTCTTGATTGCCAAGTTTCAAATTTCCTTAAAATCGCAGCACTAGCTTATCTAGGATGTGATAGATAAGGATCCAATGCAGAATACGAATGGTCTTTACAGAACCGGCAAATTTTGTTTAATCTTTTTTAACAAGTGTTTGCTTTGTTTTTAAAAATGTTTTTTAATCTTTGATAAAATAATTTTACTTGAATACACGGGGCTGTAGGATGTAGAAATTGAACCTGGATCTTTTGCTTTATAGACTACTGTTCTTCCACACTGAGCAGCTATCCAGTACCCCGAGAAATAATTGTAAAAACATATAAAAGAACCTTGCTCCATATTATTGGTATTCTTTCAGGTTGACGTATGGAGTTTGGGAGTGATATTGTACGTCTGTTTGAGCGGCAGGGTCCCTTTTCAAAATGCCACTTTAGTGGAGCAGATTATAGGTGGACGGTATGAATTTCCACGTTCGCTCTTTCAACATGTATCACAAGATGCTACAAACCTGGTGTGTGTAATAACGCCTGTATTTATCAGCTATGATTGTGGCTTTGCACTTGTTAACGGAGATTAACTCCTTGTTCTAGATTAAACGTATGATGACGGTGAATCCGAGGGAACGTATAACAGTGCCCAAGATCTTGCTAAGTTCGTGGTTACGAGACGTGCGGATGCAAACAGAAGTGAATAGATTGCTAACGGGCAATAACATGGACAACGACGAGAATGTGCCACCTTCGAATGTCTGTCACAAACGTCCGCGGCTTATGGTTTGAAAGAAAAGGTGCAGGGTAAAGGAGAATCATTTCGCGAGTAAGATGAGAGGAAACCTAGTGTCCTCTGAACGAGATCTGGCATCTCATTGCTTACAATGTGATACATTGGATGTGTTACCTACTTATTACCTACTTATTAGAAAAGTTTTCATACGGAAAACGGTCTTTCAATAGATTTGATACATATTCAAATATCGGAAACCTTTATAATAAGTAAAATCAGTCTTGCCATATAAATGATGTAATAGTACAACATAATATAGTACAATATAAGGTAAGCATTTATAATAACATACATTCCGTTTAATTACAATTGCAATTGAATATATATTTTTTTTATTAATTCAGACATTAAGAAAACATGAAACAAATAGTAAGATTATTGCTGTGTGATGAAATACTTGGCGCGATATATTCTTTTTTTTTTTTTTTGACATGGCTTAATTTGACGAGTACAGTCAAAGTATTGTACGTATATATTGTGATTTAATTAAACGACAAGAGTACATAAAATAAGAAACGCGCGTATTACAGCACGTGTTGACCGATAAAAAGTGCTACGTTATGATTTAGAATTTTTTATTAGAAAATTTAAGATGTTTCAAGGATAGCAATGTTAATAAAAAGAGATTAAGACTGCCTTATGTTTAATGCGAAATGTACGTGTAGAAAATGTAGGCTTGATTTATCTTGTACATTTAATTATTGTTGCGAGTCCATCATCCGTTACACGCTAACAAAATCGCCCTAGCGTTCACGTATACAAAGGTCTTTATTCAGAGTGGTGGACACTATACAATAAAGGTGAATGTCTCGCGAACTGTATTGTCCTACTCTTTTTGTTATTCCTTTCTGCCGTGCTCTTCGCCGTAGCAGGGATTCGGAAGTGCTGTGTCGAGGTCTGGTTTTTCCTTCTTGGCAAGCCCGGCAAGCAAACGTTTTAGTTGCGCTATTGCTTTTCCCGGATTTAAACCCTATTGGATATATAACACCGTGCGACGAGTAAGATTAAAATCTGGACATTTTATCTCTTTTAAGGGGGATTAAGGGCCGGTTGTTCCAACCTACTGATAAGCTAACTAATGGTTAAATCATGTCCATCTTTGTCTAATGTTAAGGATAAACAAAGATATATATATATGATTTAACTATTAGTTTGTCAACAGGTTGAAACAACCGACCCCAAGATTTTTTTTGTATCGCAGGCGAGTGAAGAATGTCGTAAAAGACTCACCTTTGGACATGTCTTGGTGCAATTGAAGATTGTATGGCATCGATAAACCGAATACAAGTCCCGTAACTTTGCCAGCCTCTCTTTATGCGCCATGTCCCGCGAATCTATCACCCACCTGTATGCCTAGTGATGTAAGCGAATGGACACGTACATGAATAATGAACCTTTGTTATGTTTGTCGTAGAAATGTCGCGTCGTTACCTGCAATAGTACCGCAGGACCCAAGTACTTGTCGCCGAGCCACCAGTAAGGAGGGCATGAATATGTGCAACATGCGCACATTATGCACTCGTACAAGCCGTCGAGCTTGCTTCTGTCCCTTGGGCTTTGCAAAATTTGCCGCATACCGAGGAAGTCGTCCTCACCCGGTCGCTTTAGATACGGATCGATTTTCTGGAATTGTCCCAGGAACTGCTCCATGTCCGGTATTAAGTCTCGAATCACGTACGCGTGCGGTAAAGGATAGATAACCAGCGGCTGCGGAGATTCTTTTGCTTTTCTGAAGATTTTAGGCAATTTCGGGCAATGTTTTACGCGATTTAAAATAAAATTTATCTTGGAAGTAAGCGTCTTATCCCGATGGAGAAGGCTGGGAAAACAATTAAACCCGAATATAAAATTAACGGGATTATTTCAAATTCCAGACCTCCAAGCATCCAAAGTATCCCAAGCATTCGAAATACTACCAGTAACCCAGATATTCAAAATCCCGGATCAAGCTACCAAAGATTGAATATCAAAGTTTTCCAAGGACCAACGTCCGACAAGTCTCTATATTCCTCGTGCCTGATTTGACACCAGGAATCATACGATAGAACGACGAGTTACGTTATGCAGGCCAGAGTGTTCACGCCGTCAATGTTCATCGCGCAACACCCGCAGATCCCCTCGCGACAGGACCTCCGGAAGGATAACGTCGGGTCGTGCTGCGCCTTGATGAACGTTAACACGTCCAGCACCATCGTGCCGCACTTGTTCAGATCCACGCTGAACTGCTGCATGTACGGCTTTACTTGCGGCGTTTCCGGATTCCATCGGTACACACGTACAATTTGTAGCCTCGGCACAACCTTTGCTTCCTGTGAAAGATTAATCCTAATCAACAGCCGCGTCTAAGTGTATGTACATGTATTATATGTGATTTAGGTTTTCTAATTCTTTCCTAAAGTTCGAAAACATCATACTGCAATATGTTGAGTGCAAAAGAACTTGATCGACAATTCAATATATCTAAAGATTTGTTTCTTGTAGCAAAATTGGTTGTACTTGTCTCTCCATTTTTTTTTCTTCTCAACGTCTGATTTTATAACATTTTATTTTATATACAGAAAGTATAACGTTATGCGGCTGCATAAAACTAATCTCTAGGCATTTTAAACTGAGGCTGCCACTCGCTAAAATACAGCGTTTAGCAAAAAGATGCATAGCATGTTGGTGTTCTAGGAACTCGGCGTATCGCACAGAGAAGAGCATCTTTGCGTTTTCCTGCGCGATAGAGAGATCTTTATGCTTTATCTCGAGTGTGGGGTGACTAACTTTCAGAGGCGCTTTACACGCCGCAATAGCCGCGACCTCCGCCGCCACCACCTTGTCCAGCCCAGTCGGAGTCTTCTTGGCCGACGTCGACAATCTCGACCCGCGAATGCGCGCGAGTCCACGCGACCAGAAGCTCGTGGATGCGCTTCCGCTCACAGCAGCGTACATGACCCACCCCCTGTCGAGTGACCTGCCGTTGCTACCGCACAATATTGTCTCGAGGACAGTGTCTTCGTGATGTCACGTCGCGCTATTCCGATCATTACGTCTCGTCGAGTCTATCTCGGACTCGGATTCGTTAAACGTCATCACGCGAACAAAATATCATCGAGCGGACCAACTTCACGCGGACAACCCGCGGCGATTAATGCCATCAATTCGAGACGTCTTTTAATAAAGCCTGCTTTAGACGATATAGAATTTGCAGCGAAATTCAGCGTAGAGTTTATTTAATCATTTTACGTTCCATGCGCTTTGAATTTTTGTGAATAGTTTAATATATATAAATTTTATAAATATGCGCATGTATTCTACAAGTATAATAGATGTGTACAATGTATTCTACACATAAAATGTATTCTTTAATTCGGCGATTATTCATTGAACATGTTGAAATCCTTCTTGGAGGTCGACCGCGGTCGCCGCAAAGTTATTTTCAATCGAACGGGGTAGAGTTTGGATCGATGAAACGTGCGTTACGTTATTTTTCGTAATGCAAACAAGTTACAACAATAGCGATAAGAGTGACGTGTGCGCGGTGACCTTACGGCCGCCAAATAATCTTGAAATAATTTTGTTGACGAACATTTATACGGACTTGTTGCATCGCAACGCGATTATCACATCTGTTCTGCCCAACTTATGGAATAACGTATCAAAGTTATTATTCTCTCAATTCTCTCGAATAACCAGCATCTAGAGATTATTAAATATCCATCAGGCGAGTTGAAATTAAAGAAATAGCGATAGCGTAAAGGAAAGAAAATTGTGCAAGCGTTAGAATCGTTAAATAAGAAACGCGTGCGTTTTGGTCTTTTTTTTTTCCTGTAGATGTTTGTTACAACGTAATAATGATGTAAACGTGAGATCCAGCGATCTCCTCCCGAGATCGTTTAAATCGCCTGTCGAAAGGTTGTCGGGTCATCGCGCGAACGATATGCGAGTTATTACAAATTAACTCCCGCAGAGACACGCAGAGAGCGAGAGATCGAGCGCCGGGCGCCGGGCTGTCGTTGCGTATAGCGCGATTGGCGGGTCGTCAGTCGTCATCAGTCGTCGTCGTGTTGCGCCGAGAACGACTCGCGCAGACCACCTGTGGCATCTGGCATCCCACGTTTCGTTCGCAGGTCCAAAGTCCGAACAACGCATTATTCGGGAAACTCACCGGCAACTGTAAACAACGTTTACTTACGTTTAATTAACAGCAAATCGAGGGTTTGCGGAGCTTACAAGTTGGTGTAAGGTGAATGACTGGGAAGGATTTTAGTCTGAAATTATTAAATTTAGAAATCACGAGTGTCGTCGATATTTCAATAATTAAATGTATTTCACGTGATCATCGCCGTTTCGACAAAGCACATTGTTAACTTGCAGATGACCCAGAGCACAGTCCTGGTAATTGGCAGCGGTGGCAGGGAGCATGCCATTTGTTGGAAATTGTCTCAGTCGCCAAGTGTAAGTTAAAAAGGATTACGAGGATGGATAGCTTTTATTAGACAGAGACAGAAATTAGTACAGCGTACATTCTGTTTGATGTAGGTGAAAGAGATCTTGGTCGCCCCTGGGAATACTGGCATCAAAGATGTGGATAAAGTGCACGTAGTTGAATTAAACGTCAAGAATACTAAGGTATACGTAATGTCACTCTGTAATAACTTTTTCATCAGTCGTGTGATATTGATTACATCTCGTTCTTTTCTATAGGAGGTTGCCAAATGGAGCAAGGACAACAACATTGATTTAGTAGTGATTGGACCAGAGGACCCTCTGGCTCAGGGCGTGGCAGACGATCTGAAAAATGTGGGAGTCAAGTGTTTCGGACCAGAGAAGGAAGCAGCCCAGATTGAAGCTAATAAAGATTGGGCGAAGCAATTTATGGACAGAAATTATATTCCTACCGCAAAGTGGCAAGGCTTTACCTCCACTGCGGATGCGAAGAACTTTGTTAAAAGGTAAGGAGTCTTTTGTCGAGGAAAATAATATGAAAACTTTAATGCTCCCTTTTGTCACAGTGCTCCGTTTAAGGCGCTTGTGGTGAAAGCCTCAGGCTTGGCGGCCGGTAAAGGTGTGGTGGTGGCAAAAGACCAGCAGGAAGCTTGCCACGCGATAGACGAAATGTTAAACGATAAGAAATTTGGAGTTGCTGGTGAGACTATAGTTGTCGAGGAACTCTTGGAGGGCGAAGAAGTGTCTGTACTTGCATTTACAGATGGTAAACAAGGCTACGCTTATGCTATCCGCAATCCGAATTTTTAATGAAAAAAGAACGTGACGGTTGCTTGAAATTCTGTTGACATTTAGGCAAGACTGTTGTGCCCATGATGCCTGCACAAGATCACAAGAGAATTTACAATGGAGATTTAGGTCCAAATACGGGAGGAATGGGAGCGTATTGTCCATGTCCACTGTTAAGTGAAACGGAATATGAACAAGTGACGGTAACAGTTCTCCAAAGAGCTGTCGATGGACTTAGAAAGGAGAACATCCCGTTTGTCGGTTTGTAATCTTTTATTGACGGATGTTAAAAAGTATGCGAGCGCATATCAATATTATTTACATGAAATCAATATTGCAGGTGTACTATATGCCGGTTTAATGCTGACTGAAGATGGTCCCAAAGTGTTGGAATTTAACTGCAGATTCGGAGATCCTGAGACAGAAGTAGTGTTGCCGTTGTTAAAATCGGATCTGTTTACAATTATGACGGTACACGTTCAGTTTGTTAAATCTCACATATTCATATAGAATACAATATCAAAAAATTTATTTTATCGGTATGTATCTAATGTGCTTGATATATAAATTACAGGCTTGCTGCGATGGAACTTTAAACTCGTCTCTTGTTTCCTGGCGCGAAAACGTATCCGCCGTGGGTGTGATTTTAGCATCTCGCAACTATCCGACGTCCTCGTCCAAGGGTCAAGTTATAACAGGCATTGACAAAGTGTCGCGTAAGCAGGACCACTTTGTCTTTCATAGCGGCACGGCTGTTTCATCAGAAGGCGACGTAGTAACCAACGGTAAATAACGGCATAGTAAAGGCTATCTAAACGAATGCCTAGATAATTACAACGACATTTTTTATAGGCGGAAGAGTTCTTATCACCGTCAGTATAGCACCAACCTTGGCAATGGCAGCGGCTAGAGCTACTCAAGCTGCTCAGCATATATCGTTCGATGGGAAGCAATTTAGAACGGACATCGCGCATAAAGGAATCGCCAGGTGTAACGATTGATTTAATTACAAATCAATAGATTAATATTTTTCACGAGATTAATAATCAAATGTTTTAGATCTATTTTGCAGAAAGGACAGTTAACGTATGAAAGTAGTGGTGTGAATATCAACGCCGGCAATGATTTCGTATTTGCTATTAAGCCAGCTACTTGTTCCACAAGACGCGCTGGCGCTTTAGGCGCCATAGGCGGATTTGGTGGCCTCTTTGATTTAAAAGCTGCAGGTTACAACGATCCTATCCTTGTGTCGGGCACCGATGGTGTTGGTACTAAATTGAAGGTGAATGTCAAATTCGAAGGAACGTGTTAGAATCAATTTGTTTACGAGCAACACGTTCTTTTCTTAGATAGCACGTGAATGCAAGAAGCACGATACGGTGGGCATAGACTTGGTAGCCATGTGTGTGAACGACGTCCTCGCGCACAATGCGGAGCCGTTGTTTTTCCTTGATTATTTCGCCTGCGGCAAACTTGACGTTGAAGTAGCTACAAAAGTTGTAAATGGGATTACCGAAGGTTGCAAGCAGGCAGGATGTACCTTGGTAACACGATGTTCATTATGTAACTTGAGAATATTTTTGAAAGACGTATATAAGCAAGAGAGAGAGAGAGAGAGAGAGAGAGAGAGAGAGAGAGAGAGAGAGATATGATAAGTATCTGTCTCCACGGAATATTTTCGTTATTTATTCGAGATATATATTTCAATTTTCAGATAGGCGGAGAAACGGCTGAGATGCCAGACATGTATCCTGAGGGAGAATACGATTTGGCAGGTTTTGCAGTGGGCGCGGTCGAAAAGGGCAGTTTGCTGCCACATGTGAATAACATTGAAGAGGGTGACGTGGTAATCGGTCTTCCATCGAGCGGTCTGCACAGCAATGGCTTTAGCTTGGTGCGAAAAGTTTTGAAAATCGCAGATAAGAAATATTCGGACGTCGCACCTTTCTCAAAGAGCAATCGAACGATCGGTATGAAATATTTCTTAAAATGAACTGCTTTTAATAATATTATGATGAAATGGATCATATGAAAACATAATGTAACAGGCGAAGAACTGTTGGAGCCAACAAGGATTTATGTAAAAAGCGTTATTCCTGCCTTGCGAACCAACATGGTGAAGGGATTTGCGCACATCACCGGCGGAGGTCTTATTGAAAATATTCCTAGAATCTTAACGAAACACTTGGGTGTTACGTTAGACGCGAAAAAATGGAATATTTTACCAATCTTTGGCTGGTTAGCAGCAAGTGGTGAGTATATTATCATGTTTACATATCTTCTCTGTTTCTAAAACGTGCAAATATATAAAATAATTTTATATAACATTTTTATAAATCGATACGAATAATATCTTTATTTTGCACAGGCGGAATTAGTACACATGAGATGTTAAGGACATTTAACTGCGGGATTGGTGCGGTCTTGATATGCCCCGAGAAATATAAGGTTCAAATTTTAGCTAAGCTAAAAGATGAAAATCCTGTGGTTATTGGAAGCGTGTATACATGTTGTACGTATTCATGCTATGAATATAATTAATAGAACTACGTACATCAAATTATATATTCGTATTAATTTACATAAACATTAATGTAGTTGGCCCGGCTAGAGTGCACGTAGAGAACTTTGAAAAAGTTCTCGAGCTGCAGATGAAACAGTATGTTCCCAGCTTGGTTGCAACACTGAGCAAGCCTCTTAAGAGAGTAGGCGTTCTGATATCGGGTAGCGGCACGAATCTCCACGCGCTAATTAATGCTACTCAAGATCCGTCTGAGCATATTGGAGCGGAAATCGTCTTGGTGATTTCCAATAAGTCTGGCGTTGAAGGATTGAAACGTGCTGAGAGAGCTGGCATTAAGACAGTGGTACGTAATACGTTGATGCGAGTTACATATAGCTACAAAATAAAAATGTAAACGTAAGTTTATATTCTTTCTATACGTCGTATTTGTTCACGTCATAGGTAATTAAGCACACTGATTATCCAAGCCGCGAGTCTTTCGACGCAGCCATGAATGTGGAACTTCATGCTGCAGGAGTAGAAATAGTATGTCTCGCTGGCTTTATGCGAATTCTTTCGGAACAATTTGTAAAGCACTGGAAAGGAGCTTTGTTGAACATACATCCCTCATTGCTGCCATCTTTCAAGGGTGCAAATGCACACAAGGACGTTTTAGCAGCGCGTGTGCGTGTGTCGGGTTGCACCGTTCACTTTGTAGAGGTATGATTACCACAAAGATTGAATTTTTCTTTAGTTTAATCGGACTAAATAAGAAGACAGCTCTGTAGCATCTCTGTTCGATTATATTAATGTAAATCATCTTCTTGAATTCAATCTTGTTCCTGTGTTATCACGTAGGTCGACATAGATTCGGGAGCTATCGTTGAGCAAGAAGCGGTGCCCGTGTTCCCAGACGATACTGAGAAAATCTTGCAAGAGCGTGTGAAGACAGCGGAACATCTAGCTTATCCTCGTGCGTTAAAACATTTGGCGACTGGTCGTATAAAATTGAAAGAAGATGGCACTCTTCATTGGAGTTAATTAGAGAGATCACATGTTATTGTACATATATACACACACCAGGTTTATAAAATAAAAGTTGTATTTTTTTATACTGTTACATCTTCATCTCATTATTTATATTTATGTACAATCAAGTTTCCTATATCTATATCACATCTTTTCCGCTTATCCTCTAAGTAATTTTTCTGCTAAACAAGTTGCTTATGAAATTATACAAGTCCTGAGATATGCTCTCGTTTGAACCTTGGTGACTAGTGTCCGCATATTTTTTTATATTTTTAGAAGGCGGTACTGATAATGCCTTCTCGGCAAGCTCGTCCAATCTAATATGGAGCATTTGTTTTTGGAGTATAGGAACTAGCAAATTATATTTATCAATTTTAATATTTATCTGCTTGGTTGTAGTCTTGAATTTTTCTAATTTATCGTTCCATATCGATTCATCTTTTGGAGTTAACGGGAGCTCGCTTACGTCATTGCGTGCTTGCGACAACTTCTTTTTCAATTCCTCAGTCTCTTCCCTGATTTCCTTCGACAGCTGTATCCATTCGGGAGTAAATCCATTGTCTATCAATATCTGCACGTGCGACCAACATAAATGAGTTAATTATTTTAAAGACGTTTTGAAGAAGTTGAAATTAATATCTCATGCTTCTGTATACCTGATTCAGTTTATGGGTGACAAAATCGACGTAGGGATTTGTAGCGCTTATGGACTTGAGTGGCTTTCCCATTCCAGGTAAATCGCTGAATTCACCCTTGTTCATCGCCTCTTGAATCAAGTCCTCCACCAAACGATCCATGCCATAACGGGTTTTGATATCCTTGGCCTTCTGCTTATCCATGCCGATTAACGTGTTGCGCTCTTCAGCCTGCAGTTTCTTCAGTCTGTGCTCCATCACGTTGTCAACTGCTTTCTGCGCCCTTTGTATCGTGTGCAATTTTTGCCTCTTGCTTGGCGTACCGATTCCAACGTCGAAAATCAAGTAATGACGATGCTGTGGCGCAGTGTGCTGCAAATAAAGACACGCGCGGTATTGAAATGGAAGATGCGACATAGCTACCTTGTCGAGAGTAGAGTATAGCTACCTTGATATCAAACTCTTGCGCCTCCAACGATGCCTCCACGTCTCTCTGAGCATTCCTGATTCTTCGAATCTCTCTGTAGGCACGTTCAATCTACTTTGAACAATCGCACAATGAGAAGCAGACTCACTTCATTTCTTTATCTCAAGGAACGAGGCGTTACCTCGGAAAATCTAACAGCATCGGCTTCTGGCGCTCCGCTATCCGGATGAAACCGTTTCGCAAGTTGAACAAACGCCAATCTCAGGGTCTCGTCCTCGCAACTCTCCGCTACGCCCAGCGTTTCGTACAACTTCTATCAAATACGATTGAAATTATTTCAACATGAAATTACATATATTAGAGATCAGTGTGAATTATAATATTCATAATATAATATTATACCTTTGCAGCATGCCTGGATTGCCTGGCATTAAAACGATGCTCAAACCTCTTGAGTATGATCGATTCGGCAGATGACACGTGCGCCAGACAAGTACCCGGCTTGGAAAACAGCCGATTCAGGGACAGCATGATCGCATGATGAGTGACATAAACACAGTTAATTATTATTTTCTGATTTAGCCGATTTAGCGTTAAAATGTCAACAATGTCACGTGTCACGTTGCAGTTTCCGTACCGCTCAGCGCCCTCAGCGGTCGAACATGCGTGGTTCTTACTTTTAGAACCAACCACGCAACGCATAATGGCCGCGTTCAGCAGACACAACTGTTGAGTTCGTCTTATCAACACTCTGCGTTGATTGGTTGGTTCTAAAAGTAAGAGCCAATCACGTTCGACTGCTACTCAGCAGCTTGGTCTGCTGAACGCGGCCATTGATATGCTAATGCTAAGACTCCATAGGGCCGGCCTCACAGTCTCCGATTAACGTGATTCTCCGATTAAACTCACTCTGCATTTCTTTCTAACTATCCCCCTAGAAAGAGACGAAGAGTGAGTTTAATCGGAGAATCTAGGGAGAATCACGTTAATCGGAGACTGTGAGACCGGCCCATAAGACGCGGAAACGTCGTGCGGTAGAGTGCGTTGACCAATCAGAAGGCTGCCGCAAGTCGCCTGCGGCAAAATCAAAATTTGTGATTGGTCAACGCACTCTGCCGCACGGCGTTTCCTATGGAGTCTTATGCTAAGACTACAATGCGAGTCGTAAAGTCGTGAGTCGTAAGAATTGACCAATCACAATCGAATTTGAGAAGAATAATCGACTGTGATTGGTCAATTCTTACGACTCACGACTTTACGACTCGCATTGTAGACCTAGCATTAGCTAGCGCGTGGCGCGTGCATCTACGTTTGCGTTTACGTCTCTAGACCACGCAGAAAGTAGCTGCTGGCGCGTGCGATTCGCGCGTTCCGTTCTGCGTGGTCAAAAGACGTAACGCAAACGCAGACGCACGCGCCACCGTGTTTCTAGTTTCTACACTTGCCGAATTCCGCGGCGCTGACGTTCGCTCGCGCATTGATGGTGATCGCGCGTTTATTTACTCGCGTTATATTATATTCCGCGTGCTGTCAGCTGTCACTCGCATTTAAAATGCCAGCCAGGGCAAAATGAGATTACATCTCGCTTTTACGGTAACTATCTGCCTCTTATGGAATCGAAACGAACGTTTGGTACTCGCGAACAAAAGCGCCGAGCCACAGCCGGAATACAGGCCCGATGGTCCACTGGTAATGTGCAAGTTCTTGTGAGTATTTAAATGGACACTTTCTAATGTTTTTGTTCAAGATGAGAGATAGATACCGTGGCCTTTTTTTTTTTATAGACCTAAGGAATTCATAGAATGCGAGGACCCGGTTGATCACAAGGGGAACAAGACCGCCAAGGAGGAAACGGGCTTCGGTTGTGTCAAGGTGCGACACATCTCTGCGTAACAGTTTCTTTGTTCTTTTGCAACGTTTGTAAAATTTAGATCAACGTTAAATCAAAGAAACTTGACGAAAAGTATTCTTCTTCTTTTAACGTTGCACACGTGTGGCTGTGAGAACGTCAGATTAAAATTATTTACGCGTGATGATTTAACAGTTTGGAGGATCTCGCTACGAAGATGTAGAGAAGACTAAGGTGTCCTGTACGGTGCTGCCGGACATCGAGTGTTACGGACCTAGGACATTCTTTCGCGAAGGGATACCGTGTATAAAGTACAGCGACCATTACTTCGCGACGACTCTGCTGTACAGCATTCTGCTGGGTTTCCTCGGCATGGACCGGTTCTGCCTTGGACAGACCGGGACAGCGGTGGGCAAACTGTTAACGCTGGGTGGCATGGGTGTATGGTGGATCGTCGATGTTATCTTGTTGGTAACAAACTCTTTGCAACCTGAAGACGGCAGTAACTGGAATCCATACGTATAGCATTTCAAGAAACCAGGGATCACATTTTGTATATAACTTAGTTTGTACGTTATGAGATTACGTGTGACTCCATGCGAGAGAGCGGTCAACTTATATATTTGATGGATCTCAGAATCGCCTATATTTGGTTGAACCCCCGACCGTCGTCCCACGTACATACACCTCGGTTTTATGAGGGTTGTTAGAAAATTGAAATTAAACGAAGGAGCATGAAGTAAATAATAATTTGCTCACGTCCCACTTCGGGACGTATTACACGTAGTAAACAAATTTCATATTTATTTATAAATTATCTTAATTATTTCATATTTAAATTGTTGTAATTTGTAAATAAACCATTACCATGCGCTGAAGTTTGTGCCGAGTACACTGCGCGAGTTCTCTTTGAAATATACCAAGAATTAATATATTGATTTATATTTACTTAAAACTATAGGTTGCAACGCGCAAAAAGAAAAAAGATTGTGCGTAGTTTACGTATACAATGGTTTATAATTCATAATCGTCAGGATGGTACAATTCACTAAGCAATCTATATACGTAGGACGGCGCGTTTCCACCTCTGAAAAAGAAAATGAAAACATTTGTTGTCGCTCGATTTTATAACACCAATCTATATATAAATTAATAATCTTGGTTGTCTTACGTGTTCGAGATGAATAATGTGACGAGGTCTGGTGGAACGTAATCGAACACGGGATTGTAAGCGTGTATCCGCTCCAGCAGCGGTGCGTTAGCACTGTCGATTACGCCGTGCATCGGTGAAACGTGACACGTGAAGCCATTCTGCTTGCCCGAGCAGTGGTAAAGGGGCGCGAGCTTGTAGAGGGGCAACAAAACCATTACTGGAACGGAATAGTGCTTGGCGGCTTGGGCGACGGTGTGCGCACCCGAGATTGCCCGCAGTCCGCCGTTCGCCATGACGGTGTGAGTGCCGATGATGACCTTGTTGACGCGAGACATCATCGCGAAGATCGCTGCGTCTGATATTAACGTGGTCTTAATTTTCGCCGTGGCCAGGTTCACCGCCATTTCATGACCCTGCACGCGTTCGCAGATTTCTCCCTTAGTAAAGATACTCTCCTCTCACAATCAGTTTTATTTCGAGTTTGTCTCGAAGCTAAGTACATACTTACGCTTAGAAATGGTCCGCCCTCGGCTATTATAACATCGAAGGTCCTGGTATCGGCGGCCTTCTTGAAAAATTCCTCCACCACGTTTGATTTGCCGATGGTCATTATAATTTCGTTTGAATGTATATGCTCGGACGCTTGTCGCGTGATGTTTTCTGAACTGCAAACACATGAACGTTCTTGAAAAAGTTATCAAGAAACGTAAGTATCCACAAAGCCTATTAAGAATGTCTTTCACAAAAGAATGGAAAATTTTCTAAATATCTGATTTATTTGAAAGCATGTACGGTCCGTTAACTCAAAAATGTTCAATATATTAGTGCGTGGAGGATATAGGGGGCGTTGATATAAAAATCTGAACAAACATTGCATCTAATCTCCGACTACTGAAACATATTACAGAACGTGCATCATTTTTGCGTCTCGTATGATATAAATGCAAAATGCACGTGTAACTCACCATGTTTCCAATTCGACTTCAAACTCGGTGATGTGCTCGATGAGGGAGGTTTTGAGGAAAGGTATCGAGACGCTGAAATCTATTTGCTGATCACTCTCAGCGGTAAGAATTTTGTGCAAGGACTCCTGGGGATCCGTCTCGTCCGTCTTGTTCTTCAATTCCGAGGTATATTCTTCTCTAATGATCTGCAATACCCTTCTCACCATGTTTCCAATACATGCTTGAAGAGGAAGCGTCTTAACCAGGTACTTTCCGTTTCGCGTGACACGGTCCATCAAATCTCTGGAAAATCAAGAGTTCATAATATCGCAAAACGTAATAACGCAAGTTAATAGAAATAAATAGCGTTTTCTATCGCCTGGCACGTGTGTCTTGTGTCGCCACACGTGATGCAACATGCAACAGCTGTGACGAATGGTTCATACTTGGCCGTGTTCCATTCCGTCGTGTTGATGATCTCCTTGAGCACGGAGATGGTGGCTACCACGATATTGTGAGTGCCCTTAATTTCTCTGCAAAAGAAAGCACTAATGTATTTTTTCTCTTTCATTTCTTTTGCAAGTTCGAAGAAAATTATCTTACCCATAGTGAATGCTGTTTATCAACTTGACGACACCTTCGTTAACGTCTTTCGGACACACGTCGAGCATTCTTATTTTCGTTTTCTCAAATAGTTAATAGTTACATACACCACGATATATCTTGCTACTCCAGAAAATTTTTAAAGTTTCTTTCGTCTCTATTCACGACTCGTTACGTTACATACGACACGTCGTCGTCTTCATATTTGTATCCGTGATGTAATTAATGCTTTTTTCTCCTATAATATACTCCAAACTCCAGTATATACTATATACTACAATTTAACCTACACGTACGGCGTACGGCAGTAGCCGAAAATGTTAACTTGATTGCACCAATGTGTGCACCAGTTCAGGACGTTCTTTGAAAGAGAACAGACGACTGGATTGATCAAAGCTAAATTGTCTAAACAGAGTTGTCGGCCCTGAATCGACTAATCTAACCTAACCTAACTAACCTCTATACGCCTGTTTCAAACGTGGGTTTAAATGTGCCATCCACGGCGAGAAAGTTGTTCCAAGTCATGACCTGCCCGGAGCTTGTTTCCAACTACAGTAGACCCACGATCAAGTGGCATCAAACGGATCTCACGGTCGTCATTTGCATTCAGTTGACCGACGTGTCGGATTACTATCTCCGAGTCGAGGGCACGTGTTTGCAGTTTAGGTATATTCAGATGTGCGCGACAGAGGACAGAGGGAAAGGAGAGATACGTGTGTGACACGCGTGGATCTATATAATCTCAAATGTTTGCAGTACGAAGACAAACGACAAGGAGTACTACCTCATTCTACACCTGTTCGGAGCGGTGATAGCGGAGAAGACGGTGCACAAAAATGTCGGGAGGGAGATTAAGATTTATCTCGTGAAAGGACTCAAATGTACGGTAACTTTTTCTCTCATAAATTTATCTGAATGTATAAATGTGAAAAACTGACTTGTATATCTTGTCCCACGTCAATAGGGTATTCATGGCTAAGACTGATCAAGTCCAAGGAAAAGCATCCGCTTATATCGTACAACCTAGAACACATACGTGAGACGGATCACGTTGAAAAACCTTTCGACAGTAAGAACAACTATTTTTATACTTGTGTATCTTTACGATACGCTCAGTTATTATCTGAAAATGAAGAAAGACACGTCCTTTTTTCAATTTCGTTCATATACGAGTATATGTTTTCTCTTGTTTTACAGTAGGTAGATTCGAAAGGTACAAACGCGAACATAATATACAAAATATAATGCCCGTTGTGCCATCCAGTGACGAAGAATCTGAGGACGAAGAAGTGGACTTTAGCCATTTTGGTTAATATACTTCTATTATATTCAATTGAATAAATGATGTACATTTTTAACATTTTGTTGTGTAAAAAACAAACTTTTTATACGTGCTTTACAGTTTTCGGCGCAATATTAGTGAAAAATATACACAGTATATTACTAAAGTAAGGCTTTTCAATTTTATGCGAAGATTGAAAAGCTTTTCTGCGAAATAGCAACGTAAAAATAACTATCTCATTGGGTATTGATTTTTTTTACGTTAGCTTGTTGAATCGTTTTTATTTCTATAATTAAAATGGTATCTTTTAACAAACATAACATTTTGTTATACAAGACGCACGTCATGTATCATGAAAGTTAAATTATTTATAAAATAAATATTTAAGGATTATCATTTACAAACGTGTATCAAATGTCAAAAAGATCGGATGTCATGAACGTAATGCGTTGTCGTCATCACATATATTTCTTACCGGTAAGAATACGTAAATGTATTTTTATCAAAATATCGTGCTAAGTGAAATCACAAAGATATTTATAAAATGTGTGTATCTCAGATATATATGTATTATTATGTGGAATGTTTACTAAACTGACTGGCTTAAAACTGATACGTAAATATTCATATAAGGCGATTTTTGGCGTGACTCCGGTATAAGCGACCAAAGTGTACCAAACTGCACCAGCACCGATAGCATCTTTGGTATATGTACCAAACGATCGCCAAAAATCGCCTATAGGTACATTTTATAAACATATCTTTGGCGAGATGAGTTGATTTTGACGTACTATTCAACTATGATATATATAATTTATATTAATCTATTTACATTTTAACGATGGTAACTACTTAAAAAATAACAATAAAACACGCTTGGCACGTACGTTCGTTCAGACGCGAGCATCTTGCTAAAGCCACGTGTCTAATAAAGTTAAAACGATAGCACCGGGAACGTTCGTTCATAGAACTTAAAAAACGGTCTTTTTCGATTAACGTTTAATATAATTAACGTGTACATTATATTATTTTTATCTGTAAGGAACGATGTTATCAAAAGACACGGTAGTGTCTTGGCTCGCGCCAAGTGTGCGCGCAGCGAGCGTACCGCAGCGAGCGTACGCAGACCGTGTGTCTATATGTGAACCGACGATATTACATTGATTTCATTTAAATGCTTCTATATTTTATCACATAAATCATTACTACAATATCGATTTAACTAAAATACACGATAATCTTTTAAACAATGTAGAAAGGTATCACTGAGGTATTTTACAAATAATATGTGCGCAATCCTACAAGATATTAAAAAAAAAATCCTTGTATAATGAAATAAAATAAATGAAACTATGTTTTACACCTTAATAAATAATAAATAGGATTGCAATGTATAGTCACAATGTTTTACATGTCTTGCAACGTGATTTATAGAATGTCTACAAACGTCGTATCACATGATTGATAACGAAGTTACGCGTTATGTCAAGATGACGAACGTGTGTTTACGTGTGTGTTTTATGTCTGCGCGATGGCTTACGTTCCCAAGCTTTGTAAATAAGGTCCAGCCTATAACGTTGATATCCATTTATGTAAAATTTATATTTGATGTTTTCTCATCATCTCCTTTGTTCGTGAAGACGTGGATATTAGAAACTGTTAACGTTTATTCAAGGTTGATGTCATTTTTATATATTCAAATGTGAAAAACTCGACATACGGGTGAGAGTTCTACGTGGCGGCAACAGAAGGGTGCGCAGTAGTCTCTTTGCGATCGTACTTTGCTAGATACGTTCGCAAGATTGCTTACCATAATACCGTACTTATTATGGGCGCGGTAATGAAAATTTAAACGTGCGATAATAACGTGCACCGTTTACCCAACTTATCAGATATAGCTATTGATATTACATTCTCTTTTACAACATAGATGTTGTCGCGGTATATGCAATGCACGTTGCAATATCAAGCCTATTCAACACATTGCATTAACGCATAGTTGCCTAAGCGTATCTCATTTGGCTAGCAACCGTCTAACGACAGTTTTTGATTTATATTCTCGACTCTTAGCTTCATTTCCCTGAGAATATCTGCGGCAAGGTCGTCGACAGTTGTATATCGTACCTTAAAGAAATTAAATATATCTACAAGAAACTCGATCACTTGCTCCCTGAAGTAATGACAAGCGATACGTAGACTCTCTTCAGAACCCAAGAATCCCCAAATGAACATCGGCGAGACTTGTTCGGAGATGGAGTAGAAGTGCGCCAAGAAGCCTTGCTCGTATTTCAGCATCCTTCTTTTGCCCGCGAGGAGGGACCAGAGCGCCGTTCCTATCGCCTTAAAACACGCGCATCGACACGTAAGTGAATGTCGAGGATGACACGGTATACGGTGGAAAATGAATATTCCTGTACGTACAGTTTCTCTAAAACTGGCGGACACCCATCTATTCTGTACTATAGCTCTGACGGGCGGCGGCGGTTTCTCCACGTCTTCAAACGCGTCTAAGAGTATGAAATCAATGAGCACGTCATAGAAGTTGATGCACTTGACACCTCGGGCGCTCAATTCCTCCTCCATGATACTATGATTGCGCGGCTCTTGTAGGAATTCCAGCATGCGCTCATAATACATCAAGTAATCCTTAGGATCCTGTAACAGCACGTTCTTCTTTCAATTTTTCGAGCACGTAATTTTCGACACTATTTTATTGTGCTTATTAATCTTACCCTATCCGCGTACATAATTAAATCGCTAATGACTTGACGACCCACGTCCATTATATATGCCTTTGCCGTGGGTAAATTAAATAACTTGGTATAGGCTTGACGCAGGCAATACACCTTCGCTAAATATTCTACGTCCGATCCGCATTTTACAAGCTCCGTGTGTAGTCTCCTGTAACAATATATATATATATATATATATGTGTGTGATATCGCATCCGTACATAAAATGAAAATACATGTTGGACAAACTAAATCAATTTACCTGCAAGGAATGCCTTTATCCTCGTACCGTTTAAGAGCGGCATGATAAAGTTTTTGCCTTTCAAAGTGTGGAAACAGTTCTGAGAATTCTTCGAATTCGCGCAGATCCGCAACCTGAAATAATTTTAATATCGTAATAGGTTCTGGTTATAAAAATAGATGTGAAGTAGATATTGTAAAACAGTTGATCATTTTTCGGGAGTCACGGCGCCGCGGTGCATCTTCGACGTGCGTCAACGTCCCACAGCCGCTTGACGCATCCGTTTATTAATCTCCCGCACGACACGAACAGAGATTATATTTATATATATTCCGTCCCGCGCATAACTCACCCCGTCACGTGCAGATTCGAACGATTCGGGCGACGATGCGGCATCAGCTTTATCCCTGAAGCCAGATATCCGCGTCCCGATGTTCGAAGGTTTGTCAAGGCTCTCCTCGCTGTCGTTGCGGAATAAAACGGAGTGCTGCGGAAAAAAAGGTAGATATTGCGTAAATGGAAAGCGAAAAGCAGAAGCTGCGTGGCAAAATGCATCGGGAAAATGAACGGGTCGCAGCTTCCGGATCGCCGAGATGTTATCGCACGCCGAAAACTCGGCGTGCTCGCGGAGAGAAAGTCGTGCACTTCCTATGCCATTAACGTTCCGCAACAATTCCCGGCGGCTGGCGTCAGGTCAAGTGACTCGTTGCGTTAATTACCCCCGGGGCCCGGGGCGGCCGTCATTTAAATTGGATTAATTCCCGCATTTTTTTACCGGACCGGTGTAGAAGGACACGTGATGATGAATGCAACGGAATGGAATGGCATCGGGTGATTGTCCCACCCGTCCGTTCGTCCGCCAAGTAAAGCCGAATGGACGGGCGGTGCAATGGTCTCTCCTCGGCTCGAGGTCACGTTCGTGGCGTTTCCCGATCTCGGCCAGATCCAGGAACGGAGAGATACCGTACTTGATCGAGGAAGAGCAGTTCCGCGTGGCTCTGGATCTGGTAACCCATGTCGAGCAGCTCCTGCACGTCGTGGGTGAAGGCCGCGTCGGCTTTCGACGGCAGTGCCAGGGTGTCGTTGCCGAGGGTCGAGCTGAACGCGGTGAGCGCATCCTCCCAGCAATAAAGGGCCTTTTCCAGCGCCTCGAGTCCTGTCAATAAGAACGGCGTCAGTTTATCTCGGCGAGCAGGAGCTCTTATATCGGAACAAAAATAAGCCGTAAGCATATAGCATAGCACTCTTTGCAGACGTACGAACGTAATCTGAGAATTTCAGGGCAAGATGTAAGCGGACGCGTTAAGTTTACAGCCTCAGCAGGAGAGGCAGAAAAAACGATAACGAGAATTAATGGCGTTATATTGTCATTGACAGCGAAGCGTTCAAGAGTCCATTCGTCAAATCTAATCGTGATATAAACGTAATTATATATATTACTTCATGGTGTACGTAAAGACATTGCATTATAAGGTATATTATTAAGATATATATTGTTTTAATACATATTCTTTCTTTCTGCCCGCAGGAATTTGAGCTCAGCTTCCAGCCTGCAGCCGAAAGGACATGTACCTTTCCCCTCGTTTCGCGCGCAGGAACGTACGCTTTTTTTTCTAGAAAATCAACGAGTCCGGAATTAACGTCGAGCTGTACGCGCGGACGACTAACGGTAAAAAGCGAGAAAAAGTGAGAACGGGAGAGCGTCGAGGACTACTAAAAACTAAAAACTACCACACTTGAGGACAGTTGAGGACTTGAGGAATTCGAATTCCGAGTCGGTGACGCCACTCTCCCTTTATTCAATCCTTCGTAAGTCGCCGGAGAACATTGACCACGTTGCCACAACGGAAGTCCGACACGCCGCGTTAATTCAGGGGACCCGGTCGCCCCCGGCTAATGTCCCGAAGGCTGGTCCATCATCATTTTCAATCTGTGCCGTTTATATACAACACCGGCCGACGAAACTGGAACGGTATACCCGCGAGATCGATATCGTGATGATCTCGCGTGACACGAGACTCGTCTTCGAGACTCATTGCTTAAAGGCTTAAAACAATTGCCGATCCAGTGGCGTAACGAATCCTCACGAGGGGATTATATTTGTTAAACTTGTACCGAGATATCGTCGCGTCGGCGTCGCCTCGCAAGGGTGAAGAACGTATTAACTGATGAGATAACAGCGACAGATTGATCGCGACGGATCTTTTCTTCCTCTCGAGTCGTTCCAGGTTTCAAAGAGCGTCAACGCCGCTTTGTAGGGTCAGACGTTCGTCTCGAATCTCCAGACGGACGGATGTATAAGGCGGATTTGGGGCATCAAATTCGTTTTCATCGCGTATCGTAGATATCAACTGTCGAACTAAATAAAAAATTGCTACAGAGGGGAAGGACAAAAAGCTGGACGGGGAAAAAAAAAAACATTAGAGTGACTTGGATCGAACCTCGATTAACTTAATTGAAGATTAACTTATACTATTTTATCAACGCGCGCGGAATGACGTGTTAAAGCATAAGGACTAATAAACTAACAACGTACGTAGTTAGAGGCGTTGCTTTAAGTCGACGTCTTCAGTTCGGTTGAATTAATCAGCACGTAAGTTGATCGGAATTCGCTTGTAAATTATTTTAACTTATCGACGAAGTCGTCAATATCGCTGAACGTCGCACCGAGGAGCTACGCGAGTATTATAATCAACGGCGCGGTTCGATTTTCGGAAAATCAAGTATCGATCGCTCGTCGCTCGACAATCAAGGGTCTTCGTCCGTACATACGACGACTACGACGACGCTTCGACGCTACGTTTCGTCCTCGACTTAAATTTCGAACGGGGGCATTTCGTGGGAAGGCGTGCATCTGTCCCTCGCGGCTCGCCCGTGTTCGCGAGGTGCGAGACGCGTGCCTCGGTTTGTTTGCGCGGCACGCTCGCCACCGGGCGACGCGCGACGTGAAGATCGCATTCCTGAACGTGAGTGAGGAAACGGAGAAGGCCAAAACACGGCACGGCGTGTTCCGTATTGCGCCACTTTGCCCCAATAATCTCGCCCGGCGCCGGCGTCTCTGGTCACTCGGGTGTTTGTCACACCTACTATTACTTAACAATATAAAACCAAAGTCAAACTAAGAAAAGTACATATTTTCTCATATGCCGTATGCAATTCTTTTCTTCGTATCTTAATTATAATCACAGAGAAATGCGCGAGATGTATACGCGGTGATCAAATCGATCCTTCTCCTACATCTGTAATAACATTCTTCCTCCCTGCATCCCTGTGGGATTCATCTTCATTCCAGGTCAGGCCGTAACTCAAAAGGATAATCTATTTTCCAAGTACATGTGTGTGTTTGTGTTGCGCGAATCGTAACGGAGTTTAATCCTGTTGGGAGAAAACTTGGCCATCCCGTGTACATATGTGGGAGTCGAGTTTTCTCCCGAAAGGGTTAAAACCTATCGCGATCTCGCGCACCGGTGCCTGGTCATTACGCAACCCCCAGGACGACCCCGGAGGGGTCGCGAGACACGGAGACACGGAGGGATGCCCCCCGGAGAAACGCGGCAGTGCGACGCCGTTGCATATGTCCGGCGTCAATAGTATCCCCGGAGTGACGTAATCGCCGGGTCGGCCGGTCATTGGAGGATGCGTCATCCAATGGTGAGGGGTCGATACGATGCGACACGCGCGCGCGCGCGCGCGCCCGCACCGCTTTGAAGCTCGCGCGCGTTTTGCGCGGAGTGAAAGCGATTTTACTCCACTTCACTTGAATATATATCCGTATCGCGAATCATTCCTCTCGGACCCTCGGGCGATTACGTTTGGCGCAGAAAATACGGTGTTCGAGGTTTGTCCGTGGACGACACGCGTTGCTAACGTTGAAACGTGGACGTGGGCTAACGTTGCGCAGGGGTGGCTCCACGGAATCCTCGAGGGGACAATCGTCGGAATTAAACATTACGGCTCGCGCGTCCCCGTCCCCTCAACTTTCGTTACGTATCGAGATTAAACCACGATGGAGTAACTTGGTGAATTAAACAGACGTACATACGCCGTGATCGAGGGGCAGCAAGCGGCAAACGCGCGTGTAAATAGCTAAATAAATAAATAGGAAAATTGTAGTTGTGAAACATATATGTTTCGCAACCCTTCCGTCCTCTCGCGACGAAATATATGTTTTAAATTTTCCAGGAAAAACGTCAAGAGTTTTGATCTCGCGTCGAATCGCCAGCCCGAACGGGAGACGGAGGGACCAATCGGACCAATGGGAGCGCGAGGAAGACGGCAGCACGCGCGTCCAACGGCTGCGCGACGAGGACGGACGACGCGACGCACGACCGGCACGACGCGAAGTCAGGTGGGAGAGGAGGGGGGCGCTCCGTGCTCCGTCCTCCGTGTTTCGCGCGCTGGCGTCAGTCAGCGTTCAGTTCAGCGCGTCATTCGTTCGCCGCCGATCGCGCAGCGCGCTCGCAAGTCGCAGCGATATTTCCGCACGTAACACACACGGCCACGGCCGTTGACACGCGGAAGAGCTTTTGCCCGCCCGATCGAACGAGTAACAGAGGATCGTCCCGTGCTCGTGCCATGCTCGTCGTCGCGAGACCGTGACCGTAGTCCGCGACCAAGTAAAGCGAGAGAGAGAAACAGATCTCTCGACACAGTGTTTTCCGGCGATATTACACACGCGCGTTGTTATTTGGATTAGTAGAGTACCGACGAGCGAACACACCCAAGACAGAATCACGGTGAGTATAGAAGAGTCCTTGGGCCATTTTCTCCGAAGATGTTCTTCTCCTGTTTTGCCCCCGAAAAACCATAACCGCGACGACGGACTCGTTTTTCTCGGGTCACCCCAAAGATGAAGGAAAATTCTGACCTGTTCGATGTTACACATGTAGGATACGTCCATGCAACGCACGTTCGTTACACGGAGCGCCATTTAAAGATTCAACAACGGTGTCGTGTAGTTTTTTGTCGGAAGGATTTGCCTTTCCCCTCGTCCTGCCGCGCGTTCTTTCCGCCGTCGGCCAGAGTTCAGGCCTTTTTGCCTGAAATCGTTCTCTCTTTTTCTATTTGTAAATACCGTGACATTTTTTGTTTCGACAACTGTCTCGAAGCAGAAAGCAGGCTCTTGCGAAGAGTTGTACATGTACGAATCTTTTCTTCTCACGTCCCTTTTCTTTTCGTCCGTCGGACGGACGAAGGGGAAAAGGGGGCTGGGATCTAAAAAAAAAATATCCATGTTTGATATATTCGCTGGCGGACGTTACGCATCGACGACTCACTTTCAGGCTGGTGCACTCTCTCGGATGACGCAGGAGAGGCGATATCTTTTAAGAAACCAAGTTCTCGGTATTCCGCAACGACGGAGCGTTCCTTCGACCCTTCGCGGATGGAGACGACCACTCGAGATAGATCAATAGAATCGATTGCGACCGCGCTAACCCCCGAGGAAAAGAAAATGGGTGGGATCGCATTGTTTCCTTCCCCCTTCCCCGCGGGGAGGGGGGGAATGCATCCATCGTGAGAGAGATCGGGGATTCGCGAACAATACGACCAGCCGCGGGCAACACCTGGGCGTACCTTGTTTATTGCGCAACACGTCACACAACAAACAAAAATCGAGTGCACGAGAAACGCGCGCGCGCGCGCGAGAGAGATCCCGAGATGGAGAGAGACGACGACGGAAATCGAATGTCAGAATGAGAAATTTTCAATTCGAGATTTTATTCTCTCTCCCCCTTTCCCCGTCTCTCGAGGGCGTCGTGGATATTTGTCTAAAGCCGCGTCGAGGATTCGCGGACGCGTTGACGTGCACGCGGGCCTCCTCTAGCCGCTGGATTTAGGCTCTCGCTTCTATGGGGGTCAAGTTCAGGGGTCGATAGCTTGGCCGGTGGTGGTTCCCGGCCGGTGTTACCCTCGAATAAAAGTGAACGCCGCCGCCACCGCTGCGGCACGTAAAGTGCAATAAGCGGCAACGACGGCGGGCGGCTGTTAGCCGGCCGCCACAACGCCAGATAGCCGGCAGATCGATGGAGGTGCCTGGTGAACTTGGAAATTCCCCTAGCACACGCGCACTTCCTCGTCGCTCTCTTTCCCTCCCTCTCCCTCTCTCTCTTTCTCTCTCTCTTCCTTTCCCGTTCACGCCGCCACGGTGCACGAGGATAACGCACGCTCGAGTAAGCGCGTACACGGCCGATTAAGAAACGGGTTATCTTGGACTTGCCAAGTGTCTGCCCGTTCGTGCGCGGCGCGGGATGATTCACAGTCGCCTCGAGGCGTTACGTGCAGTGTCCCTGGAGAAGGGACGTCTCCCTCGCGAGAAATTCGCGACCGGGTCGCGCGAAGCTTCAACGGGAGCGAGGATCTCGTCCGAGATGACCGAGAGAGACCGTACGTGATCTCCTCCTCGGTTCACGATTCTCAGTTCACGATCTGTTCTCGAGGATGAGAGAAAGAGAGAGAGAGAGAGAGAGAGAGATCGGGTCTCGTATCCGAGACGATCGAAGATCATTCCTCCGATTAGTCCGATCAACGTTTCCTCCGCACACTTCCATCGCGCGCGACACGCAATTTTATCAATCAACTCCAATCTCCTTTGGCAACGATATCCAAGGATAACCGGTCCCCCCTGTCGCTCCTTTTTTTTCTTCCGACTTGCTTTCTGTATTGCATGAAGGAGGACGTTTCCCGTCGCGTGACCAGAGGTCGTGATATACACGGGGATTAATATATACCGTGGAGTTGCCGCGTAAACAACTGGCGCGTGCGAAATTCCTTATATTATTATATTAGAGTCAATTTATATCGTCGTAATAGTGACGCACGCGGTATTCCACGTCGTACCGTATGTATGTAACACGTAACGGATACGCGCTGAGTAACCGTGCGCTCTTCCAAGGCGAAACGAGTCTCGACGACGTTTCGCAATATCAGCGATATGTCACGTCCCGATATTTTCCGAAAAAAAAAAAAGAGAACGGGACGTGCCCAGGAAAAGCGGCAAAAAAAACGCGCCGCTGGATTTTACACTTCGCGCGACGTACCCGCGATCGTTAAGACCGCGGATTAATCTGTCCGTGTTTCTTTCGCGGAAATTTCTTTCGCCGTATATAATTTCGTTCCTCCGGCGCGGCGGCGGCTCGTGATTGACGTCTCGTACAGGAATTGCCGAGATTCTAACTGCCGGACTATTACGTCACGTTGCGTTACCGAGGCCTTTTTCCACCGATAATATAATCAGACACCTAGTTCTCTATTATTCCAGCCTCGATTCGTCGACCTCCCTTTCCTTCCTCTTTAATTAGAAACTTTGTCCCGTACACTCGCTCGGGGTTTGTTGTTGAGAAGTAAAGTTCGCGTTGTCTTTGCGCCTAAAAAAAAAAAAAATTTTTTTTTTCAAGTACGCCGCGTCACGATTGCAGACACGATAGCGCGCTCGTTAGAATGACGGATGTGTTACGAGGTGCACGTACGCGAGCATGCTTTCAATGTAATTAATCGTAGGTAATCGAGCAGGGTGTAACCCGATTTTCAAGCCGAACGTGTACGGGAAACTCGCTCGCGCGTAAATGCGCTACTATACCTTCTCGCGAGCGTACCTATATACGAAATATGATTTGCGATGTAACGAGTGACCCCGATTTACCCGTTTGATTTTCACTTCCACGAATCTCTCCTGTCGAAACCTGTGCGCGTAACGGCGTTACACGCGCGTTACGTTACATTACATTAAATACTCTGGCGCTTCGTTAAATTGCGCGCGTAAATGAATATTGATAATGCACCGCGTTCTACATTAAAAAGGGGGGGGGGGAAGCGGAGAGGGAGGAATATTAAATTTCCCACAATCATAATACAATAATTACCTCCGCGACCGCATTCGTGGTCAGGAGGATGTTACGCAATCTCGAGCGAGGGTAGGACTTTTTTTTTCTCACGGAAGGTGATCCTCGGGGACTCGGGGACGCTTCGAGCTTCTCCTTCGAATTTTCCTTGGAATTCTCGGCGCCGTCGACACCGATTATTATTATCGACGTTTCTCGCGCTCTCGAATCTCGCGGTATAATTAACACACGTAAGCGTGATTAAGTTACGGTCGCTACAATCGATAATCGTCGTTCGGAGATTCTTCGCGTCTACTCTTTTCTCTCTTTTCCCGTTCGCGCCGAAAATACACCGCGGAAGGGAACCTTTTCTCTCTTATCTTAAAGTTAAAGGGACGGCAGCCGCAGGTGCCGTCGTCTTACGAGAGGCGCGCGAAAACTTTCTCGCCCAACGACGCGTGCGTCGATGGATGCAACGTGCCGGCGTAACGACTAACGAGATACGCGATCACGTTGGATATTAGGTAATGATTGGTGGTGCCCGCCCCCGGTCGGAGGCTGCCTCTCTCGGTGCCCCTGATGAGGCTAATAAAAGTGACATCGTTATACGCCCCGGCCCGGCCGGCCGCGCGGCGCAACGAGCCTTTAACCTACACCGACGACCGTTCGTTCTGATTTTCATAATCTGGCTCACATCGTCGCACGCACGCTGCTACTGCTGCTACTTCTGCCGCCTCTGCGCCTCATCTTCTCTTCTCATCTCTCGTCTCTTTCGTGTCACATTATGCCCTCCCGTCCCTTTTCCTCCCCCACCGAGTTGACCAAGTCGGACCAAGTACGAAGGACATGGAGGAGAATCTTTTCTTTTAATTCCATTAGACCGCCGCCGGGTAATCTAGATGCCTCCATCTAATATGCCCAGCATCCTTGGTACGACGCAGAGTCCGCGGGCGGTTCGTGTATTCTCTCCGTTTAGCGGCGCATTCAATGTCGAGCACAGTACCGTGGCGTGTTTGCGCGAGTTACATCCGATAAAAATAAACGTCACGTTTGACATCGCGGTACGGTACCGAGACGAAAATCAATCGGCCGCGTTTAATTTAATCCGTTATTATTTTTAGTGACTCCCCTCTTTCCGACTCGTTAACGCGTACTCTGATGCTACTGCGTTGTAACTTGATTCGCCGAGTCTCATCGCCTCTTCGTATTACACTACTATATTATCTTTCTGCTGTGTATATACATATGTATTTTTTTTTACGTATAGTACTTGTAAACGCCGTTCTCGCTGGTATATCGTATCAGGGGGACTTGAGAATTTCTTCTCTTAGTTCCTCGGCAAGGATGTACGCCGGAACATAAATAAACACCATCAATTCATTCGTAATAAAGGTCTACGTGATCGTGGAGCCGAGGAGGATAAAATCGTATACCGCGGCGCCGCGGCGTAAGAAGCCACCTCTCTCTCTCTCTTGCTTGCCCAGGACTTGGGCTTCGTCGTAAAGTAGAACGATGGAGGTCACACCGCACTACGAAGCCACGTCATCGGCCGCGAGAAAGAAGCTCCTTGGGCCTTCGGTATACTCCGACGAAGAGACTTCGCCGTGATACAAATGCGCGATCGTCCTTTTTGGAGAACGCCCCCTCGTCTCGGCTCCTTTTACTCGTGCTTTTATCCCGAGTCGGGTAACGGTCGCGGAAAACAGTAATAATTAATTTTTTTTCTATATCTCTCTCTCTCTCTCTCTCTCTCTCTCTCTGACCGCGACCGCCGCGCTTTTTCCGACCGACAGAGACTATTACGGATCGAAATAAACACGGTTAAATAAAACGGATGGATCGTCTTCTTGTTTGTGATAATCCCTCGCGTGAGCGCGGTGCGCCGCGCCGGATCGGTTAATTAAATTCTCTCGCCAAAGAGAAACTCAACTAGCGAGGCGAGGAATGCATTCTGGCCGAGGATCGAGCGATCGGTTTCCACTGACGGAATGCGGTGTTTATTTGTCCGATGAAATCCGGAGTCGGCTGTTTAGTTAAACGCGCCGCTCGGCTACCTGATTTTCCCACACGCACCGTACATAGATAGGCCTTATCTATGGGCAATAAAGGGAGAAGGATGTTCCGCGACAATGAAGCAATCAGCGGTAATATCGTGACGATCACAGAGAGAGAGAGAGAGAGAGAGAGAGAGACTTGGATAGGAGAATCCCAGTTAAATTTTCGATGCGACGCGATGTCGCCGGGGGCAATCAAGCGACGGAAATGACTCTAACAATGGCGATGTAGAGACGGTCTCTGGTCGCATAGGTGCCCTTGACAGTGACAGATTGCGCGCGCGGGGTACGGATTACGGAAGACGGGGGAGTTTCATTTTCCGCCCCCGTCTTGCGCCGATCTTGCGGAGGCGGGCGACTTTTTCGACGTGGTAACGGTGCCTATTGCGCTATACGTCAACGCACCTGACGTATCGTATCGATACCGGTTGTTAATTAGCCTCTTTAACCCTTTGCTCCCTCGCGACCCGCTGCGCCGAGAGAACGAGGAAGGAGAGGACGATACTGTCTCGAGTCTGTGTTCTCCCGAGACCTGGAATTAATCTTCAACTGAAGATCCTCCGGGCCGTTGCTCTACAATACAGAGAGAGAGAGAGAGAGAGAGAGAGAGAACACAGGAGATGTTGCCCGCTCTCGAGGTCAATGCGAAACGTTATCGATTTACCGTTCGGTCTGGCGCGCGATGGCCTTCGAGCGTGGAAACTGGTGAGAAAACTCATCGAGCGTTTTAATTTGCAATCGGTTGGAAGGAGGAAGAGGAGACGTGCGTCGCTAATTATAATACCGAGATCTAATCTCAGAGAGGGTTCCACGGTCAATTAAATCGCTAGCGTTTTACGTTTCGCGCGATTTTTATTCGTCGGCATACGTTAGAAAGCACGCGGTTCCGTATGCACGGAGAGTTCCTCGCGGTCGATTTTCCTTCGTCGGCTTCCTCGGCGCGATTTGAAGTGCACGGTCAACACGAATCCGGCTGGCCGACCGGCAAGAGAAGGTAAATACCCGCAGGGCGAGATGACGTAAGACGATAAGAGCTGACGTTACGTTTTTTCTTGGTGTGGTAACCGGAACCGGAGGGCTTGTATTTCGCTTGGCCACTCGAAATATTCCCGTTGCTTTCGACGACGCGAGAAAATGCGTAAGCGAGAACTCGTTTACTTCAAGGAGACGCGCAAAGTTTTCTTCAAGTGTACGTTTCCCTCAAGTCCGTTGAAATGAAAAGTATTTGATATAAAAACAAAATGAAAAAATAAACGAGTCTTAAATTTTTGAAACTAGGAAAAGAATCATTTTGACGAGAAAGACTTTTGCTGTGTCAGTTATCAAAGGCAGGGGAAACATTTCAGACGAGATACTCCGCGATAAAAGGAAGCACGAAGCGTTGCCTCTACGTGTCAAAACCATGCAGCGTTCCGTTAATATCCGTTCCTCTTCGGTGAAAGTAGATTTTCAAGGGTCCATCGTGGTCCAGAATATACCATGACGCAACAATGTTGACGCAACATCCGAGAGGGATATCCTCCCGCGACGACGCATTACCGCACCTTCCGCGTTCTCCTCCTCTTTTCGCGCCGCACACTTTTCATCACGCCGCACTTGAGCCGAGTCACCTAGCAAGAGAGAACAAGCTTTTGTTCCATTGTGCGCACTCGCGAGAGCGATTCTCGCGAAAGAGGAGAGGGTGTACCGCGACGGGCGACAATGCGTTTGCTTTGCGGCGTCTCGGGGCTTTGCGTGAAGAATCTGTTTCTTTGTTGTCGTCGCCGTGGTCGAGACACGTGTATAAGATTTCTCTCTTCCATCTCTCTTTCTCGCTCACCTCTTCTCACGCACGTGTCCAGGAAGAGACGGGGCGGAATCGTCAAAAAGCGAGCCCACGGCCGACTGCATCAGGTTCCGCTGCAGCGATGACCGCGACGGCGGGGGTGTTATCATGGTAACGCTGTTCGCTGATAGCGTGTAGCGTGGCGAAAATCGATATTCCCCCTCATTTCGTATTCCGTGTGGCAAGGGCATGTGCCCTATCTGTTCTCCCCCTTTCCCCTACTCCCCCCCGTTACGCGAACGTGTCCCGCAGTTAGGCCGCGCGTGATCGGCACGCCCGCAGTATCGGAAGTATCCGAGGACGTCGTTTTACCGCATCTCGCGGTCCATTTACATTTCTCTCGATCGGTTCCGGGACCGGATCCTTTTCCGAAAACAAAGCCTCATGCAACGAGAAAGATGCACTGTTTAAATCCTAGTGTCAAATTGTACTCAATCAGAGTCATTTTTGACTCAACGATTCCTACAGGTCGCGCCACTGCTCCTACTTAACGTGTCGTTAATTTAAGTAAAGCAATGTTAATTTAACTAAATCAATGGAGTTAAAAAACTGTTTTGTGTTAAAATAATAAATTGCGACACACATGGCAAGGTAGAGTGGTTTAAATATCATTCTTTAATATTTTAAATAGAGTATATCTGTTCCACCTGACTTGACCTGTTTTTGCATAGGGAAGAATTCTTCCGCCTTTCCGGTCGTACTGCCGACTCGGGGCCGCGCCCTGCGTGTTCCTGCAACGGCGAAGATAAAAGTAACGCGGAGATTTGTCGCTGGATCTCGTGCCTCGGGAACAAGCGCAAAAGTACACGCGGTAACGGTGCGCGACTTTTCGAGAGGAAATGACTGGTGGTGGTCTGATTGGATCCATTTCAGATACTCTGTGCGCGCGGATACTTTCTCTTAAATTACGCCGGCGATATTAGCGTGCCGTCGTAACTCATTGTGAAAGTCAATTATCTAATTTCGTCGGGGATAATCTCGCCTGCACCGTTTCTCCGATGAATATTAAAGTGCGCGCGCGCGCGCGCGCCGCGCTAAGTCGGCGAGTTTATTTCGACGTTGACCGTTCACCGACCGGGTCGCGCAAAAACCATTAGCAAATTTAAAACGTCCGGGCCGTCGTTGTTATGCCGGGTTACCTCTATTCCTGGATTCGTGAATGATCGATGGGAAATCGGGGTCGCCGCTTCCCTCCTCCCTGCTTCCGCTGACGGTCAACCGCATTACGTGTAACCGATCGATTCGAGCTACGTGGGAATTCATTCCGGAAAAATCTTCCGTCGCGTGTCAGCGAGGCACTGCCGAAAATCAGGCCCCTTTCCTCCTAGATTCGGTAACGTTAGCTCGCGGGACTACGTAACATTTAAAAAGTACCGTTCTTGCTTTCTCTTCAATCTTGATCATTTTTTCTTTCACCCGTCGCGTGCTCACGGACCATTCGCGATCGGAATCAAAGCTGTCGACCCTTCGCGATGAGTAACAGCTGGAAGAATCAACGTGGTGAACGCACCCACAAGTCGACGTTATCCCGGACGATCAGTCCGGAGAGATCGCGTCCGAAGGAGGCTCTTACCCGGCTGCTCTAATCAATGTAGCAACCGAAAAATTATCATTAATAATTGGTTATAAAATTATCGGAAAATTAAATAAAAAAATAAATGATGATTTTTACATAGTGTAAGAGTAAGTTATATGTTCTATTAGTGTAAATATTAAAATTTATACAATAAGTCAGTTGACTACGTCAGTGCTAAAGAGCAGAATAATAACATGCGCGTGTTACAACGTCGTCTGTAGCAGTCTGCAGCTAAAGTGAGGTGTAGCCGTGTAGCATTGTAGCGATTGATGCGATAAAGAGATGGAGCCAAAAGAAAGATATAACGTGAGAATGTTGAGAGGGAAAATGAAAGGAAAATTCTCGAAAATAAAGGTTGCAATATGTCAATGCGCGAGAGAATAATTATGCCGCTACCATACAGCGCAGAGAAAAGACATGTGCAAGTGAGGTTAGAAACTTCGCGCGATTTTGACACTCGGAAGATCATTCGCCTAACCTGTCGTACGTCATATTAAAACTACAATATCTTTTATAACTCATCGTCAACACCAAGTTTTCTTCTTATCATTAGAAAGATTATTATTTTAACTACAATTCCTTAGTTTTTTGTTTACCTGGCTCGCAAACTTGCCAAGAAAATACATCACTTCCGATAAAAATTTTAGTGTTTACCATATGCCCTGTGTTAAAAATGCGAATTTCAATACTGATATTTTTTAAATTTTTATCGTCAACCTATGCTAAAGTTTTGGGCATCGGTTCGTTGTGGTTCACTTTACAACATAATTTAATTTCATAAAGATCTGTCGTTTTATGATCGAGGTAAGAGCCTCCTTAAAGCCCGAGTTTTGACCGTCGTGTTCTCGCTAAAGTGCGTGACCAGGAGCATCGTGGTCCCAATTAAGAGTACGCAAACGTTCGTCAAGGTCGCACTCCAAAAGTCGCCTTCGTGCAGTTAAGGCCAGCGTGGGTCATCGGCGCATCAAACGTGTAACTGCGCGAAATGTAACGAGTGGCCTCCCGCGTTGCACACGAAGGACATTTTACTTACTTTAACGCGCCACGGCTGCGTCTCGTGAGCTTCGACGCGCTCTTTGCCGGCTCGATACTCGATACGCTTGTCGCCGCGAGAAAACGTATACGAGTATATACCGGCCGTAATCTCTTCTTCGCGGCTTTACACAGAGAAGCCGATATCGCGCGCTGAATATCAATTTTGACGACCGCACAGTCGGCCGACCTCTCTCCCTCCTCTATATAATCACGATGCCAACGATCACGGGGAACGTGAGATTGATCCTCTTTCAATTCGCACACGGGCTACCACTCGACTCTTGGGTATATTTTGATTTGCCATTATCGTCGATTCGCGTTGAGGGAGCTCTGCCAGCAATCGACGTCTGTACTTTTACGATTTTATTTCGATTTGTCTGCTTTTAAAAAACGCTTAGGATCGTCCGAAGAAAGGGAAAAAGAGAGAATCCGAAAACCGGGAATAAACGAAGCGATCGTTTCATTTTGATACCAAGTGTTTACTGCGAAACGATTGTAAATACGAGACATTTCGACCAGAAACCGATCTCCGATACCGAGTCTCTTGAATTACATCATTCATGCGAACGGCAAGGTTGCAGCGCGAGCGTGAAGAACGATCCGCGTATTATGACTCCGCGCGCCCACCACGCAATGATTTTTATCACCAGCGAGAAAAGAAACGAATGTCTGTACGTAACATAAATAATATCACACGCGCCGTCGCGAGTGTTCCCCGGGTGTTTCGCGACAGGAAACGAGATCCTCGCGACGGGTATCTTGGACGAAACGTTGTGTACGCGCCGAGTTTTGACCTTCAATCTCGATCATTGCGACACGCGAGATATACAGCGCTGCCTGAGAAAATAGACCGGTTAAAAAGTTGATGTTTAAATGATGGACCGCGCCCATGCGGCGAGCGCGTTGCAGTTGCGTAACTTTCGTTGAAAGACGATTCTGAAATTCTGGTATCCGCGCGCGGTCTCATCACGGATCGATAACAATAACGAGAAAATCGCGCACGTTGATCTGCGTGTGGAAAAAAAGACTATTTGTGGTATCAGCAAGTATTGATACAAAATATAAAAGTTGATTATTATTTATTTAATTGATAGCCAATTTAATCAAGTGTTATAGTTGATACTTGATTAATAAATTTTGTTTATCCGCTCCATTTGATTGACATTTTACATAAAAGTTTCTTTATTCATTTTAGCGATTAAGCTTTAACGATATTCGGAACTGCGCTGAGACCGACGAAACACTTGTGTCCTGCTATGTCGCGAGGGCATTATTATGTTTCCGGTGTTGCGCGAGCTATCCGGGAGGTACTTGAAAATATGAAATTACACGTGCGTACACATCTGTTCTCGGGGAATCGCGTTACACATGTTGCAAGCGAAACCAGGCTTGACCTTTCGTTCTCGCAGCTTTTTAACGACGATCTGGATTCACGAGTCGCCTACAGCTTTCCGACGAATTCACGGCGCAAATCCGTAAGGATGTCGACAATGGAGAGAAAGAGAGAAGGAAAAAGGAAAAAGATGAGCATTCCGTGAGAGAATTTCAAGTTCTGACACGTGTTTACGATTCCACGGCGCCGCGCCGCTTTAAACCGGTTGTTACACGTTACTCCGCGGTTAATTTACTGACAAGCTCTGACAAGCCGACGACGAGAAGCGGCCTTAGCCGCTCTGGGCTAGACCGACTTTTAAACGGCAATAAATCCTCTCCGCGTGCGCTCCTCGTCATTGCGCGGATGAGAACTCGAGCGCGCGTGTTACCAAGTCAATGTCGCGCGCGCGACGGCGACGGCAGGCCGTAACTCGCTGCTCGCACCTTGTCGTAAACGTCGAAGGCTTCAGCCTTCAATGCCGAGAGAATCATCGTGTCTCGATCGTCGAGGATCGGCAGCGAAGAAAAAGAAAAGAAGAAAAGAGAGCGGGCGGACTTGACGCGGAGCGTGGAACCCGCGCGCAGCTAATAACGGGACTCCTTGTACGCCGCGTGCACGTAACGCAAAACGAGATTACACCTGCCTGCCTGTTGATTAGCGAAACCGGTGTCGGCGTCAATCGTCTCGGGCTTGACGAGAACACGACCGCGGAAAGGGAAAATTGATTGCGTTCCTTTTTACTTCTCCGCGCTGCTCTGTCACGTTCTCACGTGTTTTCATTGAGCATCTTTCCCCGACGACGACGTGACGACGCGACAGGACGACCGAAAGCGGCGCGGCGCGCGGTGTTCCGCGACACGTTTTTCGCTCAGCCGATGGACATGTCGTCGTTCACGCGGATTCCGTTCCGTCGTAAATCGCGCGTGCAGGCGCCGTTCGGTATTCACCGCTTTTCAAATCGAAATCGAGCAGTCAACCGGTGCCCTCGGAATTCGCGATGCGTCCCTAGACCCGCGAACGCGCAGAAATGTGTGTGCGGAAATTCTATTCGGGTCACGGACCGTGCTCGGTATGAATTGATTTCTTACGAATACGAACGTTTACATTAACGGATCTTTTTTTGTGAAGAAAAAAAAATACGCGAGACTGAAAAAAAATATATATATATATATAAACCGGACTCGGACAATTGTGCGGGTCGCGCTGAAAGGGTTATCAGCAGCGTCGTATCTTTCTGACAATTGGAGCGATGCCATCGCGACAATAATGCGCCGACAATGACGGCTTCCGCGGAACCGTGAACAACCGTGGAGCGGAAACGTTTTGTCAGTGGCGAGCCCCTCGATTGGCCGTCGCTGCGCAAAATCATTCGCGAGAGAATACTCCATAAACGCATATAATCGTCTCTCTTGTCGGCTTAATACGCTGACGTGCGCGGTCTCGATATATACCAAGCGTGGAAAATTAATTGCAGGATGGAACGACGGGAAAGAAGTACAAGTTCGAGATTACCGGCTGAATATATTATCCAACTGTTTAAATAATTCCAGCCGCGTAATTCTCCCGAGGACGATAAAATTAGATTGGTTGCTCTGAGGTACAAGCTACTTCCTACGTCGTTAACGTTTCCTTTTTCCTGCCGCCACTTGACACCGTTGTCGGAATCACAGACTGGCGTATCACGTATCACTCCCACTCCCTACCGTCGTTCTGGTCCTAGTTCTCTCCGGTAAACCGTTCCATTG